AACTCACGGTTAACGCGATCCAAGTGTTGTCTGAAAGCTCGTAGCTGAGGCTGAAACCAATCAATTTGCTCACGGTATCGCCCACTTTTAATCAATTCCGAAGTCTGCTCGCTTGAGGCAAAGAGCTGGTGATTGGCATCATACACAATTTGTGAGATTTCCATCCAGCAATCTTGCATCTGATCAAGATCTGGCCTCTCACTTTTGGGATCAGCTGTTGTTGGGGGCATATCTTGGGCCCATTCTGGCAAGGGAAGCATCGACGGAATTCCGAGTCGGCCACTGCTGTGCGTGATGAAAACAAGAATCAACCGACGTAGCCGACGCTTCCTTGTCTGTTCAGGGAGTGACTCGTGTGCACCTTTTGACTCAGTTTTGTGATCGAAAACGCCAAGTTCAAAAGCCAGAGCTTGCGCAGTGCTCAAAAGCATCCATGACATTCGATCTGATCTCCAGGCAGGCTCCAACCATTTTTGGAAAGCAACGCGACCTTCAGCGGAGCTATTCTGCCCCTTGGTCTGGCTTTCGGTGTCGATATCTTTGTCAGCTCGACTTTGAGATTGAGCCTCCCTATCGAGAAGCGTGTTTTCGTCATCACCAGGAGGGAAGTGAAGATTCCGTGGGTGCCAATCCGTCAAGATCAACAGCGCTTCCACGGTACCCAAGGCTCTTAAGTTTCCTTTGGCGTATGACTTACCTGAACTCGCACCCAGATCAAGGCCGCGAGGCCGGCCGATGCCCGGTCCTCCAGCATCGAATTTCTCTTGGCCCCAGAAGAGGCGCTCGATCATACCGCGCAAGTATGACCAAAGACGGTCGTGGATGTAGAATGCTCTTGTGCTAGCACCATCGCCCTTGGGTTTCAGATGTCGAGAAGCAATTGTGAGAATGGTAACCGCAAGTACCGGTTCGTCGGTAAGCAGCGTTCGATGTGTAGCAGGGTGGGAATAGTCTGGTGTCACCACGGGGCTCATTGGTGCAAGGTTCTCATAGTAGTATGCCACATACTCCATGCCCTCTTCCACCGTCATCCAGCCGGCGCGGACGAATCGCAGTCGCGACCATGCCCGAATAGCGTCAAGAAATCCGGGGTCTGCCGTATTTGCCGGTTCCTCTGGTTGACCATTGTTATCTGAGATCTGAGGATCCACAATGCCGGCGCCACCACCTTGGAAATAAGTATTTCCACCCATTGACAAGCCCGATCGAGGGGTTCGCGAAAAGGAACCTGCTGGGGAGTTGCCATGCGCCAAAGGTGAAGGGCCCGAGTTGAAGGAGGAAACGGATTGTCGTGCAGCAAAGCGATTCAAGTCTTCGGTCCTGCCCGCTGCTTCAGAGAGAAGATGTAAAGCATCATGGGTATTGGTGATAGCAGGTGACAACAGCTCCACGGCAGTCCGGTTCATCATAGGCTGCCCGCCGTACCCAGATACCAAAGTGCGATCACCTGCTGGATATGTCGGCACACGAGGATTCCTCGATTCCAAGAACTGCCTCGCGGGGGAAGCAAGCGGCGCACTTGGGGTATATCGCTGGCTGACAGGAACCTGGGCCGGGGTGGTCTCGGACCATCTCTGGCGAGCGCGAAAGGTTTCGGTATCGAACGATGGCTCTGATGGAGGAAATGGCGATCCTTCAGGTGGTTCCTTCTTGGTAGGTGCCTCACCGGTCATCATCCGCTTGTCGCGGCGAAGAACCTCGGCGGCCTCAGCATCCTCTGTAGCATCGGAGGCCTTGCGCTTACGCCTGGTGGCCGAAAATTCGCACAGTTTACTCTCACGCCGACATCGCACACAGGGTGGGGGACGAGGGTCATCAACACCTGATCAGTCAGCTACATTTTTTGGAGCTGGGAGAGGGGGATCGCCGTACTGCCTAGATCACACTTGACCTTTCGCTTGCGACATGGATCGCACGCCTGATAGCCGCGCCTATGCTGCGGGGCAGGAGACAATGACTTGCCGGAACCCTGGCCCGTGCTATTGGTGTCCTGGCCCATGGTGAAAAAGCACCTCTCGGTAGGTGGAGAGCGTGACACTGGGGAAGCCGATGCAAAGCGAAGATAAGCTGGAAGGCGGTGGGGGGGTTACTATGACTGCCGGCCGATTGGGCGACTCGGGCAAAGGAGAAAAGAGCCGTGAAATGCCCAGGTGAAAGAGAAGGGGGAAATTATTATTAACGAAAATAGATATCAATAGTTAAAAATTAGCTTGAAAAAATTCTATCGCGAAAAGAGTCCCGTGGAGCCGACGTGAAGGTCTCAGAGGCCTTGGCCAGCCATCAATTTCGATTGTATAATAAATTCGTCTTGCGGGGTAACAAAACCTGTAAAGAGTTACATCGTCTACGCTCTATGGGTTCGCTTACAGTTATTCCTGGTAAGTGAAAGCTATAGACCTAATTACCTAGGTAATGAACTAAGATCTCATCTTCGGGTTTTTGATGCCATTTTGTGTTAGTTGTGTCCAATACAAGACTCGGATCTGCTATATATCGAGGGGCTGAGGCTGACCTTTGACGTGAGAGATTCACCCCTCGATTAGCCTTCATGATAACCTTGTTAGATGTATAGAAGACATTCAACGCACTGGCAACATTCAGTAGCTAGACTAATTAAATAAGAATTTAATTAAAATGGCAAAAATAATATTCGTTCATGCAGTTTGCCGTGCTATATACGCCTTTTGATGTACATTAAATGCATCCGCCTGGAACAAAGGCCCCTAATGCTATGAGAGCAAACGAAAGGGAATGAAAATAAGTATCCATTCAGTATACGGCCACTATGCCACACGGGGTGACAGCGGCGTGTTCGCCGTCTTTGGTGTGCTGTCCACGGCATGTCCATTCATCCTGGCTATCAGATCCCAAGCCTTGCGGGGCTGGACCAACTCGCCAGAGACAGCGCTATCCATACTACCACGTCGAGACAAATTGGGTGTCAGGCGTCCAGAGAGAAGTCCGCGAATACCTCCGGCTTTACGTGCTGGAATCGCAGACACGCCAGCGGTGAGAATGTAAAGGAGATATTTCAGATTGGGGAGAGTGTGACGGATATCCAGACCGCGGATACCCGTCTTGTTAAGGAGAAACTCGATGTCTTTGTTTAAAAGAAAGACACCGTACTCGAAGCGGTAGTGGACACTACCCGGGTACAGCGGAAATGTGCGCTGTGGGAGGTCCTGGGACACGGGGTCCTGGATCAAGGAAGTTGACTGGTTCGGGTTGATTGGGTAAGGAATGACCGCCGACATGTAGAAAGAAAGCAGGTATACAAGATGAGCGGTATATCCTAGTGCCGCTGCAACCACTTCGCGGTCGATACCCTCGAAGCTGGAGTTGGGAAGGGGCAGTCCACAGATGGTAAAGGCAAGTGATTTGTCGGGAATTGGCTCAACGGGGTAAATGAGTGACAAGTCTTCTGCAATGCGACTTATTTGGCCCTTGGTATCTTCTGAATTCTGGTGGAGCAGGTTGTCACTAGAGACTAGCTTTTCTTGGGCGTCCGGAAGATGGCTTCGGGCCTTTTCTTGCGTGAGCCGACCCTGCTCCATAGCTTCTTTCCGAGCTTTGATACTCGCAACAAGCTCTTCTTTTCGCTTATTACTGGCTCTGATCTGCCTCCGCTCGGCCAGGACAGCCTGTTTGATAGATGAAAGGCGATCCTCCGCTTGGCTAGCATTGGTTTCGGTCTCCAGAGCGCCTTCGTTACTTTTCAGAATGTCACCAATTTGCGCTTCCAATTTCTCCCGGGTTGCCAGAGCATCCTGGATGCATTCATCCAGATTGGCCAACCGCATCAATGCATCGTAAGATGAGGTAGGTAGTTTGTTTCCATCAGCATTAACCCGCTGTCCTGAGCCATTGAGGGCCGGCTCGATCGGTGGAAGATCTGTCAGGCTTGTATAAACTCCATCTGAGAAGTGGAATAGGATGCAATTGGTTGGAAGCGGTTGATGAAAGCTCTCAATCGTCCTTCCCAAGAACTGTAACGACCGTAGATTCAATTGCAATTCAACAAGTAGCACATATTCTGGCAAATTTTCTGTCTTCACCCACAGCTTGACAGTCAAGGTGTCCCTTCGAGAGGTCAAGGGCCCCGAGAAATTCAGGTCAAAGGATCGGAAATTGGGATTGGTTGCCTTGTCGACCACTTCGCTAATGTAGATCGGTTCATCGATACCCTCGCAATGAATTGAAAAGAAAGTATCTGCCATGCGGTTTTTCGTAATATCCTCCAGTCTGATCTGCCGTGTTCGGGGGTTGGGATCGTTCCAAAACATAGTACTTCGACGTCGCGACTGCAGCCTGTTGGGCTTCTTGTCCTCATTCTTCTCTTGAGTTGCGCGCGACTTGAGATCTGTAAAAGACCTCGATGGATGAATTGAGCGACTCTCGTTCTGCGCCATGATTTTTGCGGGCGATTTCAAGGCGTTGGGAATATCGTCGTCATCAATCGTCTTGCCTCGCCCTCGTGTTGGGGGTGCAGTGACCATGAGATTACGAACGGAGATTCCATGGAGATGTCGAAGCTTCCGGTTCTAGACCTTGTAAGTATCATTCTGAACCGCCGAGATATTCAACCTACTGATGCATACAGCCACGGCCGCTCCCTGCGCGACCCTGCATCATGCTCCGTGGCCGCGTCCACGCCGCCTGAGCCGTCCATTTTGGGTATCGAGGCGGCCAGGGAGGGGCAAGGTATTTAGCAGCTGCACAGGGATCTTATTCTCGTAGTCATTATTTGCAAAGAAAACGAATCCAAAGCGACAAAGGACCAGCGCGTCAATGGCAGAGGAAGGCATCGATAAGACGATGCGGAGAGCAGGCGGCGCCAAGACCACGGCTGCCCCGTCCAAAAAATCCACCTCCGATCCTCACTTCCTACGATTCCCGTCAGTCACCGACAAACACCAACGCCCAGAGTCAATGCGATAGGTTTCGCCGGAACCGGTCACCTTCAATCCTCCTTCGGCGATCACACACAGCAACTGGCCGCAATGGCCTCCAGCACGGCGTCCAAGCCGATCCAGAAGATCTTGGACTCGACGAAAATCGCGTCCTTGACGAAATTTGTACGCAAGCCGCCGGTCGACCCGAATCAACAAATCCAGGGAAAGCCCCGAGAGCCAAACTCCAATGCATTCAAGGAGCACATGAAGCGGGAGGGCGTCCGGCTCCAGAAGGCGCTGAATTCGATCGCTCACGGCAAGCACATCTTCGCTTATCACAATGTCCGCACTAAGCAGGTGGTCTACACCCTGACTCGGTATCTTGAGGTAAGTTATAATCATCTAATTCCCTGGGGGACTCCACTGCACTTCCAGCCAAACCGTCTATCTGCTGCAACCGGATCTTCTACAATCCGGCAAATGTCCTAACAACCATCACAGAAAAACAACCTACTCCGCCAAATGGTCTACCACGGCAAGAAGACTGTCCCTGCCGACATCCGCCGCGATATGTGGGTTCCTTACTACTCCGTTCACTTCGGCGACGCGCGCCTCGGCCTGCGAGCCTATCAACTCCTCCGAGAATTCTCAATGCAGCGCCAATTCTCTCCCCCAGTCGAGATGATCACAGTGACAAAGGAGTTCTTGGCATTGAAGCGGCCAAAGAACCCATTGGAAGCAGAAGAATTTGACGAGTTGAACAAGAAGCGGATCGGCAAGCCGATGGAGAAGAAGGAGCGTGCCCGAGTCCTCATGGACCAGAAGGCCACCTCGGTGGCAGACATTGCCGCTGTCCTGGCCATCCAAGAAGAGGAAATCGCGAACGGTCTTCTGGCTGATGACGGAAAGCGTGGATACCTGAGCAAGAAGGCCCGTCAACGCCGTCGTGAGGCCCGTCAGCGTGAGACTGAGCAGGCTGTGAAGAACATCATTCGGGTTGAGGCGCTTGAGCAGCAGCTGAGCGAAGGAAGTGGAGCGGAGGTCAAGATTGCCGAGGAGGATGGTGCGTACCCCGAGACTATCGAGAAGGTCAAGCTCCTCTGGCGGGATGTGCATGATGCGAATCACGCCGCGACGTGGCCCAGCCATGTCGAGCACGGTGAGCTGGAGCTCAAGCGTACCACCATCATTGGACGTGAGCGACAGCTCGAGGGCACCGATGAGGTTGTTACGGAGCACGAGTTCAATGAGCTGAAGAAGGAGTAAGCGGCTATCGGTTTGATGTGTCGCTTCTGTATCTTTCCAGTCTTGTCCCTTTCTTCGACCGCATTGAGCGATTGTGCAATTGTTGATATCTCATACCTCCTTCCATCTGATTTTGGACTCAGGCGATGGGTGATTGTGTATTCTTTTTGATATGTTTTGCCCAGCTACTGGAACCACCTGCATAAATTGTATTTTTAGACAATTCTATTCACTATAGTGAAAATAAGAGATAGTCCCAATATCCATTCCCAAGATGTCGATCTACGAGCGTAACACTTATTTCTCAAGCATAGGATGCTGTAGTACGGACATACCCCGTCTCAGATTACATTGTGAGTGAAACATCCATAGATACATACACACTCGAGGTTACATGTCGTTGAGAAGTGATATTCAAGAACAAAATAAGAATGACAAGATCAAAAGGTCTTAATCTCATGAGCCCAGAGCGGGCAAAAGTTCCAAATAGATAGGAAAGATGCCGATAGCAAGGGCATTGCGACAGCCAGGTCCAATTCCTTGTTGATGGCAACAGGAGTGGGAAGAAGCAAAAAAAAAACAAGGTTGAAAAGTCATAAATGACGCTGACTGGCAATGTAAATCAGAAGGAGCAGAACGACAGAAGAAACCCCCGATTCCCACGTCAGCCACATGCTCCGAAGAACATCGACGTGGTATATGGAGAACTAACGAAGTATGTGCACGTTCTACCTGTCTACTGCTCCTGTGAAATCCGATCGGGCCAGAATGTATCATAAGAAAGCTTGGGACGATTAGCGAGTCGTCCGAGTTTCTGACGGGCCGAGAATGTCAACAGAAGGCAAATGGCTGTGGTCGTCGACATTCATTTCAGGCCCGGGTTCTTCGTCGTTCGCCATTCTCTCGAGGATTGCTTCATTAGCCTGCTCGGCTGCCTCTGGGTCGTCCGCTATCCCGGCACTGGCCATGGTTTTCCTGGCGCCCTCAAGAATCTTGTCGGCTTCACTGACGCCGTGGGAAACGCCAGTCACATCACCATCGACACCAATTGGCTCAGCCTTGCTGTTGACAACATCCCTGACCCGATTTGAGTCGAGGCGGATAACCATACAGGACAGGTTATCAGTGCTGAAGCGGGCAAGAGCATGGTCCACGAGGATCTTGGATGCGTGCTGGGCGTCTTGCACATTGCGTATAAGATCAACAGCCTCTTGGTCACTGCAGACATCCCACAACTATGAAAAAGCGTTAGCTAACACAAACATGACAAATTACAAACTGGATCAGAACATACCCCGTCGCAAGCCAGAATGATAAACTCATCGGCATCAGGCTGGATGACCGTCTCCGTGGTATAAGGATGCCCGGTCACCAGGTCCTTGAGATAAGCATCACCAAGAGCTCGAGTAACAGCTAGCACTCCGTTGACACGGTTGTTGAGAATCAGACCACCAGCATTGGAAATCCTTTTTCCTTCATTCTCATCACTACCCTTATGGTCATACGATAGACGCAGGGCTTTCCCATTACGGCACAAGACGATGCGAGCATCACCCACGTTAGCAGTGTAAAGGACGCGTTGGCGAGCAGCCTTTTCCTGCAATTTGGGGAGGGGTCCGCTAGACTGTGATTGTTGAGTCGGGGTCTCAGTGCTCTCGGAATTAGAGTCACCCTTGGTCGCAGCGGCAGCTGCAGGGGCCAAAGCAGCGGATCCAGTGGCTGAATTTGAGCTGGGGATGCGGTCTTCCCAACGGAGCACGGCAGTCACGGCCGTACACCCGCTGTTCTTGAGCGGCAACTTCTCCAGCTGCTGGTCGACGCTGGTAAATGTCTGATCGAGAAGCTCGGGCACGGGCGTGTTGGGGCTTCTCCGCATGATCTCTTCCAAAATCAAATGCAGCTTCTTCCCGCACCACTCGGCGGCGAAAGTACCGGCGTGCCCGTCGAAGATCGCGAAATATCCATTGTCTGTTTCTACCACATTTGACGAATCATCGGAGGTCTGTGACGCGCTCGCAGCACCGGGGGTCTCATTGCCGTTTATGTCGGGCGTTGCATTCGGGGCCGGAGTACCTAAAAAGTTGTACAGGTAGGCATGTGTGTCTTCCATGGTACGGCGGCATTTTCGGTTCTTGTCTTCTGTGACACCGACGCGAAAAGATGAACGCGCAGTAGGTGCGGATTCTCCGGCCGAGTTATTGAACGACCCTTGTGGAACGCTGAGAGCGGGATCCATCCTTCCAAGCTTCTCCAGCGGACTCTCCGAGATCGAGGGACTGGTGCTGAACGAAGAAGATTCCCGACCACCGTTCGAAATGAGAGAGTTCTTGGCGTTACTGAAGAAGCTCGCGGCTTTAGTGACAGTGCTACTCCTGCGTTTCTTCTCACTGGAGGGGCCTTGGTCTTCGCTCTGACGACGAAAGAATCCGGCACCGGGCGGGGAAAATCTTTTGTCGCGAGGACTGGCGTTCTCGGGTTGAAGACTCAAGGAATTCGAGTCGATTCCGGTCACGGGGGGTGTAGTGTCGATTCTGTCTTTGGGTGGGCTCGAGGAGCCACTGAACATTCTGTTCAGCAACCCACCCTGAGAAGAAAAACTACGGCGCTGTTTTCCTGCCAGCTTGATTGTATCCTGACCACGGATGGGGGCGGTTCGGGGGTAAGATTGGCGGGGGCGAAGGCGGCGATCCGACGGACTGACGTAGGGTCGGGCAATAGAGTGAAGAGCTATACGATCAAAAGAATTAACGTCGATCCGGATTGGATGGTAAAGTCAGGCAAAGCTGATGATGAAGCGAAACAGTGAAAGAAGCCGCCCATGCCCCGTAGTCAATGGGGGAGGGTAGCTGGAGGGGGGGGGCAAAGAGGGAAGCGCCCTCGTAGCTTCAGAGAAGCGCTCGAAGTGAAACCGGCCATTGAGATGAGTTGAAGCTATCCTAGGACGAGATGAAGCTATCCAAAGGAACACACACACACTCGCCCATCGACCATCGACCATCGGCCATCGACCAACATCTCATAGAAGCGTCTCATGCTTATGGGCCAACCCCACCCGCGAGCGGAAGCCCCGGAAAACAATGCATATGGTGGCGAGTCGTGCAAGACATGCTTACCGTGATAAAAGTGTGTACTGAGTAGCTTGGGGTAGACGAGATGTGAGGTGTAACAAAGAGGAAGTTGGGATGATGCCGGAAGAGGAAAACGGGTCAACTCCGCCCCGTTGCGTACAAGACTCAAGCGGAGGAGCCAAGAACGGAGAGGACGAGTGGATAGTGTGGGCCTTGGGAGGCGACTATTGGCACTGGTTACTACTAGCTACCAGTCCCTGTAGTCCCTGCTCGATCTTGATCTTGATCAGGCCAATTTCACCGTAAGGGGTTTCACGCTTACTCTAAATCTTCCATGCCGATCTCTGCTGACGTTGGCATCTATAGAAGGACGTTCGTCATCATTTAGGGGCTATTTGGGAATGGCTTCAGTTGCTCCCCTTTTTACGAACTCCACTCGTAATTAAAAATCATATCCAAGACCCTTCCTCATTTTGAATCTAGCCCGATTTTGGAAGTTTTCTGGAGATGAGGCTATGATGAGGCTACCATGAGCTAAAGTCCCCGAATCCCCCCATGCCCTTAGCCTTCTTACGAGCGGGCTCAGGCTCAGGCTCAGGCTCGTCCACAAACTCTACAATTTCATCTTCCTCACGATCGGCTAAAGCAGCCTTGAGGTATTTTCCAACCCCGGTGGACCCGCCGTCTTCGTTCGCACCGGGTCCACGTACGCGCTTCCCGGTCCAGGTGACTCGGTCGTCATCCTCGCGACGGGAAGCCTCACTTCCGTCGACCGTGGAGGTGGGGTCCTGTGTGTCTTCGGCGCGTTTCTTCTTCAGGAAATCTTCGAAAGGATCCACAAATACTGTGACTTCCTTAATTCGGATCTCCGGCATGGGTCGATTCGTGGTTGATTCCACAGGGTTGGCTTCCAGTCTGTTGAGGGTGGCAGATGAAGGGGTCGGGTCGTCAATGAGTCGCCCGAAGACGGTGTGCTTGCGGTCGAGGTGAGGGAGAGCTCGGTAGGCGAAGAAGCTAGTGGTGTAATTGTTAGCAAGATGGCAATTCGATTTGGACAGCTTTCAACTCACAATTGACTGCTGTTCGTATTCTTTCCCTTGTTGGCCATACTCAATGTGCCTCGCCCATCGTGCTTCAACGGCCCTTCGAACTCATCGGCAAAGTACTTGCCCCAAACACTCTCACCTCCTCGTCCAGTGCCAGTAGGATCACCACCCTGAATCATGAATCCCTTGATATTGCGATGGAAGGTGACACCCTTGTAGTAGCCCTTCTTGGCAAGCTGGATGAAATTCCACACGGCCTTGGGGGCCTGCTCAGGATAGAGTTCCACATTCAAGTGTCCAGCAGTGGTATCAATCCGAGCGTAACCCTTGGCCTTGATCCGACCCCGTTTCAGCATATACTCTTCCTCGGACAGAAGTGCCAACTCGGCTGACGTATGGGGTGTCAAGCCAGTACTGGTGAATGAGGCAGCGGCCTTGCCCGTGGTAAATCGTGCTGCGTTATAAGGTGTAGCCTTCCCCGGCTGGGACTGTCCCGGCTTTGACAGAGCTGAGCCCGCCGCGCCGGTCTTAGAAATAGCTGTAGAGCCAGCAGAGCCAGCCTGCTGCTGTGCACGCTCGGCGCGTGCTTTGGCCACTGCTTCCTTTGCTTTCAAGATCTTAGCTGAACTCCCCAGCGCATTCGCATTAACACTACCCGAGGCTTTGTTCTCCTCCAGAATCTGAGTTTCGCCTTCCTTCAAGTAATTGAATGAACTGAGGTTGCGAGACTCGATGTTCTGCGGGTCCTGCAGGGTGATAATATCCTTGCGGCTGAACTCCTCATCAGTGACGAGATCGCGCCAAAGCTTCCCCTTGATATTCAATCGATCCACCGTATCCCAAGAAAACACGTTCCCCGTGTTGCGCAGAGCGACGATGTGCGTGTTATCCGTCAAGGTCTTGTAAGTGACCGGGTCGACATAATCACCATCCTCGTTCTTTGCGATCGTAAGCTTGATCAGGTCGGAATTTTTTAACGGCGATCCATCCACCGGGTTTGTCCCATGCTTTTTTATCCACGGAATAATGTTTGTGAGGTCAAAGATAGTTCCTGTAGGCGTGCAGACCGGGTGCGCAAATGGCTGGAGGGAGAGGGAGCAGAAATTGAATGGCAAGCGTTTAAACGCTGCGTGGGGGCCTCCATTTCTGGCCCTGGAAACACCAGCGCCCGCGCTGGCTGAGAAGGCATCTTCCGATGCCCACTCGGAGTGAGTAATCTATATGAAGAGGAGTGTCAGCGGAGATCAAATATGCGACGAGTGGCGAGGTAGTAACTGAAAGGGATCGCGTACGTAAAGCTTGTCCGTTCCTATTTCCAAGAATGTTAGTCTTTATTAATTGTAAAGTCAGGTCTCCAGCATATACCTTTTCCCATGGTGCTTGAAGCTCAAGCTTTTGTCGGCGCGCTTTTTCGACTCGAAAGTCCGCAAGAATGACGCAGGGTGTTCTAGCCCCTTTGAGATTAGTGCACCAATGTGAAACCTGAAAAAACAGGCATCAATGTATTCACGGTGTCTGAGGCTGAAAGTCCTTGTACATACGTAACATCAAGGATACTACAAGGCTCCTTATTAGAATCAAAATGCTATGCGCGAAAGCGCGCAACCATTTGGAAAGTAGGGTTTAGATTACCATGATGAGCATTGAATGTGAAGTCGCTAGTGATACATGTACATAGTTTTCCCCCCTATAAGAACGCCTAGGAGAACCGCCGGATGAGCATCGAAACCCGTCTCGGTATCCCCTCATCTCGAAACAAACGCCGTGTATGAGTTCATAACGTGAGTGGAGCCAATGAGTTCCATTCAAGCAGCCAGAGTCTGGAGACGCAAGGGTACCACCCATCGGTTTCCGAAATCAATTCCGTGCCGTCTTCTGGTTCCATACTTTCGCCATACGATCTGGGGGATGCCAATGTCGGCAACCGTGACTTTCCAGGTATGCCCTTCGCCAGCGAGAAGCGCGCTTAGAATGCCGGTCTTTGGGGCCCCGAGACACACCACGGATGAAGTGTTGATGCATAGTCGACCCCCGTCGACAATAGATGCCTCGCCTGAATTCAAATGTTAGTTAAGGGTAGAGAAGCAAAAGGCTTTGTAGAAGGGACATACCGCTGGAAGCAGACATTCCGGATGGAACATCCACTGAGAGGACGTGAACATTGCTTCTGTTCACCCATGAGATCATTTCAAATGCCACAGCTTGGTCGTCGGTACGAAGGTCGTCAAAGGCAACGTGCATGCCAAACAAGGCATCCATCACCAGATCAGGAGCCAGCTCGGAAGTGGACAGGCGAGTTGAGAGATCCTCCCACTTGAGGACACGTCCTCCAATCTTTCGGAAGATGTCCAGCTGCTTGCGGCAGTTCTCCAGCAGCTCGGCTTCGTGTTCCAGGCCGAGCAAGCAGACGGTGACACGGTGGCCGCGGTTGCGGAGATGGCGCGCGGCCGAAATAGCACGAGCCCCAGTGCGATGGTTGCCAGTGATTATCAAGATAGTAGGCGCAGCTGCATCGTCCGAAAGGAGACCAACAGCTGCCTCGGCGATGCCTCGGCCTGCGTTCTCAGTGATGATGTCTTCACTCAAGCCAAACTCCGCCACGGCGATCTGCTCGACCTCAAGAGTCTGAAGTGGGCTCACAGTCGGGCAGCTGCGGTTAGTGGTTGACAGCCGCAGAGATGCACTCGACACATTGGGGCCGATCATGGGCGAAACGGATGATCTGCCAGGATGAGGGCTTGTGGTTCGAGAGGTGTTAAGCTGAGTACGACCAATCGCAGTGATCTGTGGAATGTTGGGCTGTCCCAGAATAGTGCTGCTCTTGCGGGTGGTCTGAAGGCGAGATGCTCTCGACCGCTCGCGTCCGGAGATGTTCTCACTACTGAGCCTGGTATCACTAATAACATCATCTCCGGTATCACTATTCTGCGGGCTATCGAGCACGTTCTCAGTCCAGTGAAGGTTCTTTCCGCCGTTAGTTCCTGGCTTGACCTTTCGGTTGAAACTGACAAGGCGAGCCTCGTCTGCTGTGGTATCATCGTTTCGGATCTCTTCAAACACGCGCCGCTTGTCGAACTTGGACAGGTTGCTTTCGAAATCGAATTCACCAAGTTCCTGGATATCTGTTGCATCTTCTGTGGCCCAGCCGCTGGGGTCTTCAACATAAGCACGGCGGGTCTTTTTCTTGCGAAGCTTTGCGCCGGACTGCATCATGTGCTCGGGCGATGCCTGGATTGCTGGAACGGCAGGCTCTACAAATGCGGTCTGGCGCCAGCCTTTACTCTTGGGGTTGGTGCTTGCAGTAGACCCATGTTTAGTCGCAAATCCATCATCATTGCCTCGTCGGTTACGTCTCGAGGGCTGCTTGGTAGGGGTCAAACTCTGTGAGCCTTGAAGCTCCATCTCCTGCGAGGTTCCATGTACGCCAGATCTTCCACTGTCGACATTCAGCTCGAGATCACTGAATGGCTCAGTCAAGGAGGCAGCAACTGGTGGGGCATGCTGAGCCAGCGGCCGTGGGGCAGGTGCCTGAGCGATTTCGGAAGGGGTTTTGGAAAAGCTCAAAATCGCCGGGTCGACAAACTGCTCCTGGGTACGCGTTGCTGGAACCTTCTGGGTCGGGGGATGCTGCGGGGGAGCAGAGTTGGTTGATTCCAGGGAGAGGTCCATAATGATGGAAGCGTCCAAGGAGTAGTGGGGAAGACGCTGGCCGTTCCACAGGAGGGTTACTGTAAGAGACAAGCGCAATCAGTTATCAGTGCACATATAGAATATATCTCAGACATACCATTGTGAAGTAGTAGGTTTTGTCCAATCACATCGGCAACTTGGCCTTGGAGCTTCCCACCAGGTGGTGTTCGAAGGCTCACTAGCACGTTGTACCCAATGAACTCGGAAGCCATGTTCACTGGATCGCACGTGAAATACGGGGCGCTAAGAGCATTGGAGGGAAGGATTGATTCAAGGTGTTGGTGGGGGGTAAGCAGGGGACAACTTGTGCAGATGAAAAAGAAAGCTCGGGCAGCTCAAGGCGGTATCACGTGTTGTTATCGATAAGCAGGTGTGGGGGATGAGCGCGTTTATCTATGGAGTCAAACACGTAAAACACGCGTATTAGATCGTTTGCTCGATCCCATAGAAGATGCAACACGACACGTTGGTAAATTCGTCTACATCTGCAGATGTGCTTTCCGGTCAAATATCTGAAGTTTCATGTGAGGAAAGTGTGAGAGAAACATGTGGTGAACATTCTGGGGATATCACTATATTGAATCGATACATAGGTAACATGACAGCCCCAATCAAAACCATACAACGAACCTTGCATGATCGTTGCATGACCAGCACACCTATATACCATTCATAAACTCATCGAGCCCACCAGTTTTCTTGGGTTTAATAACTTGCGTGATGGAAACCAGGTTATTGTAGAAATCAACAACCCTAGGATGGACCATAACCTTTCGAGGCTCGAATCGAGTGACTTGTAATCCGGCCTGAGAAGTTGCTCGACTCAGGGCTACATAAGCCTGACCCTTCTCGAAGACTCGGCCCAGGTCAACCTTAACTCGCTGCAGAGTTTGACCTTGGGCCTTGTGGATTGAAAGAGCCCATGCCAGAATTAAAGGCACCTGTTGGCGCTGGGCTTGCACTTCTCCATTGGGAAGCTCAATCTTCCAAGCCTCGGGCTGGCAGAGAAGATGTCTTTCTGTGCCATCGGGCTGCACAAAGCACACCAACGGCCATTTTCGTGTAACCGTAACGCCGCCTTCTTTGTGTGCCATGGGCTTTAGCTTCTTCCTCGCACGAGCGAGTCCTTCATCATCATCTGGATTGCCATCTCCTGCAGCAAAGTCTCCTTCATTATCTCGATAGTAGTCAAACGTCGACTCGTCCATGAAGGCCACTACTCGTCCAATGGATCCGTTGACGAGGGAGTCTTCCATGTTTTTGATAAGCATCACTTGAGCACCTTTCTTGAGGTGAATAGTTGCTGGGGCCATGCAATTTGACAGAAGTTTTTCACGATGTTGGGGATCCTGGATGGTACCAGTATCAATGGCGTTAAATGTCATCAGCTCGCCAGAGAGCCTATGCATCCGCTGGGAATTGGCATTCTCAACCTCAGAGCGCGTGGGAAACCTAAACAGAATCAGCATGTGTAGAAAAGCGATCAAGGAGGAATATGTCTTACAATTCAGTTGCGTCAAGCGAGTCATGGAAGTTGAGCGGTCTGGAGAGCTTTCTGAACGCTTCGATTGTCGACGGGCTAATGTTGCCCAGCCGCATCTCATTGAGCATCGCAGCAAACTCGGGGTCGCGTTGACGAAACACGTGGGTCAGAAGAATGGTGTGTTGGATAGAAGTACTCCAGGTAGCCGCGGAGAATGCGAACTTTGCCTCGCGGTTACTTCCATCTGGTACAGGAGGCAATTGGAAAAAGTCGCCTGTCACGACTAGTTGGATTCCTCCGAATGGTCTCCCGTTGTTCCGAATGCGCCGGGCAATTTCCTCGAGTTTGTCGAAGAGGTCGCCATCAACCATAGAAACTTCATCAACGACGAGAACCTTTGTGCGCAGCCAACGGTTCCGTGCTTTCTGGTTCTTCTTGATCTAATGATTGTCAGTATTGCTTCATCCCTAGTCATGTTATAATAGCACACCTTCTTCACCAATTCAGGCACGGGCTCTTTGCCTAGACCAATACCAGCGAAGCTGTGAAGAGTTACACCCTCGATGTTACATGCTGCGAGACCCGTGGATGCTGTCACAGCTACTCGGTCTGGCTCGCGCTTGTATTTCCTGCGCAAGTGTTTGATGATCTCTCGCATGAGAACGGACTTTCCGGTACCCGCCGATCCGGTGAAGAAGATACTCTTTCCACGTTCAACAACCGCATCGAGAACAGCTTTTTGTTCATCACTCAGAAATATGCCTGCCACTTTTTCTTCGCTCTGAGGTTGTGGGGCTTCATCGCCTTTCTGAGTCTTCCTGTATTCACGTCTCAGTTCCTTCTGTTCCTCCTTGATCGCACTCGCACTCTTGTTCCAGGGCTCTGACGGTTTTGTGCGCTTCGGAGTTACAAATCTGGGAAGTTCTTTGTTTTCTTGTTCGGGTTCTTCCTTGGCTTCCTTCAGCCATGGCAGGGTTCGCGGTCTGGGGGGCGGTTGGAAATGAGACGGAGGAGAAGAGGACCATGGGATTTGGACGCTGCTTGACGGCGCAGCACGTTCCTGCGATACAGGCGGCAGATCCGGATATGTGATGTTTGCTTGCGGTTTTATTTCCTTGGTAGGCACCGTGCTGCTATCGCTCGATGTTGTAAGGTCGATAGTAGGATAAGCGACGGAGTCTGTATTGGTAGGCTTACTAGCGGCCGGTGCGGTGAACGGAAGAGGCTCGTCGATGTCAAGGTCGAGGTCATCATCGAAGTCGTTTTCGTCGAAATAAACAGAGCTGTGGAGGGAACCGAGCGAAGACTCCACGCCGTTGTTCGTCTCGATCTTGCGCTTGACGCCGGAGGTTTGGGGAGGAGATGGCGCAGATTTTGAAGTAACAATAGTGTTTGCGCGTAGGAAATTAGACTGGAGAGGTTTAGAAGCCCCTCCAGGATGGTCCTTGACGGCTTTTTTGAACATGGCGGTTTCCGGGGTTAGACGTAGTGTGGACGAACACGCGGACGGCGAGCCTGTTCGGGAGCAATTCAGCGAGAGAGACTGAAAACTTCGTAGACGCCGTATCCTGGGCCTGGTCACATGCATAAACGAAAACAAGAAGACCCGACAACTGTTATTTCAGCAATGCCAATGCGGAGATAATGCGGGTCGACGAGTTTGTTCTTAACGCGTGAGTGACGCGCCCGGGCTTTATTCTCGGTGGCCCGATTCCTCAGGTTGAAACTTGGATCCATGTCCATGTCTCTTCCAGTGTGCTTGCTTCCCAGCATAACACTCCGACATTTTACTGCAAGTATTCTCACCTTGATCCTTTAATAGCTTGCAGGGCTTTATTCTAGAGCTACACAGCACTTGTGATCTTCCTCCTTCCTGTGGTCGGCGTACCAAGGAGCCTTTACAACAGCACGCTATTAAGATTGGAGTATAGATTGTCGGCTTTTGAAGATATGTGTAAGGGAAAGTACGGACGGTTTAGACAAGCTGCATGAATGGAACTCTTATACTAAAACTTCCGAAATTAATATACAACTATAAAGAGATTAAAACCAATTTGAACTAGTTATAGTCCACGCTCCTGGAGCCATAGTCGTAACTGCAAATTCTCCAATTCTATACGCTCCGTTTCAGCCCGATATCGTCGTTTCCGCTCAGCAAGACTGATATCATGATTATGTTCAGGGTTAAACTGAGTATAATGATTGACACCAGCAGAACGTCGCAGGTCCCTGGTAATAGAACTAGTTAGTAATCAGTCACAAAGTAGCTTGAAACTAGTAATTATACATACCCCGTCTGCGAGCGACTTGCTCTACTCTGCGAGCGACTTGCTCTACTCTGTGAGCCACTCGGTCTGCTCGGCGAGCGACTTACTCTGTTCAGCGAGCTTCCTCTACCACGGCCTGTAGAGCGTGGGTGAGGAGGATGAATATGGCCCGGTGAACTAGAAATAAGAAGGATCTCATCATCTGGACAGTCTGCATCCTCCTCCCTTAGCCTTGGCTTTTTCCGAGAGGGCACTTGAAACTAGTTAGAAAATACTTCTGAACTAGTTATTAGTGTCAGACTTACTCTCGCGAATTAGATGGTCATAGTGACGTCTCTCAAGTGAACTAGATCGATATGAGCTACAAGCAGCCCGTACACTATATTGCTCGACATCGCGTTCATCAAGGAGACAAGATCTAGGAGCAGTGATTAGCTTGAACCGAATGAGATATTAGTCTGAAATTATTTAAAAGCGTACTCATGAATTGCACCTGACAATGAGACATAAGTTCCCATAAAATAGGACTTATAATGACTCTGCTCCACTGCGCTGGTATGCAACCGAACTTGATTCCAGAATTCAGGTTTCATGCGAGAGCAAGCTAGACAAAGACCTGCCGCAATGACTGGATGTCTTTTGTGGATAGCCCAGTCTGTAAGATAAGGCTCGTTATCTAAATAAGTTAGTAACTAACTATAGGCTAGTTTTGTGATCATTCTTACCGATAATCAACTGGACGAGCTTATAGTAATCATCCACTGTTTCACAGTCTAGGAGACTAATCAATCTCGTTCGCGCAGTCTGGGAAATCTCGCCTTCTCGGGCAAGAAGCCTTGAGACCGTCCTGATAAAGTGTACCCGGCAGAAAATAAGGATATTTTGACACTGCCATTTCCAGTCTCGATGATAATCGATATCCTGCTCTTGAAGGTATAAACCAGGGCCTATAGTAATTAGAATTTAGTTTAAAACTAGTGAAAATCCAAGTTTCGTTTATACCTTTCACTTGGTTATAGCACATATCAACAATAATTGCTTTGAAACCACTACTGTGAAGATAATAGAAACGCGTCGGTGCTCCTGAAATATCTTGCAGGAGCTGAAAAACGTAGGTAAATAGCATTTTATAGGCAAGCGGACTTTGCCGATTCATAAATTCACGGCAAAGAGTAATGACTATTAGGATGTTAATATATCGTCTTAGTTTAATATTAGTTGATACTTACTCTTTCCGTGCTGAGGTAGAAATGTCGCGAAGATAACCTCATTAAATTCACCGTTAACCCGTTTGAATGACACATTGACCTCGAAGGCGTCAAGTCCACCCCAGATTTTTAACTGGCTATCGAGAGCGCAGATAATAATAGTGCCCCAGACCTCATCTGTATAGATTCGACGTGTGTATACCTAAGATAACTAGTTAATACGTCCTCCTTGCAAGCTCCGTTCGGACAAACAGGAGAGAGCAGTATAGAACCAATTCGTACCCTGAATTCTGGTCTGGTATTGTAATGAAAGAGAATACAATTGACATCTTGTCCGTGAGGGAAAGCCAAAGCTCGTTGCTTTTCTATAATTGCTGAGAATCGATCAAAGTTGGCGAAGCTAGTGTGTATCTCGGCAAACGATTTAGATTTATGTCTTTTAAAGAACTCCTTCAGAGCAGGACTCTTTAAAAGCATGCCTAAGAAATAGAGTCAGAATTAGTAACTGACTAGTTTATGAACTAGTTTATAACTGGTATGGAACTACTCACTCGCTGTGAGACTAGGTCCTTGGATCTCTTTCACAAGTGCAACCACTTCATCAAGGATGATCTGGGGCGGCTTGCTAGGTGGTGGAGGGGGTGGGTATGCTTTCCCCTTGAATAGAAGATCATATATGGATGTGCCACAATGTTTACCGAAATAAAGCTGCACATATATACACGGCATCCAATCTTTTGTAGACTTCCAACCCCTTGGGGATGTTTAACCACTAAGGAAAAGCTAGAACCGGCTTGGAAAACAGTTTAACTAGCATAGTGCTCCTTACTGCACTTGCTACGGCGTGTCGTGAGTTGTTCCATAGTTGCGCAATACTCAGTCTGTCTGTTTCGTTGTTGCTGTGTAACAACTTCCTGAGTGAGAAGCTCTGCCCTCTTCTGTTCTATCTTCTGAAACATTGGTATATCTGCACTATAATGGTGCAGATTCTTAATTTCGGGATCAAGAAACTCGCATGCCTTAATACCAGTGCAATGGTACATTCTTTTCTTTGCTTGACAGTCAAGGAATGTGTTAAACACCTGCGTAGTTGAACCAAACGCGCAAGTAGAATACTGTGCCTATAATATATATCAGTTCAGAACTAGTTCAGAACTAGTTTCGAGTTACTTTACCCCTGCCATCATTTTGACCACTTTCTCTCGGTCAATTGCCTCAATATATCGAAGGTTAATGATATAGGCAAATCCATGACCGTGGGAATTAGGATAGTCAGGTAGCCATTGTACATAATCAAAAGATAATGCAGACACCATTCTTACCCTGGGTAAGAGGCATTGGCATTGGCGGTAGCTAAGCTAGTTGGTAACTAATTCCATCATAGGGATCATGTTAGATTTTTACCTGAGTATCCGGGCTTGGGATAGCTGTATTCCGCTCATACAAAATTTCCTCATCGATTTGAGATACAAGCTCCTCTAGGAGATCTGTTTCTGTATGACGAGGGGGACAATCGAAATTGATGAGATCATCGATTATCTGTTCATCGGTTTCGATCGATTCAAAGGGGTTGATAGCGCTCATCTTGAAGAAGTAATTCTAAAATGGTTGCGAAGCAGTTACTTGGTAAGTAGGTTGTCCAACAAACCCCAAAACAAAGTAAATTGACTATTGTGGGCCACCGGTGACCCGACCCTGACCCTAATAATACGTATCACGTGATCAATGGAGATCCCGGTGACACGACCTCTCGAGCAGCGGGTAACGCGACCTGTAGTCTTATCAAAGGTCCTTGACCGTATCTTATCTTATCGATAAGCACGTGACCGTGCATTATCGCGACGCGCCAGACTCGACTGACCTTGAAATCCAATTTACCACATAGCTCAGCACTAAGGCTCCCTGGCAGAGACGCCATTGAAACCGGAGTGGGGTACATACGGATAATGAAGAATGGAAGGGACAATGGCTTCCGGTAAGTTGACTAATTTACCCCATCCGAAAGCGTGTCCCGATTTCTAACCCGCGGAGTTATAGACAAGGAGCACCCGCTCGAGGGCGCAGTCATATGCTTTACGTCGGTATCGCTGGAGCAAAGGGTATGTCTCGCTGAAACCCAACTGGCTATCTTGGCGACTCCAGACGCATATTGACATGCAAATCTCCAATACAGACTCAACTCATTAGCGTTGCAAAGGAAATGGGCGCATCTGAACGACCGGATTTAACATCAGACGTGACCCACCTACTCGTTGGAGCGACCGACTCCCCAAAGTACAAGTTTGTGGCCCGTGAGCGGAACGATGTGGCGGTGTTGAAGCCAGAATGGATCGAGGCTGTACGGCAGTCGTGGATGCAGGGAGAGGACACGGACATTCGAGCGTTAGAAGAACAATACAAGGTTCCTGCGTTCTTCAACCTCACGATTTGCATTACCGGGTTCTCTGATAGTGAGCTCTCAGAATACCTGCGATGAGTGGACAAAGCTAATATTTGTGGCAGTGGCCTTTCGGACCAAAATGCATGGCAGCGCCGTGGAAAATGGAGCCGAATTCCGCAAAGACCTGACCAAGAGCGTCACCCATCTTATTGCCCGAAATACGGAGGGCGAGAAGTATAGATTCGCGACGCAATGGAATATAAAGGTTGTGACCGTCAAGTGGTTCCACGACTGCCTCGAGCGCGGGATGATTCTCGACGAGGAGAAATACCATCCGATGCTTCCACTGGAAGAGCAAGGCGTGGGCGCATGGAATCGATCTTTTCCAGCGGCGAAGGCCCATGCGGGGAAAGAAAGGTCTGCTGCCACAGACAGTTCTTCAAACCCCCGGCCTAGGAAGAAGTTGCGCCGAACTGCGAGCACCAAATTGGTGGGCCAAAATGAAAATATATGGGGAGACATCATTGGTGCTGGCTTCGCGAATAGCGAGACGACAGACGCAGGGACAATCCAGACAGGGGATAATATCGAGAAGCCTAAACCCTTTATCCAAGCCGCAAAATCTTTTGCGAGCGAGACAACCTTTAACGAAACCATGGACAATCGTCATCAGTCGGAAGCACATTCAAAAGTTCCTGAGGGCTTTCTTGATGGGTCCTATTTCTTTATCAACGGCTTTTCTCCTAAGCAGATGAGTGTCTTACGACATCATCTCCAATTTAATGGAGCCCAATGTGTGGAAACACTGAGTGAATTCTCTCGCCCGAGTATACCCAAGACCGGCCAAGGACTGTACATCATTGTACCCTACAAAACAGACATATCAGAAATCCCATCGACCGATGACCTGGCCTTTGAGTGTGAGATTGTGACAGACATGTGGCTGGAAAGGTGCCTCGATGCCAGAGCACTGGTCTCACCAGAGTCGCATGTTGCAAGCACGCCTTTCCCGAAATTCCCCCTCCCAGGTAAGGATTTTTTACCACTTCATATATAAAGACTGGATTTTAATATTACTAGGATTCTCGGGAATGCGGATTTGCTCTACTGGCTTCGCGCGTATCGATCTTCTTCACCTCTCCAAGCTTGTGGAATTGATGGGGGCGACATATGACGAATACCTTACATCCAAAGCTTCCGTGTTGATTTGCAATGATCCTCAATCTGCCAGTCATGATAAACTACGGCACACTACCGAGTGGGGAATCCCAGCAGTATCCGCCGACTGGCTATGGATTTCCATTCAGTCTGGCCAGAAGAAGCCATTCGAGCCGTATATCGTCCGAAGACAGACAACGCAGAGCACTAGTAGCATGTCAAAGCCAGCTCCAAACGAATCGTCTCACCGTAACACTGGAAAAGTGCGGGACGAGCCTTCCCGAGGCTCCCCAGGCTCTCACAAAGAGAGAATCGATAAGCCCAAATCAGCGAAAACCGGCAACACTCGAATCATGCCTATCATTGGCGACGGATTCTCCCAAGAAGAGGATTCCTTCGAGCCACCCAAACCATCAGTCCCAGAATCACGATCTCCCTCGCCGGAAACGATAGCAAGAAACCAGCCATGCGAAGACCAGACCACCAACCAACCAGTACCAGACGAAGCAACTCCAGTCATAGCTCCGTCCGCACTGGACACAGCACTAAAAGGTCTTCTCCAACAAGCCCAAGCCGCCAAAACCCGACAACAAAGCGATAACACCTCCACCAACGAAGAAGACAGTCACCCTCAACAAAGAAAACGCAAGCCTCTTCTGGGTCGTGCACCATCCCATCATTCAAAACCCGAAGCCACAGGCCCCTCTCGAGCCAGTTCAATCGACACACTCAACGATGACGGGCTAGGCACTGCCCTAGAAAGCGCCGACCCAACCCGCGACAACTCACTGTCCCGCACTGATAGCCGCAACGGCCAAAGCCTCTCATCCATGTTCAGCAGTAGGAAGTTCGACTTCCTGGCTGATAGACTTCCCGCCCAAATTGATGATGAAGATGAAGAGAATCAGGAACCTCAGATGACCCAGCTAGACTACGAGGATGCTGATGCGGCTGCTATGAGGGCTGAGTTCCTGCGCGACGCCGGGAAGGACGTTGGAAAGATGAAGAAGCCTGACGCGGGTTTGCTTGGTCAGGTTCGTGAGTTGGAAGATGTTGGGTGGGGATCTGGGCGGAGGACTAGGAAGCACATTCCGAAACTCGATGATGAGTGATACTTCTTTTCTCGATTGCTTTTTTGTTCGTTGCGCGCAGGGGTTAAAAAGGATGGTCTTATGGCTTTGCATTGCGAATGGCGCTCCTTTAGCTGCATGGAGTTCGGCCGACAGATATGATTCACTTATCTTGCATCCAGTCTAGAAGAATAATACATGATCACGAGAAACAGCGATTTTATCTACTCGCAAGCCAACGAATGCTGTATTCAAACGCCCTGGCAGAGATAGGCCTCTAATGTCGACACTCTGATAACCATTCTAGAAATGGCTGGAAAAAGACTGAGGGAATTTTGATAAAGGTTGTTGTAGGAATCGTGACATCAAATTCAGATGGGAATTTAGGGCTAAAAATTGGAATGACCTCCGATGCACACCGACACGCCATGTATAGAGACACGAGAAAAGAGCGAAACTTTACTGCTCTTTTAAGAGAAGCAGTGACAGTATTCGCACAGAACAATATGACACAAAGAGAAGGGATATCGAGAATGAGAAAACGACAGAGAAAAAAAATGTACATGCCCAGAGAGATCGGGGATATGAGGCAGGACTTTTGAGAGAGTGGGGTTTGGAGGCGCGGATTGAGAAACTGCAGGCGGGGTGTATGGGTTGTTGATGCATGCACGTTTATGTTCATGCCTCAATGGCGCCTAAGCCACCAGGCAAGGGAGCATCCAGGTCGAGATCTTCCACAGTGCGACGGTTTTCACTGCTGTCGCGGAACAGGTTTGCGAAGTACTTGGTGGCGACTTCGCTCTCCTGCTTCACCTTGCTGACCTCCTGCTTGCGTCTTGCGAGATCCTCAATGTCCTGGGCCATGCTGGCCTGCAGGTTGGTTGCGGGAAGACGGAGAATGCGGCGAACTTCGCCCGAAATACGATTGGCATTTGAGTGGACGTAGTCCATTTCATCGAGGGTGGCTGCGATCTTCTTAGACAGACGAGGAGGCAAGGTGTTCGGAATAGAAGACAGCACGTAGGCTGTTGTCAAGAGGGCTTTTCCAAAGTTAGCATGAATATTCAGACGGATAGAAGACCTGAAAACTTACCAGCAGCAAGGATACTCGGGAAGAACATCCGACGCATGTTGTTCGGGCCGACAACCTTGATAGCACTGAGTGCGCTATCTACCCAGCTAAAGCCACCGAAGACCCTGCCACCAAGAACAGTGACAGCGGTCATTGCCACGCCAGTGCCTGCCATCTTCTCCTGGCGCTCCCAGAGACCAGCAATGTCAAAGAAGTCCCAGAGCTCGACCTCTGTGTGGACTTGTCGACCACTCAAGTGGCGACGGCCGCGACGGAACATTAGATCTGCACGGAAATTGAGAGCAGAGAATTTGTCCTCGCCAATGTGCAACAGACCAATGTTCTGAATGAAGCCGACTCCCTTGACTGTCTTCTCACGGGCATAATCCTCACACCCAGTGACGGCTGAAGAGATTTGATCCAGCATTGCAGCCTTGAGATCCTCGGCGTATTGGAAGACTGAGAAAAGACCGGGATAGTCAACACCAAGGTCTGCCTCGGAAACCCGAGCAATGGTGTCATTCAAAGTGGATCGGGTGTGGCTGTAGACATCCTCACACGACTCGTCGATGGCCTTTTCAACGCCCTCCGCAAGCTCGCTCTTCTTCTTCTTGCCGTTCTCGTATGCAGGCTCTAGTTCTGATAGTTCCCCCGTCACGCGCTTGAGCTCTGACTGAGCGATATCGCGATTGACCGTTGCAAGCGAGTTAAGATCAGCAAGCAGGTTGAGCAGGTAGGTTCGCGCAGGCGCAAGCTTGGACCGGGATCGTTTCTCGAGAACAAAGCGTCGCAAAGCGCCTTCCAAATTTTCAAAGTCCTGGATCTTTTCCCTTTCCTTGCCTTTGCCCTTATCACCGTCATCATCATCGTGAGGGTCATCGCCTCCACCATCCCCACCCCCAGAGCCAGATTGTGGCATGGGAGGGGCCACGGGAATAGCGTTACTCGACACAAAGTGAACAAGTTCATCGGCCTCCTTGTATGTGCGAGGGCTGAGCTTGCCCACTTGGTCGAGAATCAGGCGCTCACAGCGTTGCTTGTCCCGGATCTGATCAAAGCCGTTCACCACCATGAAAATGTAAGCCTTCTCATGTGCAGCGTTTAAGATAAACTCTTTCGCCGAAAGGGTGAAGTGGTTGGCCGCAGACACCACGAAGACAACGACGTCGATTTCTTCCTGTCTAGCAAAGACGGCAGTTGTCTTCAAAGAGTCCGAGTTCAAGCCTGGCGCATCAATTAAAGCGATATCCACCACACCATTGTTGAGGAGAGACTCGTCAATAGATCGGACATCCTTGATGTAGACCTTGCATTGCATATACTTTGAGTTGTCGACCACGATGTTCTCAAGTTCGGCGAGAGGATAAACATCGTACGTGCTTTCGTCGTTGCGGCTGTATTGGACGTCCTTGTGCACTGCATGCACCTCCTCAATTCCGCCATTCTCCCGAGCGTCCAACACCTCACAGAAAAGACTGGTACAAGGCTGTTGATCTTCAGGCAAGACCTTCCGTCGAAGTAGAGCATTGCAGAATGTTGACTTTCCAGCATTCAAATCACCTGTTACCAGCACCTTGCTTGATGTATCCTCGATTCGGTCTCGGAGGTTGAGAAGATGCTTGACGCTCTGACTGATCTTGCCATCTAGCAGTGACGCAATTGAGGCTTTCTCCAGCGAGTGTACCAGCTCAGCCTGAGACAGTGCACCCAACTTTAGATCCAGCTTCAAAATCGAGAATTCTTGGGCGATTTGAGGGGTCACCAAGCGAGGCTCAGGCGTGGCGCGGCGCTCGGCAGTGACACTAGATTCTCCGAAATTATCTCCACCTGCTGTGGTCGAAGCACGCTTCAGCGGTCCAGGCCGTGGAGGAGTCGATGGTCTGCCACGACCTTCTCCGGTGTCTGTGTTGGTACGGTGAAGTTGCGGCTGCTCCGAGGGCGAAAGAGGGGCGTTTTGCACAGAAGGATAGTGAGCCGGCCATTGGCGGTTCATATCCTGCAGCTCCTTCAAAGTATCGATGGTTCGGGAGATGGCACGACCAAGTTTGGTCCGATTCGAGTTGCTAAAAGGGCAGCTGTTAGCACTTCAGAAGGCCAAGAAGTATTTTGAAGATTCCGCATACTAAAGCAGTTGGTGAACATGGTTCGCGACAACTTGTTTCTCATGTTCGGCTAGGGCGCGAAAACTCATGTTAGTCAAACTGTATATAGAAGAGCCATTATATCAACATCTTCTTAGGTAACTCACCAGCAGGATTCCACTCGCCGGGACGCGTCGGAGTATGTATGGGAGTCGGTCGGTCCTCCATAAGTCCGGCACGCCAAGCGGCGTTCGAGTCGCCCTCGATGGCGCTTCCATCCGCGATGCTGCCTCCGTATCCCGAGTCCTGATTCAGCGACGTCATCAAGCCCGTGGCACTTTCCGAGGTCGAGCCGTTGCCCACAGTCATGTAGGCTGGCGGGGGTGGGAAGAAAGGGTTCCGTTCTTCATCTTCGCCGGGGAAGCGAGATGATCCAGCTCTCGAGGAGCCCTCGCCGGGGTAATATTCCTGACTCATGGCGAGGTTTGAGCCATACAAGTGTTTTTGTTTGGAAGTTGGATGGGGAGATTTCCAAGTCAAAAGTGACGTTTGGGCTCAAAGCGGTTTAGACTCGGCATGTGACCAGGTACGGTTGGTTACCGTTATCTTACGTCCCGCCTTGATGTCACAGCCCTCTGTAGCTCCCCTCATATTGAAATCATGAATGTGAGTTGTCTACAATCTATTCGTGGTACATTACTGATGTCTCTATCAGGTCATTGAATGGGCCTTCGGCAAGCGTATGACGCCTGCGGAGCGTCTGCGCAAGCACCAGCGGGCCTTGGATCGAACACAGCGTGAGCTGGATCGAGAGCGCACGAAGCTGGAGAACCAGGAGAAGAAACTGGTGCAGGATATCAAGAAGAGCGCAAAGAATGGCCAGATTGGAGCTTGCAAAATTCAGGCCAAGGATCTGGTGCGGACACGAAGGTCAGTCTGCACTCCTGCGCTGCCTGTCGACCTTGAGCTGACTATAGAAACCGAGCAGATATATTCAGAAATTCTACCAGATGCGCACACAATTACAGGCCATCTCGCTTCGTATCCAGGTATGAGAAAGGCTGCTATGTCCACCCGACCCCACCCCGCTTCTACGGATGCTTACCATTGTTTACCCAACAGACCGTCCGAAGCAACGAGCAGATGATGCAGTCCATGAAGGGCGCGACTATGCTCCTGGGCAGCATGAATCGGCAGATGAATCTTCCTGCCCTTCAACGCATTGCGATGGAATTCGAACGAGAAAACGAAGTTATGGATGAACGACAAGAGATGATGGACGATGCGATCGACGAGGCTACAGGAATCGAAGGCGAAGATGAGGAAGGAGAGGACATCGTCAAGGAGGTGCTCGATGAGATTGGTGTTGACCTGGGCATGTCGGTTCGTTACCTTATCTATACTGGGACAGATGTATCATGTGCTAATTCATCTCATAGCTCGGTGAAACACCTTCGGACATACAACAAGCCGAAGCCGCCAGCAAGACACCTGTTGCGCAAGCCGTTGGTGGCGGTAGTGGCGGTGGTGGCGGAGGCGGCGCTGATGCAGGTGATGATGACCTCCAAGCAAGGCTGGACAGCCTTCGACGATGATGACCATAGTTCTACTCCCCAGTTTTCGTATTCTACTTTGTTCATTACCAGGATCTGCAGCCGGATTTGGTTTTTTTCGGCGTCAGCCTCCATTTTCATAGTCGCCTTTTATCCCGATGTGTTAGCGTTTACTACAGTTGAAAGTACTTGGCTTTGCTGCCTAAGATATATTTACCCGATCTAGACATGACAACGCGTCAAGTTGAAGGTCTAGTCTACAATATAGCTCCTACGTCAATGAAAGCATGTTCATTATTAAATGCCATACTTATGATAATATCTGGTGATCTCCTGAGCGTCAGGGAGCCCAGCGTCGTGGTGCCTTTCTACCTTGACAGCATAATGGCAAAGGTTATGTAGATCAGCGCCTGGTGAGTTCTTGCGTTCATGTGCAAGAAAGACCACAGCGAAAGCTGTATTAGAAAGGTTCTAAGGTTAGTATAACTCATAAATAACTGGGGGAGGAGAACTAACATCCTGTACCTAGTGTTCCATAGATCTACATACGCTGGCCGAGGCTCTCACATATATTCGCCACGCGATGAAGTAAATCATCCCTCTTGATTGGGATCACATGGTCCATCAGTTTCGAGTCGATCTGTGTCTGAAAAGCGTGTCCAACAGTCCGACTCGGGTTGTATCCGGGAAAGTCAGTATGCTCGCACCTTGAAATGTTTAAATCATCGCGCATTTGAAGTGAAATGTGAATTCTATCCTGGTAGACTCGATTGAGTTGAGGACATTTCCTGGATAGTCACTCTTCTAGTTAACAGCTCCCGGACACGATAGGCAAACCCTTGTTTCCAGAGCTTTGGGGACTATCAGCCCTTTTCGGTCGAGAATCAAGCCATATTGACAATAACTTACTAGACCCAAGTCTACCTCGAACTGAAATGATAGGATTTTTTCGAGGGGTTGAGCATGGGTTATATGCTAGATTAAAACAAAAACAAGTTTTATAAAACCACAATTTCTTCACAGAACGAGCAAATCGAGAAGTCACCAAAGAACCAAAAATGGCTCTAAAACGGTAGTCCAAGATCACAAAGTCTTTCGCAACAGTAGCCTTTGTCTCTCGAGCCATAATTAGAAGCCAGACATGCGAGACTCTCCAGACTGTTTCGAGTTTACAGGTTTGTCAAGGAGAGGATCCAGAATGACCCGAATCAAATGCCATGACTTATCTGGAAGAGACATTCAAAATGAGGTGGTAGTTTGGGATCCCGCACTAAATTTGAGGTAGTTATCACGATTTGATCCGTAATCACCAAGCGGCAAGAGGTAAGCACTAAAGCGGAAAGGGAAAGCCCAGAGTTGCCGGCCACTATGCGGCACATACGTACTTCAAGGAGGCTTTTCACTTCAAGGTAGAAAAATTAAGATAAAACAAAGCTACAACGCACGGGGCATCCGATTAAAGTTCGAACTATTTGAAGCCCGGGTGAATACCAAGAGGCTTATAGATGTTGGCGGCATCAGATGCATTGTGGTCGCAAGTGATCGTGATCTTCCCTACCAAGGTTGTTGTACCTAAGCGAAGATATTAAGTGTTGAATAACCTGGCCCCTAAATATTTCGTAATCTACATTGGTAGCGAGAATACAAAAAAGACATGCATGAACAAGCAACTGCCTGGTGAGGCTGAGGAAGCTGATGAGGCTGTTTTGGGTGCCCAAAGCTTTTGGGGCGGCTCTCCGTCTATCGGCGGGCGCAAGGGTCTTAGATCAGCGCTTTACCAAAATGGAGGGATGGGGCTGAAAAGTTCGTGAAGCTCAGATATTCTTTGAAGGACTTGACTAACCAATCGATTCAATTCGATGCAGTCATCTATCCGGAAACCATCGCCGAGGTCCCGTTATTGGAGCGTTGACTCTGCCCGGGTGTCAAATCATGCAGCCTGTAAGGGCGAGTGAGGCTGACCGCTGATCTTTGGGGAACACGGGACTGTTTCGAGTGTACCAAGCGCGTTAGGAGGAGGCTCTGATTTCACCCAGGTCACTCCAAATTTGGCTTGGATATTTTAAAGAGTCAGATATAAATATACCTAGCGTAGTCGGGAACGAAGAGGATATCCTACACTGCAGAATTGTCTGATCTTCGCTCCTGGCACTTTAGGCAGAGCTATTTATGTGCAACACCGTGGCCTCTTCTCTTCTATTAGAACCATGACTACATTCCATCTGGATGATACTGCAAATGACTGCCAAGAGAGCTGTTCGGGTTCGGTCCGGGCGCAGCCATCACAAGTATCACCCCAGATTCGAACCAACACCGTCCACTTTGACGACCAAAATGACTCTTGCTCGACACGGATACCGATACCTTCACTCGAACAGGCGCCAAATACAACAGTCTATGAAGGCTATAAGTTCTTCAAAGCTGATCCTAGCCCGGGCCAAAAGGCGGCATGGACCCGGGTGGAGCGTACTAAGATGCATCTTGACCAAAGCGAGTTCTACAAGATGGTACAAAAACGAGCAAATAAGGTTTCAGCAGCACAGCAGTATCAAAATCTCTCTGACACTCGCCGTGCTCACGTGAACCAACTAATCCATGAGCAACGGCGTAGTGACCCCAATGTTGAGTGGAGTTGCGTCTATGCGAAGGAGCGCGACAGGCCTGCAAAGGCCCGCAACGCTCATCGCAATGATTACGAAACTGTCTCTATGGACATTATCCTCATGCGGAGGCCTATGAAGACCAAATCTTACCCTAGGACTCCGATGGGCGATTTGGTGGATCTTGGGGTTCCTTTCCGTTTAGATGGAGACGATCTCCAGAAGACGCCCATGCGCTCCGAAATAGTTTCGCAAGAGCGACCCCCGGAGCTGTCCGGTCTCCATTTTGTGCCCTCTAATATATGGCAGCAGAAAGACCGGCCTCTTGCCCTGGTGCAAACTATGATGCCGGGCCATGTGACCCAAGGACCACTTCCTCACCCTGTGTCTGTCACTACTCCATTTACTAGGTTGGAGCTGGGCCAGGCTTCGACCCCTGAAACCTTTGATATAAACGCCAGAAATAGACATGAGAAGTGAGTCAATATGCATAAATCCCAATCAAAATCCTAATTAAACTCTCTGCTGCTGTGGGAGTAAACCTGACGTTTAGAGTGTTATAGTGCATGCAATGGACAAACCAATGTCGATAAGGATGGAGGCTGGTCATCTGAAGCTTCTAGCGGGGAGGATGATGACTCCATGATTTTTGATCAATCTCAATCCGATGCAAGCTCTACGATTGAGGGCTCAGGAAATATGGATTGCGATTATGCGGACCGTCTAACTCCCCAGGAGACTACATACCAGTCGCGGTCTCGTAGCCCCACTCATCGTGACGCCAATCATGGCTCTCACTACCGCAAGAAGTCGAGAGGTCGTCATATGGAGAGAAAGGAGAGATATTACGCTTGGAGGCATTATCACATTGACATGAAGGGTGTTAAAAATATCCTGCCTGCCATGCGTGCACGGGGCCCCGGAGCAGGAAATGCAGATCCTAAGCTCTGGGAGAAAAGGTATCGGATCCAACGGATGGACGATGAGGAGGTACGCAGTCGACTTATTGACTGTGAGGCAAGAATTGAACAGTGGGAAAGAGCCTTTGAGCATCAAACACGACTACTGCAGCAGAATATTGAAGAATCGCGCCATTTGCAGCGGTCTCGATCTTTCTGGGATTTCTCCCAGGTGCCCACTCATTGTGGATGTGACTGCCCAAAGAATGGGCATGATGAACAGTGAACATCGCCACTCTTTTTATCACTTTCGGTTTAATAGCATTGTGCTTTGAGAGCAGGGGAGGGGCTGTTGTGATTTCACTGATTTGACTTTATATGGAGGATCTATGCTTAATCTGGGTTGGAGGGAATTCTCTGCTAGAGATAGGAGGTGTATCTATAGTGTCTTACGCAAATATTGAAAGATGGATATTTGCTTCACAAGAAAGATGCACCCGATGACTAGGGAATTCTCGGCCTGGAGCTATCGAACAAGCTCAACAGCTAGGACCTAGACAGGATCTATAGTATGCGCGAATAGCTCAATTATAAGCTATTATTTATTCTTGAACAATGTCCCATAAAGTTCTCGTAGAGTACTTCCAAGGGTCTTTAGGTCCACATAAAAAGTGCCGGCTTGGAAGTAACCCAAGTATAAAACCGGTGGATCCGATTCGGTTATGTCATGGATGCCCGGTGAGGCACCGATCGCCGGGATGTAAATGCCCCTCCATTTCTCTTGGCCGCCCGATTCTCTTCCCATATTCATCCCAACTCGCTCTATTTTCTCAAGCAAAATACCTCAACAATAATTCACCATGCCTCGCCAATTCTTCGTCGGTGGTAACTTCAAGATGTGCGTACCAGCTCACCCCAGCTACCCCGCGCTCAGAGCCCCTCCATCCCTCCCAGGCAAAATTAGCTGCCAGTTCAACGCAATTGACATCAACACAGGAACGGTGTGCAGGAGAGCATCACCAACATTGTGAAGAACCTCAACTCCGCCCAGCTCGACTCCAACACCGAGGTTGTCATCTCCCCCCCGGCCCTCTACCTCACCCTCACCCGCAGCCTCGCCGACTCCAAGATTGGCGTCGCTGCCCAGAACGTCTACGACAAGCCCAACGGTGCTTTCACCGGTGAGATCTCCGTTGAGCAGCTCCGTGACACCAAGATCGACTGGGCTGTCATCGGCCACAGCGAGCGCCGTGTTATTCTGAAGGAGTCCGATGAGGTATGTATCTGCTCCCGCAAAACGGCCCGAGAGCTTCGGCATCTACGCCCTCAGTTCGAACTCAAAGCTAATCATTTCCTCAGTTCATTGCCCGCAAGGTCAAGGCTGCCGTCGAGGGCGGCGTCTCTGTCATCTTCTGCATTGGTGAGACTCTGGAGGTACGTCATTCTACTTCGGTTACCCGTTTTTTTCGTGTCCCGGTGTGGGTCATCGGGATAGGCGTTGACAAAGGTCCTCCGCTTACACCCGACTTTTTACTACAGGAGCGTGAGGCCAACAAGACTATCGAGGTCGTTACCCGCCAGCTCAACGCTGTCGCCAAGGAGCTGAGCAAGGAGCAGTGGGCCAAGGTTGTCATTGCCTACGAGCCCGTCTGGTAAGAGACATCGCCCCCTGTTATACTAGAGCATGTTACTAACTATACTTCAGGGCCATCGGCACCGGCAAGGTCGCTACCACTGAGCAGGCCCAGGAGGTTCACGCCGCTATCCGCAAGTGGCTCGGCGAGGCCGTCTCCGCCCAGGCCCAGGATGAGGTCCGTATCATCTACGGTGGCTCCGTCAGCGAGAAGAACTGCCGCGAGCTCGCCAAGAAGCCCGATGTTGACGGTTTCCTTGTTGGCGGTGCCAGCTTGAAGCCTGCCTGTAAGTTTATCTGGTTGAACCCTCGCTGGAGCCAGTATACTAACCCGGCTCACAGTCGTCGACATCATCAACGCCCGCATCTAAGGTGTTTATTAGATAATTTGATACTCCGTGCCAACAAAAGGTTAGGCAAAGTAAATATGAGCCTTGATTTGGTAGGCCAAGAGCTAAAAAGCTTTGAACGTGAGATATGTTGTCATGAGAATATATGTACAATGTGCGCGCCGCCAGTATTTCCGGAACTGCGGCGTATTAAAAAACCGATGTATGTGAAGTAGGCGTTGGTCGAACCAACTGCCAGTCGTAGTACACTTGTGAAAAGACGAAAAGGAGATGCGTATAATGATCAAAGACATAACTCATGAAGAGTACATCACTGAGACTCCAACCCCGCGCCAAAACGACGTACCTGGCCCGCTGCCTCCACTCTGCGACACCCCACCCCCGGAGGTAGCAGAGGATATGATGGGCGATGAGAACGAGCCCGGTCCCAGCCCGACACCCGCACTGACAAGGAGCTCCTTGACTCGGCCTTCCCAAAGCAGACGAACATTCCAGGACTGATCGACGCGAAGCTTGATCACAGAGTCGCCAGCCTCGCCTTCATCCGCGTGAGACCTGACGGCGGAATCGGGTTGAACCGGGTCGGAGACGAGTGGAGAAGACGGCGGGGATCCCGGAAGTGAGGCAGAAAAATCATGCAGGCGCATCTTGCGGCGTGCCCATGCAAGTTCGTCATCGCTGGAGGTAGATGTTGATTTCCTACGCCAGAGCTCGCAGCCAGCGACCATCTCACTTTCCCAGCTATAGACATTGAAGCCGAAGCGGGAACTGAAGGCGAGATTTGGTGATGCGCGAAGAGAGTATGTTGTTGATAGAGAGCCAGTGACGGGCGTGAGTGTCAACGTCAACGTGTAAGGGAAAGTGGAAATGGGCGTGGGGTGGTTGGATGAAGATGATGCCGAAGGTACTTGGGTGGCTGCTGGAAGTGTGCTGAAACGCAACCCGGTGGACATGCCAATTAACGAGGATATCGGGGAGTAGTATGCCTCTGCGCCGGCCGAAAGAAGCGACAATGCAGGCGGGGCGTTGGCTGGAGTATAACGAGGATCGGGGCCAAAGTTCCAGAGCCCGCGCCATCCGAAGAGCGCATTGTCGGTACTGAAAAGATATTCATTGCAGTATTTGCCCGTATCGTGGGATAGTTGGGCCAGCATGGAAGCCTGCGGCGCGGAGTTCGACATAGGCGGTCCCTGTGTAGAACAAACTGCTAGAGCCAGTTGCATGGTCGGCGAGATCCTCCGCAGGAACAGTGCATTCAGCGTGGTAGGCGACGGCAGGTGTAAAGAGGCATGGAGGAGAGTCGCTTTGCGCTGCGCTGCTTCTGCTGTATTCTCTCCATCTTTGCTCTTTGGCAATCCTGGGCGCAACCCATCTCTGATCCCAGGGATATTCACGCGATCCAGTATAGAGTCCCACCCCCATGTCTCGACAGGGGCAGAAGGCGCTTGAACTTGCCGATATCCGGGTGAGATCTTTCGAAGGGGAATCAAGGCACTCCGACTGGGCGTGTTGTGGAAAGGCACGGTGCTGAAGAGGTATGAGACTGATCCATCAAGCAGTCCCACTGTGCCGAGCGTGTAGCTGGTTGCAAAATGCGGTGTAGAAAGCGAGGAGACCCGGACGCGCAATCGCTCAGGAGTCGAGAAGTCCAGAATCGCTGTATGTAATGCATCAATTGAAATCCCCGGCGCATCCCTGAAAGGCCGACTTACATTGCGTAGTGGTCGTCAAGCATGAGTAAGAATTATCGCGATTCCAGTTGGTGGCTTCCGCAAAGGCCAGCTGGATATAATCCATGAAATCCAGCATTGTCCCGTCGAGACCGAGTCAACTGGCGAGGACAGTCCTGACAACATGAAGTCAACAGCAGCTGGTTGCCCCATCCGGGTTAGTGGGGGTCGGATAAGCCCGGCAGAACAATTGATCCGGTTATCAGCGAAAAAAAATGCCACACTCGGTCCCCGTCTCTATCAACCAGTCTTTAACAACATAAAAACTCCATCCATTTCACAATGCCTCGTTCAAAGCGTGCGCGCGTCGTCCACGAGTCCAAGACTGCCAAGAAGGACCACAAGGAGCAGACCCGCCGTCTGTATGCCAACATCCGGGAATGTCTTGAAGAATATGACCATATGTTTGTCTTTGCGGTGGACAACATGAGAAACACATATCTCAAGGATGTGCGCTCCGAGTTTGCCGACAGCCGGTATGTGGATTGTTGCTAGTTGAATACGGGACACCAACTAACTCACATGCAGTGTCTTCTTCGGTAAGACCAAGGTCATGGCTGTCGCTCTTGGCAACAGCCCCGAAAACGAAGCCGCTCCCAACATGCACAAGCTCACCCCCTACCTGACCGGTGCCGTCGGTCTTCTGTTCACCTCCCGCTCTGTTGAGTCCGTTCTCGAGTACTTCGAGAACTTCCGCCCCCTGGATTTCGCCCGTGCCGGCACCAAGGCTACCCGCTCTTTCATGATCCCCAACGGTCTGGTCTGCTCTCAGGCCGGCGAGATCCCCGCTGAGCAGGATGAGCCCATCAGCCACACCATAGAGCCTGCTCTGCGCAAGCTCGGTGTCCCCACCCGTCTGGTCAAGGGCAAGGTTATGCTCGAGCTCACTGAGGGTCAGGAGGGTTACAAGGTCTGTCGTAAGGGCGAGACCCTCGACTCCCGGCAAACTACCCTCATGAAGATGTTCGGTATCACCTCTGCCGAGTTCAAGGTTGATCTTAAGGCCCAATGGTCGCGGGCTACCGGCGAGATCAAGATCCTTGAGCAGGGTCAGATGGAGGTTGATGCATAGATGCGCATGATCTCGTATATTGTGCCTTTATGTCCTTCGACTTATAGTCGACCAAAAAAGATTCCTATGGGCATTCTTATGGAGTTTGGGGCGGCGCTCTTCTTTTTTCATTTTCTCCAGATATATTGAAGAATATTCTTTTTTTCCCATTTTGTCCACCCGTGAAGACTTGGTGTCTTCCGATTGATGTCAATGATGATAGATACCAGATTGGATCAAAAGTCTACCTACTTTAAGAACACTTCTCTTCTATGTAAATGGGCTCAATTCTCAACTACCTAGCAAGATGCCTGCTTTTAGTGAATGCACTGGCCCTTACCTGGTCTTACCTGAGAGTCATATGACATTGATTTCCATCGCCTGAACTCCTAAGAATATTTGAGAGACTAAGAATACATACTTACCCCCCGAAGCGAAAAACGAAGTGCCAATAGGACGAGGGCATTGGAAGACATGAAAAGAAATGAAAGGGGGAGAACCTTGCGAACCCTCGATAAAAACGACGTGGGAAACAAAACCATTCTGGACTGCCGGTAATCGTATGCGTATGCACAGCCCAAGGCGCGCAGGTGCGTCTGAGACATACCCGCGAGACATCATCAGGAGTACAGGCTGATATAAGATGTCTTTGGTGAGACTTTCGATCGTGTGCGCTCTGCCGTCTCGGATCCAATCTCCATATGCACAGTCTCTCGTCTTACCCCCTTACCCTTGAAAAGGGGACGCGCGAAAGACAAAGGGATACCCACCAGCAAAATGACGCTGAGAAGAGAGAAGGTGAGTATCCATGAAAGAACATTTAGTATCGTCGGCGGGAGCGCGGGTCATCGTAGCCAGCTTCATCCTCACGGCGTCGCTTGTGACCAAAGTCCTCTCGGCCGCCATACCTATCGCGGTCTCGGTCGCCTCGGAAGCGGTCACCTCCACGATCTCCTCCACGATCTCCTCCGCGGTCATCACGGCGGTCACGGTAGCGGTCGCCATCGCGGTCGTCGCGGCGGTCTCCTCCTCGGTCGTCGCGGCGGTCACGGTCCGCGTAGCTATCACGGGGGCGAACGGGCTCGCGGTTGCTGCCGGTAACACCTCGATCACCACCTCGATCACCACCGCGATCACCACCACGATCACCACCACGGTCGAATCGGTCACCACCAAAGCCTCCGCCCCTAAACCCACCACGGCCACCGCCCGGTCCAGAGGGTGCGTTCGGGGGCGCCTGTCCGCCAAAGCCGTTGCGTCCTCCTTGGAAGCCGATTCCTCCACGAGGTCCACCAAAGCGATCGCCGCGGCCTCCTCGGCCTCCTCGTCCGCCGCCGAACCCTCCTCGAAATCCACCACCAAAGCCACCAGGTCCAGAGGGGGCGTTGAATCCAGGTCCCATAGGGCGGGAGGGCATGGCCTTCGTGTATCCACGACCTCCGAGCCCACCGCCGAGACGGCGAGGCTTCCAGCCCTTAGTAGTACGGCCACGCTCAACATCCACCAAGACTCGTCGGTCCTTGATGCGAATTCCATCTGTTTCCTTGTAGGCGGCTGTTGTCGTTGGATACTGTGTTAGCAATCACATTTCTTACCAGGGATTGAGTTCTGCATTGCAAGAGTTGCAAGCAAAAATTAGCTGGCTTTAATACCTTTCATGTCTTTTTCACGCTCGTAAACGACGAATGCATAGCCTCGGTTGGGTTTTTTGGCCTTTTCAGATACCGTATCCTTAACGATGCGAATCTGAACAAGAAAAGACGTCAGTGGGAGTGAAAATGAGGTTAAGATCTAGAAAGCCGTACTCTTTCAATAGGACCAAAGCGACCAAACTCGCGTTCCAAGTCGGCCTCTTTGACTTCGTAGTTGAGTCTCGCGACGAAAAGAGTTCTGTACGGGTCGCCGCGAGCTTGCGGGTCCTTCTCGGGGTCGACTAGTAACAAGGTAAGCGCATTAGCAAAGTGACTTCGGATCAAACAGAGATAGTGAGAAATTTGAAGCGGGGATGAACGTACAAGTCTTCATACCCTCTTCAAGCTTCGCACGCTGGGATTCTTGCTTCTCCAGCTTCTGGCGCCACTTGCGCTGGATCCAGCATTCAGTCGCATTGTACGGATGCTCCTCTTCGTAGGTTGGCTGTTCTTCCTTGGCGCGAGCGAGATAGGCTGCTACACCAGAGATTGTGCTTTTCTTGCAGTCTTCCGGAGCACGCGTGGTCGGAGCGAGGTAGCGAAGGGGAGGGCGAGGCTGGAAGAGCGCCAGCAAGGGAGGGGGAAGCTTGTCCGTCATGATGGCCTACTGGATAATAAGCCCAGACAGCTCAAAGATGTCGAACAAAGTTGTGTCAGTTCAATGTCCAAGAAGTGGGACTCCAAGAGACGTAGCGAATGCGACTAGGTCGCTCCACGGGATGGGCTCCTATGCAGCCGCCATAGCCGCGACAGGCGTGTATTCACCGCTTAGGTCACCGCTTGATACTGATTTGCAGCAAAACCGGCACTTACGGGATCCCACCGCCTCTCTCGCCGCCTACAATCACGTGATAATGGAAAATGGGAAACTTCGAGATGGGCAGAACACCGGACAATCACAACTCAACGATGCCAGTGAAAGGAATCAGGACTGTGACCGCCGCCAGGGTAAGTGCCGAGAAAGTAGCCCATGGACGATAAATGCGATCAAAGATATCGATTGCCCCCCCCCCGTGGAATCGATTGGCTGACTCAACCACAGAATGGCGTCGGTGCCTTCATCCTCCAATGCAAGCGCCTCGATTTCCACTACTGCAATTTCGGTGGCAGCTCGCGCGGCATGCTGTGAGTGACCTGCAGTAGCGGATATTCTGACCATTGGTGCTAACAAGATGAAACTACAGTGCCTTCTTGACCCAGACTCTTCCTAGATTCGCGAAAGAGAACCCGCAAATCGAGATTCGCGTTTCCCCACGACACCAGAAGCACCCCATGATCAAGGGCCAATACATCAACGGCAATGAGAAATCCATTTGTGTGCGCAACCTCGAGCCCGAAGACATCCTGAAGAAGGCTATGATCCTCAAGGATGCTAGCGGAGATAAGCTGAAGCGTACCAAGAAGCCTATTACCAGTTTGAACGAGAGTGTGCGTGGTATCTGGTCGCCATACCATGGAGATCTGCGTGGTGTTTAAAGCGATCTACATTGATAGATCTGGCGTTTTTGATGGGATTTCCCGGTGGTGTCAGTCCAATTGATGGACCCCCGCCGTTGCATTCTACTGTATTATTGAAATGGTCCGATTCTCTTTTCTTTGTTCGTTGCTTGCCTTGTCACTTTCTGGAAGCCAGTGGTGCTTTGACCCGTACACCCGGCTATGCATCGCAAAGCCATGTTATTATATCAATCTGAATGGAATTCAACTCTACAATATACTTTCAACCCCTTCATAGAGGCAATTAAAAGTGACCAAGAACATTTCGAAGAAATATGGAAGAGTCCTGGGAAAGCCCCGGACGATGCCTGGGAGATGTCCTTGGTATTGGGGAAGCTCGACTGGAATGCGAGAAGAGGCTATGGAGATTCATCCCAGAAACAACCATACAAAAAGATAAAGTTGATATAACGCCTGCTGTGACCATGCCGCTTGGGTATCGAAGAAAGAAAAATTGCAAGTGCCATCCAAAAAACACCGACATCATGCAAGTGAGTACTGCTCAAGATCCTGACAATATCATAGGTAGAGGTGGATCATAGCCGTGGGTGCACTGACAGGTTTTCCACAGCCGTCAACCTGGCATTTGGCAAAGGGCTTTGTCTTCTGGGGAGCTTGGGCCCTTTTGGCCTTTAACATGGACCTGTTTTCTGCACACTCGCCGCAATATACCTGTGCAATGTTAGCATAAGCACATTTCATGTCAGACACAAGTCGGTAACTGACATGTCCACAAGGTTTTGAAACCCAGATCTCTTGTCTCTTTCCTTCTCCGGTACCCAGCTCCCACTCGCAGTTAGGACAAACTGCAACATCATCTTCACCCAGTGTACGCGTAAACCCTTCAGGTGCTGGGCTTGGGGCTTTGTAGACCTGGCGTTGAGGTCTTGGTTCCGGTGGGGTAGGGGGTCGCATTTCAAACGAAGAGTGGCCATAGTCTAAGAATCCGGGGCCAAAGCCGTTAAGCACAGATCCATCCCCAGAGAAGATCATATGGTCTGTTGGAAGCCGATGGAGAGGAGGTACTCTTCTTGAATGCAGAAGAGATACAGATGAGAGCATTCTTCGGTCCTCAGCGTCTTGTCGAGTACGAAATCCGCGTGCGAGGGTGCTTGAGATCATGGCGACGGGATCCCATTGTCCTCGAGGCGGTGGCTGCGCCCGCGGTCTTGTTGTAGCCCGAACAAATTGGACCTCTGGACTGCTAGACGGTCCCTCGCCGGGGTCATCATCGGCCTCTTCTTCAAGGTCCACGACATCTGCCAAAATGTTCCTCCCGAAGCGCGGAGGTCTTGAGGTACTTAAAGTTCGACTCTCCGAGGGGTGAGCATGTGTGCGTTGCGGGGGCGTCTCAGGTTCATTGGTTAAGTCAATCACATCTTCTTCCTGAGAGGTTAGGGGGGCGGGTCGTCGAAAGTCGAAACCATCACGAGGGGTTCTTATGGGTGGCAACCGAGCCGGACGGGAACCGGTAGCGTTGGGGGGTGGAGGGTGAAAGTGACGGTGCCAGGTATCATGGCTCTCATCACTAGATTCTTGTGACATCTGGCGAGGAGTTCGCTAAGAAATTATAAAAAAAATATGTTAGTCTATATGTTCATTCTATAAACCGATGGCCCCGCTTGCACAGGAAAGACCTAGCTCACCTTGGACCTGGCGCCCATGAACAGGACGCCGGGCTCATCACTCATAGCAGTAGATCCGAGAAAAGACTTAGTATAGGGCACACGGAGGTCGGGGATTTTATCACGCCACGACATGCGCAAGGGAGGATTCGGATCGAAGACCGACATGATGACCGAGCCCGAGTACCAAGGCGGTGATATTCTGCCAGAGGCGGTCGGCTTTGGCTCGTGCGGAATTGAGGCGGTCAGCAATGAAGCCCAGTGAGGAAGAAGTATATTGGGGTGTGGCTCAGCTTATAAAACCGGAAGATGGAAAAAAAGAAATCGCAAAGAGAACTGAGAAAGATCTAAAAGTGAAAATAAGGGCACGTGACGCCTCCGTTTCATAGAGATATTTGTGAATTTTGCTTGCATCAAGAGCTGTTGTGAACGCAATACAAACACCATTGAAACTCAGATATCCAGCTCTAAAATTACATATTTTGCCCCAATGATCATGATTGCGCCAGAACGGTAATAACACCTGCATCGTTCAAGGAGACGATGCTCTGGGCTGCAGATCCAAATGCCACAGCAACAGCAGGGACGGCACTCCGCAATGGCTCGGACCACTGCTTCGCTGATTTGTTGAATTGCTGGACGGTAATTCCGCTGGGGCCACCAGTCAACAAAAACTGTCCAGTGTAGTCCCAGAAGATAGAGTTGACATAACTTCCAGTGTCCAGCACCTTAGTTTCCTTCGCACTGCGCAGGTCCCAGATCGAGACCGTGGTGGACTGAGCAGCCACTGCCGCCAGGAAAGTACCGTTCTCAGAGAAGTGAAGGCTTTTAACGGGACCAGACATCGCGAAGTCAGCAGCGGCAGCTCCAGACTTGATATCGAAGATCTTGATTTGTCCGTTGACGGTACCGGCTGCCAGGAGGTTGCCATCAGGGTGAATGTGCACAGACAACAAAGCTAGGAGATCATTGTTAGTATGAGAGTAATTGTAATCACAAGACATAAAGTACTTACCGGAGTCGGTGAAAATCTGGGTAATTGCGGTGTTGGTGGACAGGTCGTAAAGCACGTAGCTCTTATCAACCCCAACGGAGGCAACAATATCACCTGTCGCATGAACTGCAAGGGCTGTAACCTCACCGGCGTGCGAGGCAAAGCTTGCCACCTCGCTGCCATTCTCAAAAACCTTCACAGATCCAGTAGCCGAACCAACAACAGCCTTATTGCCAGCCCAGGTGGCATCGGTCACAGGACCGTCTGTATTGAAAGTCTGCACCACGGCTTTCTGGGTGAGAGAGTAGACACCAACAACACCATCGACACTTCCAACAAGAGCCAGCTCTCCAGTAGAGTTGACTGACAAGGCGCGACCACCGGGGTAAAGAGCTTCGGAGGTCTCGAGGGGCTTGTATGTAGAGATTGAGTCACTAGTAGCCCATCCTTCAGGCACTTGGCGCTTGCGTCGGGTCTTCGAGAGACTAGATGAAAGAGTCAGCAAAGAAGAAACCAGATCATAAGTTCGAAGTTCACGTACCTAGCGTGTGTATTATCGATTCTCTCCGCGACCGCTGCAGGCAGACCCTCGGAATCCACCTGCATAGCTTCACCAGCACCAGCCGAGCGACTGGCACCAACAGTAACCTTTGAAAGTGCATCGCGGGCTTCATCTCTCTCCTTGGTGACTCGTGCGATCACGCGCACGGCAGCATCATGCTGGTACAGCGCCGCGCTCAGCTCGCGCCGTGTCTGTGCCAGGTTCTGTTGCAGAGTGTATGTTTCCAGAGCAAGTGCATCCCACTCTTCCTGAAATATACTGAGGAGCGAGGGAATGGAGGTGAGGGTAGGAGGGCGAGGCCGAACAACGCGCTGGGAGTTGATATCGATCAGGTCTTCGGTGGTCATCTCTTCGCCGTTGACGGGATCTTTGCCATTTTCGGCAATATAAGCCTCAATGAGGCGCTTCTCGAAGACACTGCCTGTTCAGAAGTTAGAAAGGTGCTGAGCGCAAAAGGCGACTGGGGGAGACCTACCGCTCTTGGAAGAGACGACAGGCACTTGAGGTGCCTCTCCAGAGACTGTAAAGAAAGTTCATTAGTAAACAGATCTGAAAGCTGCGATCGGTATATCGCTGATGATAGAGCACTTACTTGCGCAAAGCATGGCTAATTGGTGTGAATGGGGGAGGTGGATGGAGAAGACCAGACGCGCAGAGCGGCTCCTTGGACTTTTCGATGTGTCCTGTTTCGGTTTAGCGCGGAGCTGTTCCCAGCGTCACATATTCACTTTCCACTTTCTATTTTCCATTCAAGCACACTTCAATCTGCCCTTTGGCAGTGACCATTTGTTTTCTCAATGGCCAGTTCTTGATTCTATTACATTTGCTTATCGGGAAAATACAGCATGAACTTGACCTGATCCAGCTATAGTAGCTATCCTATTGATTGACCATGTCGAAGAACCCAAAGCTCGCCTACGGTACGCCCTATTTTCTGTTCTCTACGAGGCTCTTCTCATTGGATTCATAGATGCGAAGGAGCCCGCGTTTCTTCAGAAGCTCCGGGGCCACTATGGAAACAACGACGGTCGCCTGGAGCGACCTGCCATGCGCCCCCGAAAAGCCAAGAATCCCGACGACGATGATGACGCGCCTGTCTATGTCGATGAAGAGAGCAACGAGGTGATCTCCAAAGAGGATTATCAGGCTTTGGTAGGAGGTGCCGAGAGCCAGGCTCACGATGGGGGCTCCAAGGGTCAACCTGCAGAGGGAGACGACAAGACATCGACGCCGAAAGAACCCTCGGCGAAGCAAAAAAACCTTACTGAAGTCGGCGGACAGAAGAAGCGAAAGCAGGCTAAGGCCGTGGGCGATGATAAACTAGAGGAAGAAGCAAAGCCCACGTCTGAGGAAAAATCCAAGGCTTCAGTTCGAAAGCCCAAGAAGGGCAAGAAGATCAAGCTTTCATTCGACGAGGAATAAAGAAAAAATAGCAGAAATTTGTGAAAAGGAACCCAAGAATACACCTATGTAGGATTGATTCTATCCGAGTATAGCATCAGACCTGATTCATGATGAGTCAAACGCAACCATGAAAGTGTACAGCGCTAGCACAGCGAGTAAGAAGCTTTAGATTAGGGCACAATGGAAATATTAAACTATTCAAATATTTAAATGTTTGAAGATCAGCTCATTTCGTGGTAAATATCCAGTGACGTAGTGTGAAGAGCGATATCATAGCGGAAGCGGTTTGTATTTGCCCAATTTCTCAGCAACTTTTTTTTCTCCGACCAGAGGCCGACTCTCCCACCACCACATCTCGTCGCAACTTAGAAACCCGGGAAGTGGTCAACACCTTTCAAAATGCCCGTGGTCAATGTCGACGACTTGGTTCGCCTGCAGCGGAAGCCAGAGGACATTCGAAATGTAAGTGCTGCCCCTCCATCCCACTTCCTATCTTCCTATCTGATGGCATATACTAACGGCGCTAGATCTGCATTCTCGCCCATGTCGTGAGTCTACACAAGTACCAGGGTTTCAAGTTTTATCCTAGATTTCTAACCATTTTTTCTTTTTTCTTTTGATTTAGGATCATGGCAAGACCTCTTTGACGGACGGTCTTATTGCCACAAATGGTATCATCTCGCCCAAGCTGGCGGGCAAGATCCGTTACCTGGACTCTCGCCCAGATGAGCAGCTCCGGGGTATCACTATGGAGTCCTCGGCCATCTCACTGTTTTTCTCGATGCTTCGACGCCCCAGTCCCGACGCGGCTCCTGCGCCTAAGGAGTACCTGATCAACTTGATCGATTCGCCAGGTCACATTGATTTCAGCAGTGAAGTCTCCACGGCGTCTCGTCTCTGTGATGGTGCAGTTGTCCTGGTTGATGCAGTGGAAGGTGTCTGCAGTCAGACTGTGACTGTCTTGCGACAGACCTGGGTTGAGCAGCTGAAGCCGATTCTCGTTATTAATAAGATGGATCGGTTAATCACGGAACTCAAGATGAGCCCGAGCGAGGCTTACTCACATCTCAGCAGACTGCTTGAACAGATTAATGCCGTCATTGGTAGCTTCTACCAGGGCGAGCGTATGGAAGAGGATCTGCAGTGGCGTGAGCGCATGGAAGACCGTGCCAATGAGGCTGCGGCTGCCGGTAAGGACAAGTCTAAAAAGCACATTGTGGACGATGAGGCGGCTAGCATCAGTGAAGCTACCGAGTTTGAGGAACGCGACGACGAGGACCTTTATTTCGCGCCTGAGAAGAACAATGTCATTTTCGCCAGCGCCGTGGACGGTTGGGCTTTCACTATCAGGCAGTTTGCTGCCATCTATGAGAAGAAACTTGGTATTAAGAGAACTGTTCTGGAGAAGGTTCTTTGGGGTGACTTCTACTTGGACCCGAAGACAAAGCGTGTTCTGGGCCAGAAGCACCTTAAGGGCCGGGCATTGAAGCCCATGTTTGTGCAGCTAGTTCTAGACAGCATTTGGGCTGCATATGAAGCCACTACTGGTGGCGGTAAGGGCAAAGGGTAAGCTCCATCAACCTCTCTTGTGAGCATTGCAACTAAGTCTTGTACAGTGACCCAGTTTTGCTGGAAAAGATCACAAAGTCACTAAACATCAACATCCCGCCTTATGTTCTGCGTTCGCGCGATCCCAAGAACATCATGACTACACTATTCTCTCAATGGTTGCCTCTATCGACCGCTGTCCTGGTATCTGTCATTGAGTATCTCCCGAGCCCTTCGGCTGCACAAGCCACTCGACTCCCTGATATGATCAAAGACTCGCCCGGTGCAGACCAAATCTCCGAAGAAATCAAGGAGGCCATGATCAAATTCAAAACCGGACCTGAACAGCCCGTTGTTGCATACGTCAGTAAGATGGTTGCTATTCCCGAGAGTGAGCTGTCATCTAGCAAGAAGCGCAGCGGCGCTACTATGACCGCAGATGAAGCTCGAGAAATCGCCCGTCGCAAGCGCGAGGAGATTGCGAAGATGCAGGCGGAGGCTGGCGGAGGTCCAGGAAATGATGCCTTTGAGCGAATGACCTCTGCCTTCGAGAACACATTGATCACGGAGACAGAGGAGCCGGAAGAAGTGGGAGAAAAGGAAGACCCTGATCATCTTATTGGTTTCGCCCGACTCTATTCGGGAACTCTTAATGTTGGAGACTCGATCTATGTTCTGCCGCCCAAATTCTCGCCTGCGAACCCGCACGCGAGCCCGGAGCCAAAGAAGGTTACTGTAACAGATCTGTACCTGATGATGGGCAGGAGTCTCGAGCCTCTTCAGTCCGTGCCGGCCGGTGTTGTCTTTGGAATTGGCGGTCTGGCGGGTTACGTGCTCAAGACTGGTACACTCTGCAGCCAGCTCGAAGGTAGTATCAACTTGGCTGGTGTCTCATTTAGCTCTCCGCCCATTGTGCGTGTTGCTCTAGAGCCAGTCAACCCGGCGGACCTGGGTAAAATGATTACCGGACTCCGTCTTCTTGAACAGAGTGATCCTTGTGCACTGTACGAGCAGCTTCCCAGTGGTGAGCATGTCATCCTCACAGCAGGTGAATTGCACTTGGAGCGCTGTGTAAAGGATCTCCGTGAGCGGTTTGCTCGATGCGAAATTCAGACTGGTGAGGCTATCGTGCCGTACCGTGAGACTATAGTCAATGCCCCGGAGATGGCACCACCTAACAACCGGGAGTTCGGCCGTGGAAGTGTCGTGTCTCTCTCTCCTTCAAAGCAGATGACCGTTCGCCTACGTGTCGTTCCTCTCCCTGAAGCTGTGACAGACTTCCTCTCTAAGCAGGTTGGAACCATCAAACGTCTCCAGTCAGAGAAGCACAACACAACTGAGGCGGCATCGGAGGAAGATGTCATCCAGCAAGTTGCATCAATTGATGCCGAAGCTACTGGCGAGGCCCGCGAAGCCAACGTCCTATCCTCGAAGGAATTCCGCGACGAATTGAACAAGGTCTTCGAGGAGGACGCCACGGGTGACAAGGAGCTATTCAAGAACGTCGTCGACAAAATCATTAGCTTCGGACCTCGCAGAACCGGACCCAATATCTTGGTCGACGCTACAGCGGTCAACACCTGCGAGAAATTGTGAGTCAAACTGAATATCTAGAGTATAATCTTCCAAGCTAACAACTAGACCAGCTTACTCGACGACCCTAAACAATCCAACTCATCCGAAAATCACGACCAACAAGCCCTCCTAGTCCGCGACCTTTGTGACAAAATCGCCTATGCCTTCCAACTAGCAACAGGCCAGGGCCCCCTCTGCCAAGAACCAATGCAGGGCATCGCCGTCTTCCTCGAAGACCTAACCGTCCACGCCTCCTCCAACGACGAGCTCGACATGGGCCGCCTAACCGGCGACGCAATCCGACTCGTCCGCGAAGGTATCTCCCAGGGTTTCCTGGATTGGAGTCCTCGAATCATGCTCGCAATGTACAGTTGCGAGATTCAAGCTACCAGTAAAGTTCCCACCCTACTACACCAGAAGTAAAGACTAACCCCATAAAAGCCGAAGTCCTAGGCCGTGTCTACGGCGTGATTACCCGCCGCCGAGGCCGCATTCTCTCCGAGATCTTGAAGGAAGGAACGCCCTTCTTCACCATCTTGGCACTTCTCCCCGTCGCGGAGTCGTTCGGATTCGCCGAGGAAATCCGTAAGCGGACATCTGGTGCTGCCCAGCCGCAGCTCATCTTTGCTGGCTTTGAGGCGCTGGATGAAGATCCGTTCTGGGTTCCTGCTACTGAGGAGGAGCTGGAGGATCTTGGCGAGCTTGCGGATCGCGAGAATGTGGCGAAGAGGTATATGGATGCGGTGCGCAGTCGGAAGGGTCTTGTTGTTCAAGGAAAGAAGTTGATTGATGCGGAGAAGCAGAAGACGTTGAAGAAGTAGGTTTTGGTAGATGGGGATTGCCTGTTGGGTTCATTGTGAAGATATAAACAAAAATCGAATTTTATTGTGTTCCTATTTGATATCTATGTACTGTCATACTATCGATGTGGGTGTGGGTTGGGATGTAACCCCCTTGAGATAACTTTTCTTCGAGTCACAGGATATCGGACAGGAAGTAGGGTCAGGGAGGTACGCAGAGATGAGAAAATCTGCTGCGTCCGTTCATCTTCCTCACTTGACAAACACAGTCCGACATTGAAGGTCTCGACCGTGTATACTAAGGAGGTTGGGTTCCAAGGTTGGAAGGTTTACGGTAGGCGGAGATGCCTTTTCAGTCCTAGTTTTGGTAGTAGACTGCGTGAATGAATCACGAGTTGGAAGAAAAAGTAGGTCTTTGACCTGTTTCATTCATCATTCAGTGGGTATCATATCAATTGGCGGGGAGCTGGGTTGAGTTCCCACGCGTGGAGTTGGCAACTTGAGTCGCCGGGGGTTATGAGGGATGATGCAGCATAGGCTGATCTAGAGGGGCTAACTAGAAGAGGTTTTTCTCTTCCAGAAGCAAGGAAACCAGAACCCCGAATAAAAGAACCTTTTCTGTTTGTTTCAACATGATTGAGGCTCGAGGTTGGCGCCGTTGCGTGTCCCGAAGGCACGATGTGCATGTATCCTGCCCGGGGATATCATTCCCGCGGTTCAATCGCAGCCTAGACATTTTGCAATGCAAGGCTGTCGATAGCATCAATTACTCAACGGCTTTCTTGTAATGAAGTCCAAGAGTTGGTACTGGCCGGAAAGAACTCCTCAGAACGGCCGAGCAACCTTTCTTTGTTCACCGGCACCGGTAACAGGGTCCCTCATCTCCTTCCAGCTAATAGGGAACATCATATTTCCAGCATCGCTGCGAGCCATCACTACACCGAGATCATTGCGGGCAGTGGTGAGGTAGTAGAAGCTCTGATCACCCAGGGAGATGACCGAGCCGCGCACGATATCACCGACACGAAACATCTCATCCATAACAACGCGGTCCTTCTCGACGGCTCGCACATCTTCCTTGCGAATCAGCGCTTGAAAGCGAAGCTCATCGGTGTTGCTATGGTTCTCTGGGTTGGCGGCGGAGGTGAGAATGGAAGCGACATTATCATTGTCTGAAGCGGCTTTAGATGGGTCTGGGTTTGCAGCGGAGGCCTCATCGAGCACGACGAGAATGGAGACCGCGGCTTGTCGCTTCTGGACGCGGGTGACGCGGGCCAGGACGATGGAGTCCACTGCGGGTAGGGTGTTATATCTGGGCTTTGACTTCGGGGCCGGAGCCGAGGATGTTGAAGGAGCTGCGCCTGCCTGGTTCACGCCAGGAACCATTCGCGAGACTCGTAAAGTCGACTTTGTTTGAGTCTTGGGCTGAGCGGGATCAACGATGACAGGGCCAGCGATGGAGGCATAGATGTTGGATTGCTGCACGTGTGTGCCAGGTCCAGCGGCATATGAGGCCACAGATCCCAGACGTTGGCCGGGGATGGCTACAGGTGGAAGAGAGGTTGCCATATTGTCAAGCCCTCAAGGGCAAAGATTTGGAAAAGTTGATGGTTGAGGGACGGAGGGATTTTTCTGCCAGGGAGCTATGCCCGGCCCGGAAGTAGGTTTCCCCGCCCCGCTTGCATATGCTACATGCTACGATTACGAGCTTATGAAAAGGTCCTATAACACGAATCAATTATGAAAAGCCTATATCTGTATCAATTCGGACTCCACACACCGATTCAGTCTTGCCTTTGCGTCGCCACGGGATCAAGCCCGTTCATTTAGAGAGCTGATGCCTTAGCAACCATCAGCGCTCAGGGAGCTCTTCTGAGCACTGTAAACGCGAGACTTCATTGACTAATATTCTAGTAAACAGGACGCACAAAGTGGCGTCCAAAACAGCTGTTTTAGACACCAATTTTACCGACACTTAGCGTTGTCGTGTATTCTAACCATTGACATCTCTAACATCGACATCTCTAACATCGCTGGTAATAAAGTATGGGTACCGTAGATTCTTAAGAAATCAAACAATTGACCTGGCTACTATAGAGTCTAGAAAGAAAACAGTAGAGATAGTAGCTAAAGTATCTCTAGGAGTACAAAGCCTAAAGTAAAACATAGGTTAATTATAGGAAGAGTACTACTATAGTTAAACGCCTTGGGGGGAGCTTGAAGACTAAGATCGACAGTCATGCTGACGAGAGCGGTCCCTTACCACTAAGGCAATATATAGAAAGGTTAAACGCAGATAAGACAAACGTATAACGGTTTATTAAGGTAAGCTTACTTAGGTCGTTTATACCTTCCCTTAGGTTAGGCCTAGTAAGCGAATCAGGGCACCTAGGTCAGGCTTAGCGAGTGAACCGAGTGAGTGAATCAGGGTACTTAAGACGCGCTCAGTGAGCGAGTCTGCTTAAATTATATAACTCTTACTGAGCAACTCAGGTCGCCCAAGGGCGTGCTCAATTCTACTCAATAATCAAAAAGCGGCGAGGGGTGAGCAATAAAACGGAAAGGGAAGCCAAGAGTTGCCAGACATTATCCGGTACGTATGCCCGCTGACAAAAGACCGAATTCGGTGGATTCAATGCCCATACAAAAACACCCAAGGGAAGAAAGAGATGGATAAACAAGAGTAGAATGGCCAACCGGAGTACGAAAGTACAAAAGGACCGAAAAAGTGGGTTGTCGAGCACGCACAAGAAGACAAAAAAAAGAAGAGGAAGAAGAGGTGATAGGAGCCTTTATGCTTCGATCAGGGTCTGCTTAGGACCGGCTCCCAGAAGCTCCAGGCATCGCCGCGCGAGAGCGATGACCTCACTCTCACCATCGTCTGCATCCTCCTCATCCGACTCGATGTTCTTATCAGAGATTGATTTCACCATTTGTACAATATCATCGGACTTGGAGATATATCCGATGAGCTTCTTGTCTTCGGACTCGAGCAGTTGAAGAAGAGTCCAGATGGCAATGTGCTGGAAGGTCGGGTCTCCACTGGCGAGGAATCGCTGGAGATAGCCATGAATTCCGCCATTCGGGTCGGCCCAGTCACGTACAAAGATTGAGTAGTCTCCCACTACATTAGTGTTAGCGGTTAATTCATTGTGTGAATGTACTTAGAGATGGTGTATTAGGACGTACCCTTGGAAGACAGGTTGCCCAAGGCAGCCGCACTGTTCCCTTGGACCTCAATACTCTCCGAATTGGTCAGCGGTATCAAGACGTCGAAGACGCCGAGGTTAAGAAGGTGAGACTTGAGATCATCACTGAGAGCCAGCACAGCGATGGCAGCGGTCATTTCGGATTGAACGGTCAGTGGGACTCGCAGAACGAGGTCCTTGCACTTCTGAACTGCCCCAGCCTGTAGAACGAGTTCTTTATTGCGATCAGAGCTAGCCGCGAGGTTGCGGAGAGTTGAGATGGCATGGCATTGAATCTCCTCGTTGTCAGTTGATCCAAGGAGATCCACCAGAGGCTTGAGGAAGCCGGCTTCGATGATCGGGGATTCATTTAGCGGGTGAATGGAGATATTGCGGATACAGGCAACGGCGGAGAGTATAAGAGGAAGATAGGAGGACTGGAGCAGTCGCAACAATGGAGAAAGTCCCTTTGCCCGAACAATCTCCAGCTGGTATTTCTCATCGGAGGCGAGGTTGCGCAGAGCGAGTGCCGCTTGACACTGGACCTTGGGGGTGGATGAGTCCATGAGATGGACCAAGGACTGGACCAAACGGCCCTCCGTTTGAGCGAGACGTTTTCGATTGGTCGAGTCGACGGCGATGTTGCTCAGAGCGGTTGTGCAGTAGTATTGAACGTCGACATCAGGCGACGAGAGAAGTTGGACGAGGACGGGAATGGCACCGGCATTGACGAGTTGCTGTCGGTTGTCGTCTGGTCGTCGAGTTAGTTCTAACCCCCCCACCACCGTCTCGGGGCGAAAAGGTACTCACCAGAATGTGTCATATTGAGCAGTGCGCCGGTCGCATTACGCTGCACGCGCATATCCTTCGATTTAGCCAGGCGGATCAAAGGACCGAGCGCCCCCGAGCGAGCAATCTTGGCCTTGTTCTCCTCGTGGGTTGCCAGGTTCGTTATACAACCGACCGCGTTACATTGCACCTCCACATTGGGCGACATCATTTGGCGGATTAGAGGGGCCAGCCCTCCGAGGGCGACGATCAAGACCTTGTTTTCAGCTATATCGGGTCAGCGATGAGGGCGGGCTATGGAGCTCCGGGGTGTATACCATTTACAGCTAAGTTACCAAGCGCGGCGCTGGCAGCTCTTTGAACCTCGATATCGGAGCTCTGGAGAAGAAATAGAATGGGTGCGAGGGTGTTTTTGTCGACTTCGCGCACATCTGCAGATAAGACGTCAGGGATTGCATCACTGCGATCAAAAGTCGCACGCACCTCTTTCCGTGATCTCGGCGAATGTCAAGCTCGCACTGCGTTGTAGGTCGACGTTATCGGAATAAACGAGGGTACTCAGAGCTCGCAGCGGTTCTCCGTCGAAGAAGTCGGTTTCGTTGCGCTGGACAGGGGGTTAGCGACGAGTGGCGTCATGACACCGGACAGCCCGGCCGGGGCAACAGTTGAATGATCCAAGGCGAGACGAGACGTACATTTTCCAGATAGCTGAGCAGGTCCGAGACGGCTTCCCGTTCACTATCGGCGAGGGTGGCTTCGTAGATGCCATCTCGAGAGCGGCCGGCGCCCAAGCAGGCGGAGATATGACACCATTGGTCGACGGCCGACAGGCACGACCGACAGGTGGTGAAGATTCCACTCATGCCTCCTCAATAGGCCGGCATCAGGGCACTACCGGTGAAGTTCGAAGCGCGATGGAGGGGGTGGGGGGAGGGACAATGTCGAGGTGAATGGCAGGAGGCTGGAGAGCGTTGCATATACCCGTGCTCAAGCTTCTAGGATGGGAACACAGAGCAAGTGGCGCGTGATAAGAAAGTTGACAGGGTTAACGGTGAGAGATGGCGATAAGGGAATTGGGAAGCTGAGGGGAAGAGATGGAAGAGCGAGGTGACAGGAGCTAGTCAAAGTCCGTAGTCAGAGACTCCAGTCTCCAGTCTCCAGTCTCCAGTCTCCAATTCCAATTTCCCCCTCTGGCATCCACTCCCTGATTACCGATGGACTAGTGATATTAAAAACCCAGAAAAAGACCAAAAAAAGGTCAACCGGTCAAATTATGCAATTATTAAATCATCAAATACCTTTCAGAAACTAAAAACCCAGAGCCTAGACATGTGGTTTAGCCACCTCACTAAAAGATCGAGGCTGAAGCTGCATCACATCATCCCGAAAGCTACCAATCCGATCACATTTAATTTGCTTTCTTCCTTGACCATCTACCCCGTACCGATGGCAGGAGATAGCGCGCAGATATGTGCAATTTCCCCAGTCAGGGCTTCACCTTGACCTTGACCTTCACATTCACCTTCACATTCCCAGGTCGGGTCCGTGCCCGCCTTGTGATGAGCACATTGGAACCAGTGCAGCTGATCAGAAATGATCCGGCTGATGGCTGATCGGCGTGAAGAACTGCATACAAGAACATCACATGGAGTGGTCGGCTAACCTGACCAAAGTGCACGAAGTGGAGGCTAAGGCAATTTCCCCGCAAAAGGCAATAACAAGGATCCCGTCAGAGACCCAAGTTTCTCAGGCTTGCCACTATCGCGGACTCGTTTAGTTCCTCGACTAGCGAGTGGTCTGAGGGTTTCCCGTTGGTCGTGAGCCCGCGATCGGCCCATAGATTTTAGGAAAGAAAAAGGCTGGGTCTGGGTCGGATTGTCTGGTTGTCTGTGTCGATGTCGGTGTCGGTGTCGGAGTCTGGTCTGGTCTGATCGCGTTGTCTGGTTCCATTAAAACTCGGTCGCATCATATCTTGGATTCCCCGTGTCTCGTCTTGCTCCCCGTACTTCTTTCTCGAATCTTTACATCATGTCTTGGTGAAAGCCCTCCATCTCCCAGCCCAGTTGCCGATTGCACATCGTCAGATCCTAGACCCCCCTCCCGGATCGATTCTAGAGTCCTACTCCACCGCGATCTCCTGAACCCCGAGATTCCCAGCACGGGTACACTGGTGCGCTGGTGCACTGGTACACTCGTACATTCGTACTTGGTGCAGGCTCGTCTCATGGTCAGTCGCGTGCAGACTGCACCAAGAAGCCCCCAATGTCGACCTCAACTGCCACCGCCTCCGCTTCTATTGCCGACCCTCCTCGCCCCGGCCGTCTTCGTCGCTTCAGTCAGCTACGAGCCTACACGCAGAATCTCTCCCACTCCTCACCAAGCCAACGTGCGCGTCCCAGTTTGAGCAGTCGGGTGCCCTGGCTATCTACCCCGTCGGGCGCAGAGTCTCCATCGACGCAGGTGGAGAGCTCCACTCCTTTATGCCCCGAAGGTGATCAACCGGTCTTGTCTCGCTACACCTCTGCGCCCACCTCGAGCTCCCACGCTCTCGTTGACAGCCAGAATTCCTCTACCGAATCCTCGCGATCAACTCCCCCCAACGAGCCCAGCCAGACAACTCATGTCATGGCCCGGCTGAGGAGTGCTTCCGCTGTGCAGGGCCGCCCGCCGCGCAATTTGGCTCGAACCGCCACTCCAGAGGCGCCCACATCGTTACCAGAACCGACCACTGCAACAAACGATACCCTGGAGCTGACTGGGACCATCTCGGCCGAGATCCAGTCCCCCTCAAAATTACCACAGAAGGCGACTATCAGGTTTTTCCCCTATCAGGATTCCTACCAGAGTTCACGACCGTCGCTGCCCTTCATTCCCATCTCGCGCACACTTCCCTCCGAAAGCTGCGTCATTCGAGTCGGTCGCTACTCCGAGCGCGATGGAATTCCCAACCCCAATCCATCTGAACCCTCGGATTCTCCGGTCGGCTTCAAATCGAAGGTCGTGAGTCGAAAACACTGCGAGTTCATGTACGTCAATGGTCAATGGCACATAAAGGATGTAGGCAGTTCGTCGGGCACTTTCCTGAATCATATGCGCCTGAGTCAACCGAACATGGTCTCCCGCCTGTATTCCATAAAGGATGGTGATATAGTGCAACTGGGTATCGATTTCAGAGGAGGAGAGGAAATGATCTTCCGATGCGTGCGAATTCGTATTGAATGCAATCGGGCCTGGCAGCAACAGCCCAACGAGTTTAAGTATGCAGCCTCACTCTTCATCTCTTATGCCCAGCCTAACGTCATCATAGTAAAAACACCGAAAGCTTGATCAAGAACCTAGGCAAGGGAGAAACCGCCGATTATTCTGGCTGCCGCGAATGTTCCATCTGTCTTGGTTCCGTCTTGGTTTGTCGTCCCCTTCCGTTTCTAACGTACCGCCTCGCTAACTGTAACCCAGCGGCCCTACCAGTGCCTTTTTATGGCGGCTTGTGCCCATGTCTGGCATTACAAATGTATCAGTCGCTTGCTACACTCACCCGATTACCCCATGTTCCAGTGTCCCAACTGTCGGGCATTCACCGATTTGAGTGCCGAAGTCGACGACTCGAATGACCAGGAAGGGGAGAAGTCTCAAGAATCGGTTGGCGCGGAGGAGGGCAATCAAGCCGCGCTGCGGTCCGAGGCACAATCGCCAGCAAATGCTCCGCCCGAGAGCGAAGGCCACGAAACCTCGAATCAATTAGAAGCTCATCCCGAAGAGCCGGACCTGGCCACCGATGTCGAGAATCTGCACCTGCAGGATGAACAGGCCCGCGAGGCGGACACAGAGAGCTCCGATTCTGCCGCTCTCAATGGGAGCAATGATGACCTTGCTCGCAGTGCCACCGTCAATCTTCCAGGTTGGCAACCCACTGAACCTCTCAATGTCCCGACTCGGCATGCTCAACTCCGTGCCGACACGCCTGGGTCAGACGAAAACCCACTTACTCCACGAAACGACTCGGGCCCTCTAGCCTTTGATGGCCGAGCGGGAATGCCTTGATCGATAACCTTGGAGAACTCATACGCTCAAAGATGACATTGAGACCATATATTGAAACATCGCGTGATTTGACATCATGACTCTGATGAGCCATCACCACATTTTGCATCTAACATCTTCACAATTACTCATTTCCATTCCCAGCTGCAATCTATCCACGCATGATTGAAGCTCGTCTGACCTCCCATCTGCATTTCTCTACAGCGTTTCTATGTCTGCAATTTGATTGGCAAAACCGGCGTTTCCTTGGTGGCACTCAACTACCCCATCGTTTGATATACCCATTTACCACCCCAGGCTCTTGATCCAGGACTTTTGGTGATATCTATATCTACGGCAAACTAGGAACCTTTTTTTGCGGTGGCTTACTCTGTCTATTCAACCATTTGTTCATACCGGATTGGCTTCTTGACCCTGCCATTTCTTCCACCTGCGACTCAGAATAATTGATACATTTTTAATTCTCGCTGCGTATCCTAAGTAGAGCATATCTGGAAATACCTACCACTTAAATTTGGAGTGAGCGCCAAGGAAGATAGATCTCGGATCTATCTCCACGCCGATAATAGTCAGATTAGACTCGAACGATCTGCAAACTGTGCAAGGGCCCCTTACCATGAACCCGACTTGAAAGGTGAGCCGATATCTTTCAATGGCTGGATCAAAATCTTCACCAAATCTTTCATCCAACACTAACCATCAATTCAACGCAGATAACACTCAAAAGCAATAACCGAGATCTTAGCCATAACTGCCCCAGCGGTAATCAAATCTGCCTACCCAAACCCTCTCCTGTAGTAACAACCAACTTCACCCTCCACATCCTTCCTGCGGACTGCCTCCTTATCTCAAAATAAAAAACAGCAGTCTCTCATGTCAGCCCATCATTCCACTCTGAAATAGGAATGGACTTCATTACGAAATGGGTTACGGTAATGTTTCCCAATGCTTATATCTAGGCGCTCAAATCGAAACTGACCCAAAGTTGCCCACACGCCCACATCGTCAATTCACAATCTCCTGTTTACTTTTCCAGTCCGAAGAATCTTCCCTTTCACCTGGACATCAAATCCTGCCACGGCACTGGTTTTATTTTATTTTATTTTACTTGTCCTCCTTGTCCTCCTTTCGCAAGGTCAGATAGGCTGGGCTTGCGGATTAAACCCCTCCGATGGACAGGCACACAACTCCTCGATCAACAACATGATGCACGCCTGGCTGAGGCTAGTGTTTCCTCTTCACAGCCAATGGTGACTACTTCAACGGTTTTCTCTGGTGAATCGCAAAGAGAAAATCTTCTGGGACACTTGATCTAAAACCTGCGGTTGGCTGTGTGTGAACGACCAAATCTTGAAGCAAAGTTATGCTCACTTCCAACTAGGGCTCACAATCTTGGATCACCTGGGCAATCGACATCCCGTGTCCTAAAGAAGATAAAAAGTACAGTATCTGTACTATCTACCTCTTAGCAATGCTTTGCAATATCTCCCTGTTTCGGCTATATCGGTCGACATGATAGCCCTGTCCTCAGTTATAACGCGTTCGATAACTAAACTCCTTCAATTTTGATGAATTGTGAACCTGATGTTAATCATGACAGACTATTGTAAAATAATACCGAGGTTGAAAATTCCGGCGTTATCAATGTGCTCCGCTCCACTCAAGGGCCCCATCAGCACTCAATATGCCCCCATACCTGGAACGGCCGGCCCTGTAGCTGTTTGACGAAGGCCGACGATGAGACTGGAACACTTTATTTGGTGCATTTCAGATGGACTCCGGTTTCAAATTCCCCATCCAAGTAAAGATTGGAACACAAAGCTCACTCGGGGACATCGGGTCGCCGAAACACGCGCGTCACGGCATAGGGCAAGGGCCACTCTCAATAGACCCTAAATCTCGGGTTTTCCGACTGGTGTGGGGATGACCCTCTTCGGACCCTCTTCGGACCCTCTTCCAAGCTCGGCACTTACGTCTCCCGCGTCATTCCTCACCTTATTCCAGGTGCCGCGTAATAGCCCCATCGTCAAACATGAGCTTGGTTTTTGTATGCGGGCCAGACGCTTGTTTTCTTCACTCTCAGCTTGCGTAGGTCCCGAATGCGCGTTGCCAAAATCGGGAGTGTTCTCTGTTTGTGAATAGAGCCTGCAGATCGCGATACCAACCTTGGAAATAATGTAAATGTAAATAGAGAAGATTCTCCTCTCCATGAAACGTTCCATTTCATTTTCAACTGTCAATCATTTTACTAGTATACTTTTGGAATTCATCTGTGGAAGATGAAAGTCCATTCATTGTCACTCTTTTTGGCACTGCTAGGCCCTGTGGCCGGCTTGTCCAGCTCTTCCACTCAGGGCTTGCTCTCTAATGATGAGCGTAGGTCTTCACATCTTTCTCGTCAATTGATTTTGGGTTGTACCTAACCCTCATAGTCTCCCTCGGCGACTGGCAATCTGCCTACGAAAAGGCTTCCCGTTTCGTTTCCAAACTTAACACCACCGAAAAGATCAAGCTGGTCACTGGAAGCAGTGTGAATATTACCGATGGCGAGTCCTTCACTGCTCTTGAATTTATGGATGGAAGTATGGGTCTCCAGGACTATTACTATGTCTCTGCGTTCAGTCAGTCTTCTGCGTTGGCCATGACCTGGGACAAGAAGGCTATGTATGCTCAAGCGAGAGCCATTGCGACCGAGTTCTATCTCAAGGGTATCCAAGTCATTGCTGGACCGACTTCTCAGCCCTTGGGCCGCACTGCGTGGGGTGGAAGATTGGTCGAGACTTTTGGGTCTGATCCATACCTGAACGGCATTGCAACTGGAATCAGTGCGAAGGGTTACAAGGATGTCGGAATCATTGGTGGTGCTAAGCACTTTATCTTGAACGAGCAGGAAACAAACCGGACTTCGAGCGGAAGTGGAGGAGGTGGTATGGGAGGCGGCGCCCCAAGCTCCAGTGCCAATTTCACGATGAGCTCTGCAGCAGCTATGCCTTCCTCTTCCGGATCTGCTCCAGGTGGAATAGGTGGAAGCGGTTCTTCCTCGTCTTCCTCTTCTTCTGGTGCTCCTTACTCCTCCAACGCAGATGACAAGACCCTGCACGAGACCTATCTCTGGTCTTTCTACGATGCAGTCCACTCTGGTATTGGTGGCGTGATGTGTGCCATGACCAAGGTCAACAACACTCTTTCATGTGAATCTTCTTCTCTTCTCCTTGATCTCCTGAAGACAGAGCTTGGTTTCCCTGGCATGGTTTGGCCTGACACCAATGGCCAGCAGGATGCTCTTGCCTCCGCGACCAACGGCCTTGATTATGGCTCTTCCAGCCTCTGGAGCACTTCAACCATTGAGGGCTATCTTAAGAAGAACAACCTGACAGAGGCACGCTTGAATGATATGGCAATCCGTAACTTGATAGCATACTACAATGTCAACCTTAACAATGGTTCTCAGCCGTCTACTGCCAGCGACAGTGATTATGTGGATGTTCGTGGCAATCACTCGAAGCTCATCCGGGAGAACGGCTCCAAGTCTATGGTTCTCCTCAAGAATGTCGACAATGCGCTTCCTCTGAACAAGCCTCACAAGATGGCAATCTTCGGCTCTCACGCTCGTGCTGTCATTGCCGGCCCCAACATGGAGTTCAGCGTTCAGGGCTCTGGTCCCACGTATGCCGGCCATCTTGCCACTGATTCTGGATCTGGTCAGTCTTCCTTGCCGTACCTCATCACACCTGAGATGGCCTTGACCATGAAAGCCAGTCAGGATGGTACTATGCTCCGCTGGGTTGCCAACGACACCTACTCTACTTCGAGCGGCTCTTCGCTTGTGATGAAAGGATCCTCGGCCACTTCTGTCACACCTTCTGTCAGTAATTATGCTGAGAACATGGACGTCTGCCTTGTGTTCATCAATGCCCTTGCTGGTGAAGGCGCCGACCGTACCGAACTGTACAACACTGACCAGGATGCCCTGGTCACTGAAGTTGCAAGCAACTGTGCCAACACCATGGTAGTGATTAATACTGCCGGTGTTCGCCTCGTTGACCAGTGGATTGAAAACGAGAACGTCACTGCAGTCTTGTACGGCAGTCTCTTGGGCCAGGAATCCGGTAATTCGATTGTCGACGTGCTCTATGGCGACGTCAACCCCAGCGGCCGCTTGATCTACACAATCGCCAAGAATGAGTCCGACTACAACGTCGGCATCTGCTACACCCACAACTGCAACTTCACCGAGGGCAACTTCATAGACTACCGATACTTCGACGCGGCTAAGGTTACGCCTCGCTTTGAGTTCGGCTATGGTCTTTCTTACACCAACTTCACCTACTCTGGCTTGCAAATTAAGTCACCGTCCCCACTTTCCACTTACCCAACAGGCAAGCTCTCCGTGGGTGGCTACAAAGACCTTTGGGATGTTGTTGCCAATGTAAGCGCTACTGTTCGCAACACCGGTTCTGTCGATGGCGCGGAGGTTCCCCAGCTTTACATCGGGTACCCCAAGGCGGCAAAGCAACCATTGCGTCAACTACGTGGCTTTGAGGCTATTGACATCAAGTCTGGCCAGCAAGAACAGGTGAAGTTTGAGTTGCGTCGTCGTGACATTTCTCACTGGGACGTTGCTGCGCAGAAATGGGCCGTTGCTCCTGGTGTGTACAAGGTCTATGTTGGAGCTAGCTCGAGGGATCTGAAGCTGCATGGAACTTTCTCTGTGGAGACCAAGGCATGAGCATGAGCATGAGCTTGTATAAAGTAGTCCAGATGTATAGATAGCTACATGTAATTCCGATATTGGTCAAGGATTAATAAAGCCGTTCTATCTGTTGATCGAAAGCAGTAGTGGAGCCTAAGATGATTACGCCGGAGAACAAGAGAATGCTGGGCAGCCAAGGCTTTAAGATATGAACCTTGGGATGGCACGGTATCTTGTTCGAGACCAAAAGCATAATGTAGCTTGGCACAACTTGGCGCAACTATCTGGGGTAGACTTTATCGCTGTCCAATCCCTGGTATCCTTATCGCTTGGCAACCTTCGTAGCGTCGCCTTCTCCTCCCCCTTTCAGTTCTCTGCCCGATAAGATATCGTGACACTAGTTGATTGTTATCACTATGTACTCAGCTTGATATACTTTCGCGAACTTTACTCCCGATACAGTAAAACGAGCCTGTCTCACCACCATTGCCGAGAGATTAGAACCCGGCTCTATCAACAACATCATGACTCCGCACCGTATTCCGCGTCTCTTGACCCCAACGTCAAAGCGCATATAATTGACCATGTTCCCCGCTCGACTGCCGAGATCCCCCTCAGGAAACTACACACGACCACAATGGAGAAGAAAGTGTCTGCAAAAGACCATCCCGTCCCTAGCGAAGATGCCAGTTCCGGCACCGTTGAACCATATCGCGAGACGAAGCGTGGCCTAGCTTCACGACATGTACAATTGATGGCCATCGGCGGCTCTATCGGCACAGGTCTCTTTGTCGGTATCGGATCATACCTGCGCGATGCAGGACCGTTGTCATTACTATTGGGGTATATGTTCTGGGGTTGCTTGTTCATTCTACCTGTCAACTTGAGTGTTGGAGAGATGGTGGCCTATCTCCCTGTTCGAGGATCGATCTTCGAGTTGGCTGCGCGATTCATTGATCCTGCGTTTGGATTTGCTATGTAGGTTCTCCGCTTTCGATAGCCATTCTCTGTGAACCGAGGCGACGCTAACACACGCGTCTATAGGGGCTGGGTGTACTTCTACGGGTGTGTTATGCTAGTATGTACGGAATACGCAGCTGTCGCAACGGTCATGCAATATTGGAACACGAGCGTCAATCCGGCAGTTTGGGTGGCAATGGCTCTCATCGTTTGTTCTCTGCTCAACTTCGTCGCCGTGAAATACTACGGAGAGAGCGAGTTTATTATGGCATCAACAAAGATCTTGCTGCTTATTGGTCTTGTCTTGTTGACATTCATCACGATGGTTGGAGGAAACCCCAAGCACGACGCCTATGGTTTCCGCAATTGGACACACGGCGTCATGTTCGAGTACTATACCGACGGCGTGACGGGGAGATTCCTCGGATTCTTCTCCGTCATGGTCTATGCCGCCTTCTCTGTTGCTGGACCCGATCTTCCAGCCCTAGCAGCCGGCGAGATCCAGAATCCGAGATACACCATCCCACGCGTTGTTAAAGCGACATTCTGGCGTATTGTTGGATTCTACGTCGTCGGCGTGCTAGCCATCGGTATCATCTGCAGCCCACGCGATCCCCGTCTCATGTCAGCAATTGACTCTGGTGCAGCTGGATCTGCTGCCTCGCCTTGGGTCATTGGTATTGAGAACCTGGGCATCTCAGGTCTCCCGGATCTAATCAACTTGCTTATTTTGCTGTCTGGCTGGTCCTGCGGAAACGCCTATCTCTATAGTTCCAGCCGAACACTTTATTCTCTCGCGCGTGACGGCCAAGCACCTAAGTTCCTCTTGAAATGCACTGCTTCGGGTATTCCCGTCTACTGTGTACTGACGGTCTCGCTTCTTTCCTGCGTCACCTTCCTCGTGGCGGGATCCTCTTCCGTAACGGTCTTCTACTGGTTCGTCGACCTGACCACCATCGCCTTCGTCCTCACATACACGGGAATGCTCTGCGTATTCATTGGTTGGTACCGCGCCTTGAAAGCACAAGGCATCGATCGGAAGCAGTTCGTCCCCTGGGCTTCCCCATGGCAGCCATATGCCGCTATTTGGGCTATCTGTATTGGCAGTGTCACGGCCATCTTCAACGGATTCTCAGTCTTCAAGCCATTCAGTGTGCAGGGGTTCGTGACCTCGTATTTCGGGCTGGCATTTTGGGTAGTCATGTACGTGTTCTGGAAGGTTTATCATCGCACGAAATTGGTGAACCCGGCCGAGGCAGACTTATATTCTGGTAAAGCCGAGGTAGATGAGGAATGCAAATTATGGGAAGATGGCGGATGGGAGGAACGGAGGAAGGCTGAACTGGCGCAGATGAATTGGGGGCGCCGAGTTTGGGAGAAAATGTGGTGATGACATGTTATATCTACCTCTGGCTGTATATGCATGAGGGATCTGGCATCTCAGAGTCATTCGGTTTTACGAGTGGAAAGTATGTAGTCAATCTCATAATATTGTACATGCTCCACATGGCTATGTATCGTCTTATCCGAATACGGACTTCTACGTTCACTCAGATAGTTTCTCGAGCCCGATCTAGAAACACCCAAGTCTACGTTTGGCTTAGCTGTAGATCTTCCCTTTCCAAGAACTTAACCATTACCATTCATGCAAGACTTTACAACTTGATAGGTGTAGGGGGAATTTACCAAATTTACATAAGACTAGTTATGTAGCAATATCCAAGATAGGGTTCAGAGAATAATATGAATGTATGCGGGGGATATATCTTCGAAAAGCGCAGCGTGTGTGTATACATGTGGGGTTCCTAGTCTTCAGCTTCGCAACGTTTGACCAGGCTGCTCAATGTCAATGACATTGCTGGTTTCTTCCGTGGGTTCCAGTCGGCCCTTCAGCAAATCTATCAGCAAGTGAGTCTTTCACCTCTTTTGAAACGGTTCGATCAACTGATACCTATCAAACGAGAGTATGCCTCGAAGAGCAAATGTGTCCGTCTAGTGAGTTTGGATGAGCACGAGTTGAGGGAGCTGGACGGATGTTCATCTGCTACTGTTGACCATTTGGGGCGCGAATCTCCTGCTCCGACGCGGAGACGTTGGCCTTGTTCAATGGCTGGGGACGCGTACAGAGCTATGGCTGGCCTGCAACCTTGAGAACGCTTCTATTTGCTGTGCTGGGGCCTGGAGGCATGATTTGGCGCAAATATGTTGGTCGCGACGATGATAAACAGCTCGCATCACGCGTCACCGAAAAGCGGTGTGATCATCCAACTCGATTACCGGCGCTTAGCGCTAAACCGTAGAAAAGAGTTGTACAAAGGTTAATTTGGCGATGTCACTGTGCAGAAAGAGTGATCATAGCGTACATAGCGGGCGCCACCCATGACACGGACCAACCTTAGAAGAAACCTGTCGTCGTTGCTCCATATCTTTCAGCGTTGACCATCCGGTACCTCAACCGTTACACCGTATGCAGTAACATTCCTGGCATCGAGCCCAGAGGGATCATTATCACCAACTTACGCGATGCCGCTGAACTTCAGCGAGCCGCCGACTCCGACTCTGAGTCGCCAGAACACCGCTTCGTTCAACCCGCACCACCAGCGGCGTACCACACACCCTCATCTACTGTCAAGTCGTCGAAAGCCAAGGAGGTAAGCTTCTACTATAGCTGGAATGAAAATGAAGGCGTCTAACAGAGATTGTAGATGGCCATTAGTCTTTCGCTTCATAAAGGGGGCAATTCACGTCGAGATATTGCTACCTGTCTTTCTTCATGCCGTGTTCACTGCTTTTGTCGTGTACCTCGACACTTATGCATTTGACACCGTCGGAATCCCTTCTAGCATCGTAGGTCTTTTCCCAAACGCCCCGGAGTGCCGACCTAACAACCTCCAATCAGATCCCATCACTGTCCATCGTGGTAGGCTTGATCCTCGTCTTCAGGAATCAGACCTCCTACAACAGATTTTGGGACGGACGCAATGGCATGAGCTCAATGAACACTTGTGTGCGCAACCTCACACGCACAATCGTCACAAATAGCTACAGCTCCACTCTTGGCCCGGCTACGGCAGCAGAACGTGAAGATATCGACCGCACCATTCGCATTCTGATCGCCATTCCCTATGCTATCAAGAACCACCTGCGTGCTGAATGGGGTGCCGCCTGGGAGCTGGGTGGCATGGCCGGAAACGACTGGGGCTTGGGTGAACGTGGCTCAGCCGGGTATAACCCCGAATATGCGGGTCTACTTCCGGCCGGTCTGGAGGGACACGAAGATGAAGGCCTCGGTTTGCCTTATCAGTTGACCTTCTTTGTGGATTCGTTCATCAAGCGTGGTGAGGACCGCGGTTGGTTCAATGCGCCTGGTGCCAGTCAGATGCAGGCACAGTTGAATGCTCTTTTGGACGCGTATGGCAGGATGGAGACTATTAAGTTGACGCCTATGCCAGTGGCTCACCTGTGAGTTTCGATAATTCAACTCTGATCGTGCCCTTAAGAATACCTTGCTAACGCAAAACTCTAGGATCCACCAGAAACAAGTTCTCGCCTTGTTTGGCTGCGTTCTTCCATTCGCCATGGTCGATGAGATGGGTTGGTGGGCTATTCCCATCGTCAGTCTGGTGATCTTTACCCTGTATGGTATCGAAGGTATTGGCTCCCAGCTTGAGGATCCCTTCGGCTACGACCGGAACGATATCAAGATGGATGCTCTCGTCGGCGATTCCAAGACAGAGATTGACGTCGTTTTAACTGAGTGGCGCAACTATTGCAAGTCATTGGAAAGCTTCCGCGAGGGACAAGGGCACGGAGACAAGTGCGTCAATACTCAAGAGAAGAAGTACACGCCTCCCGACCTATTCTTGAAGCTGAGGACCAGACCTCGAACCATGAATTAAAGCTGGTTTTGCCGGCTTGACCTACCTGGTCTTCTGTATGTATAGAGTCAAGGGCAGTCATGTGAACCTTGAGAGGCGAGTGTCTTTTCAATCTTGGAGATAATTGTCGAAAGACCATTTCCATTGACTTCATTAAGATATTCTAAACTCATTCCTAATCGAGCGTCCCCTAGCCTCTGAAAAGCTTCTGCCTTTATAATGGAGGTTCTAATGCGAGAACCCCATCCAATATCGAGTCGGGCGTAACGTCAACTAGAACGGAGGAGATAGCCCCTAGACCACTCCCGTACTGTAGACTTCGATCGTCTTCGGGATTTGCAACGACGATGCGATGGCGAAAGACTTTCCTCGCAGCCAAAGCTACAATCGATGGCGTGAGATAGTCGATGCCATGGAGGGGCGCAAGATATCTGCAGCTTTAATCAATACCTCGAGACTTTCATGAATCGGTAATAGCTGGTTCCAACTTACTCGGCAAATCGAGCAAAATCATTCTTCGCTTTAGCAGAAACCCCCCAGCAACTGCGCGGCTCAGCCGTAAGAAGACAACGATATCCTGGATATACCTAGCCACCTCCGCACTAGTTGTGACGGAGCCACTCGCCTCTCGGATCTTGTCTATTGCCTGCGAGAAACGTTCAGCAAGTGAGATAATATTGAATTCGGAGAGTTAAAGCGTACCAGGTGGTCGATTTTGGCCCTTTTCTTTTCATGGGTCTTCGGCGTGTGAATGACAGAAGACGCGGATAATTGGCCGTCTGATAGCCAATCATTCTCCTCAAGATATACGTAGCCATCTGAGGGGTTATGGAAGTGGGAAATCAATAGGTGCTCGTTCTGCATCGAAAAGTCAGAACAGGCTCTCGGGAGGGGTTGAAACGGCAAGGATGCATACTAAATGTATTTTCAGTGGCGGACGAAGCTGATCAGACTCTCTTACCACGAGAGGGATGAAAAGGAAATCTTCGGGGGCATTCAAAAAGCCCATTTCAGTCACCAAATTCTTGCTTCGCATTAACTAGATTGACTATCAGCTTTCCGAAAACGATATATCGGTAATGGAGACGGACTGACCTGCAAGACCTGGACTTGAACATCATCGTCAACAAGGTTGAAATCCTTGGCAATAACGATGTTGACCACATTGATGTCAGTGGGAAGCAGGCTTGGGATCGGTGACTTGCTGCGATCTCTAGGAGTCATTCCTAATGAAAGATTGCTGGACTGCTCTGATCAACTCCAAATCATGAAAATGACATTTCTAGAAGTGCATACCGAGGCAGTCTTTAACCGAAAATAAGATGGACGCTCTTGACTTTTCCGAGCGTCTGCCGTCAGGATCTCATGCTGAATGTCCCCGATAGATGTTGTCTCAGAACAATCCAGGATGGAGTAGGACAGGTCAAAGGTATGTGAGCAGACCTTGTCATCAAGTAAGTCGAAAGAATCGATTAGAAACTAAGAAGATGCTGACATACCAATGCTAGCTCTTTCGCAAGATCGTGGATACCATCTCCGGTGGTCTCAATCAAACAGTGTTCACGCGCAACAAGACACAGGAACAGAGCCACTTCGAGGTCAGAAAGCTGTCTTACGATGTCCTCGAGGCTCGGATCATCCATCCCGGCACTCCATAGATCATTGACTCCTTCAAGTGGGAGGGGACTGGGGTAATGATAGGTGGAGGGGGACATGCGGACAATGCAGATGGATGGTTGGTGCCTGAATGCCTGATCCTCGGGGCACTAATTACACCAAATTTGGACTAGTGCCTATCCCCGTCGCAGGCCGCGGAGCTGCACCGCCGCTCATCACCAACCGCAACACGGGGTATGGGTTGATGGTCTCTCCAGAGCCATCGTCCGTGACAAATACTGCCTAGAAATGGCGCCTTTAAACCCTCTTGCCAACTGGGAAAAGGTTGGCGACAGCTTTTACCGCAAAATCCCCGTGTATGACGCCATCTTCGATGAAGACGTGGAGCTTGAGAACTACATTGTCGCGGGCGCGCCGTATGGAGGAGCTATCGGTATGGCTCTTTTTGATCCTGGTTACAAGTTGAAGCTAAATGGAAACGATCTGCAGCTCTATATCGTGATGAGAGTAAGCCATTTAGGCTGCGAGACTCGCAAAGCTCCCGGACTAGCATTGAGATCTATTCCTGCTCAGGAAAGCACATTAACACTATCAATGTGAGTAACTATTGCTTTTTCTCGGTTTCTTGAACAAATGCTGATTGGGTTACAGGGGGAGCAAGCTACTATTCGCGGGCTCGGCTGGTCCGACAAAGAAGAGCTCCTGGTGGTTTTTGAGGACGGCACCGTCCGCCGCTATTTCGGCTTAGACGGTGAATTCACATCCTTCTCTCTTGGGAATGTAAGCTGCTACCCCAAATTTCTCGCCAAATTTCTCGCGGTGGAAGTATTCAAAGCTAATAATGCGCAGGGCGCTGAAGAGTATGGCGTGAGAGCTTGCCAATTCTGGGCTTCTGGGCTTGTGGTTTTGCTGTCCAACAATCAGCTGATTGCGGTGTCTAAGTATGATGAGCCACGACCGAGGCTGCTCGCACCCTGTCCAGAAGGCGAGGTATCATCATGGTCTTTGATTCCACCTGCGCACACTCTTTCGCGCTCAGTGGAGGTTCTGCTCGCTGTTGACAAGACAGTCTTTCTGGTCGACACTACAGAAGCAGAGGATAAGATTCTGCAGGACGGTCCATTCAAGCACGTTAGCGTGTCGCCAACCGGACGTCTTGTTGCACTTTTTACCAGCGAGGGAAAGTTATGGATTGTCAGCAATGACTTCCAGAGTAAACTCAGTGAATACGACTCGAAGTCCCGCGTGGCGCCTAGCTCGGTGGACTGGTGTGGCGACGACGCGGTCATTTTGGCCTGGGAGGATGAAATTCATCTTGTTGGGTCCAACGGTACTGCATCGAAGTATTACTATGATGGTCGAGTGCATGTCATTCCTGAGATGGATGGTGTCCGTCTTATCACGAATGATACGTGTGAATTCTTGCACAAGGTCCACGGTAATTTGCACATCAAAATGATTAATCGAACAACTACTAATTGGGCTCAGACGTGACGCAAGAAATCTTCCGATTGGGCTCTTCATCCCCTGCATCGGTGCTCCTTGATTCCGTGGACCAACTGGAGAAGAAATCACCCAAGGCAGATGAGAACATCCAGCGAATTCGCTCAAGTCTCCCCTCGGCAGTAGACGCCTGTATCAAAGCAGCTGGGTATGAATTCGATTCCTACTGGCAGAAGCGGCTCCTTAAAGCGGCTTCCTTTGGGAAATCAGTCCTTGAGCTCTACAACAGCGACGATTTTGTGGAGATGACTGAAAAGCTCCGAGTCCTCACAGCGGCCCGAGATTATCAAGTCGGCTTGCCCATTTCGTATGAACAGTACTTGCGCTTGACGCCCGAGGGCCTCATTGAACGTCTGATTAGCCGTCACGAGTATCTTCTTGCGATCCGGGTTTCCGAATATCTGCAGATTCCCGCAGACCGAATCTATGTCCACTGGGCCAGTCAGAAAGTCCGCGTTTCTACAGTAGACGATGAAGCCGTGTGCAAACTGATTGTGCAAAGGTTGGATGGAAAGCCAGGCATCTCCTTCGAAGTCATTGCCCAAACAGCTTATGACGAGGGACGATCGCATTTGGCTACACAACTGTTGAACCATGAGCCACGGGCAGGGAAGCAAGTGCCACTATTGTTGAACATGGAAGAAGATGAGATGGCCCTTGACAAGGCAATTGAGAGTGGTGACGACGATCTTGTGAACTACGTGCTCCTCCACATGAAGAGCAAGCTTCCTCTGGCTAGCTTCTTCCGCATGATCAACACTCGTCCTATGGCATCCGCTTTAGTTGAAACAGATGCGCGAGGCCAAGACACCGAACTCCTGAAAGACCTCTACTACCAAGACGATCGACCTGTCGAGGGATCAAATGTCTTACTGTCGGAAGCTTTACAGGCAACGGATCCACAACGCAAGACTGAGAAGCTCCACCTTGCATCACGTCTGCTGTCAGACTCCAAAGACCCAACGGTTATGTTACACCAAAAGCTGGTTTCCGAGGCTTCTCAGCTGCTGAAAGCTCAGGAGTCACTCGACAAAGATCTTGCCGACCACAACGAATTCCTTGGCCTCAGTTTGAACGAGACGATTTTTAGACTTGTTCGAGCAGGCTATGGGAAACGAGCGCACAAGATGCAGGCTGAATTTAAAATGCCCGAGAAGACCTACTGGTGGCTGAGGCTCAGAGCCTTGGTTGCTAAACGCGACTGGGGTGAATTGGAAGAACTTGGCAAGAATAAGAAGTCCCCAATCGGATGGGAGGTAGGATATCTGATCTTTTATGTGTGCGCAATTGCTGACATACACCAAAGGCTTTCTATAACGAGGTCCTGGGCGCCGGAAACACAAAGCTCGCTTCCATATTCATTCCAAAATGCACGCATCTGCCCGTCACGGATCGAATTGAAATGTGGGTGAAATGTGGAATGATCGTCAAAGCGGGCGAAGAGGCGCAAAAGGCCAAAGACGTGAACACCCTCGAACTCCTCCGGAACAAAGCGTCCGGACCCGCAATCACCGAAATCGAGCGCATGATCAACCAGCTTAGGCCGAGAAAATAAATTCCAGTCATCACTCATATCTAAACGCCATATCCTCAGGTGATATCGTCCTCTTCGTCAACCGGCGCATGCTCGTCCGCGACCGGCTCAGACACACTAGTTTCAGATGCGAAAGGATTCGGTATGGACTTGGGCTGCTTGGTGTTCTCGGACATCTCGTCGTCGTCATCGTCATCGTCGTCATCGTCATCAGCTGCATTGGTTTGTTGCAGAGCTGCAAACATGCCCGCTTTCTTGTTCAAGTCCTCCCATTCACCCTGGAGTTGGATAGCGTTGATTAGCGCATGTATCCATGAGTAAATACGCAGTCCATAGCAATCACATACCCTACGATCCTTGACTACCTTCGCTCGGGTAAAACTTCTCTCCTTTTTAATTTCCATCTGGTCCATGACAGCCTCCGCTCTATCCATGCCCTTCTGATGTCTCATACGCTGTGCCCTCGACATCTTCTTCTGCTTCTGCTTCTTCTGGATACCAGAATTTCTGCGATCGGTCAAGACGGAGGGGCGTTGAGCGCCTGGAGATTCAGCTCGCGGCAAAGAGGTCAACGACTTGTCCACATTCAAGCTAGGGGACATAGCCCGGCGGGCCGCACGGGAGTTATCTGTCCTGGCTGATGGAATTTCAGTAAATATACTTCGAATAAAGCAGCATGCGACTTACGCTTGTTCTTCGCCATGATGAGAGTTGTTTTGAAGAGAGTAAAACTTTGTGTGGAGACAATGGCTATCGATAAAACTTTTTACGGCGGGCGCGATGCACCTAAAGCGCAGCCCCGGACCAAGCGAAAGATTGTATACAAAGCCTCCTTCTCCACCTTCTTTCATCTACTTTCCACGGTGTCCGCGATCAAACCACCCGGCCCATGCTCTACAGGCTCACTTCCTACTGCGGCTCTCTTGATTTCCTCCTTCCGCCATGAATGCTCGCAGAGAGGGAGCTGACATCTACTCCAACGCCCCCATTCATTATTACGCAAGCCGAAGCACCCACGATGAAACCACGCCCACGGCTCTGCTAAACAATCAAACATTCGCCTATGCCCTGGTCGCTATCTTCTCCGTCTATTTTCTCCTAGACCATTTTGGTTTTACGCCAGTCTCGCTGATCCGGCTTCTTTGGAACGTCCTCGTCTATCTCACACCCTCTCGGCTCGTCGTCGCGTTAGATTCCCGCATGTCGTACTCGGACCCCTCCTCCCCGCGGCCTTCGCAGATGACCTTCCACCTGAAGCATGAGGCGATGCAGCGTATCTTCGGACTGGACAACAACTCCTTCCCATTCTTCCCGCGATCGCGGTCCCTTTCGGGCTTCGGCAGTGCTCTCCTGGGCAATAACAAAGACGCGGTCCCTTCTGGACTGGGAAACTGGGACAACTCTTGCTACCAAAACAGCATCATTCAAGGACTGGCCTCACTGAAGTCGCTCTCTGCCTTTCTGGGTCAAAATGTCGATGCGTTAGGCGAGAAGGGATCGTTCTCCACACACCAGGCTCTCAAAGGGATTATCGACCTGCTCAATACCGCGTCGAGCTATGGTAGCAAGCTCTGGATTCCCGCGGATCTCAAGTCTATGAGCAGTTGGCAACAACAAGACGCGCAGGAGTATTTCTCGAAAGTGGTGGATCAAATCGATATCGAGGTCCAGCAGGCCTCAAGGGGGCAGACGAAAAACATGGGACTCAAAATGACCGGCCCAGAGGAGAACATTCTCCGAGACATTGTTCAGAACGCACCCGCAACAGATGAAAACGAAGCGGATCCTATCATTGAGAAATCTTCTTTGCGCAACCCTCTCGAGGGTTTGCTTGCTCAGCGAGTGGGTTGCATGAAGTGTGGCTACACAGAAGGACTGTCCCTTATTCCGTTCAATTGCCTCACGGTGCCTCTGGGAGGAAAATTCGAATACGACGTGCGCGAGTGCCTGGATCAATACATGACCTTGGAACCCATCGAGGGTGTAGAGTGTGCTAAATGCACATTGATTCGCGCACACGAGCAGCTGAACAACCTTCTTGGCAGCCTATCGGAGGATGAAGGCCTTGACGATCATTCACAATCAGCAGGCTTGTCCGACGCTGTACGGACCTCTGCGTTAGCGAGGCTGGAGGCCGTAAAGGCAGCCTTGGAGGATAATGATTTTGCAGAAAACACATTGGCCAATAAATGCCATATTCCCTCTAAAAACCGCGTCTCCACCACCAAATCGCGGCAGGCTGTTATTGCGCGGGCTCCGCAATGTCTTGCGATTCATGTCAACCGCAGTCTTTTCGATGAGATGACTGGCATGTTGAAAAAGAACCTTGCCGGTGTGAAGTTTCCCAAGACTATGGATTTGAATGACTGGTGCCTTGGAACTCGGATCGCTGAGAAATCCGGGGATGCTATCGAGCGATGGGTGACCAATCCTTCCGAGACAATGCTTCCTAGCCCAGGCGAGTCCGTTCGTCTTCCCAGTAGGCAATACGAATTGCGAGCCATTATTGCGCATTACGGCCGGCACGAGAACGGGCATTATATCTGCTACCGCAAATATCCCACATCGGTGTTCCCTGCGCCTGTCCCGGACGAGGTCCTGCAGGCCGAAGGGGACAAGGAAAAGCCTGAGCGGTGGTATCGTCTTAGCGATGACGATGTGCAAATGGTTAGCGAAGGCAATGTGATGTCACAAGGCGGTGCATTCATGCTCTTTTACGAGGCTATCCACGGTGGACTATCAGCACAGGCCGAAGAATTTACGAATTCCGAATCCGTGCAGTGCGATCAAGTCGAGTCAAACTCCAGCTCTACTATGTCCGAGGACATGTCGACTCCCACAGATCTCGAGTCCAGTACATCTCGTGCCACTAGTGTCTCGACTCCAGACCGCATGTCATTGCCTTTTGAGGATATCAAAACTACCGTCTCATCGCTCAAGACAGACAACGCAGTTGATATTAATAGACAAGATCCCGGCGACGCATTTGGCTCGCTGTCTGCTATCACTGCATCATGACCTGGCCCTGGTCAACTTTCCGTGTTCCTTATTTCTTTCTTGTCAGCGAAACATCGCCCGCATATTCTGGCAACTGCATCACAATGATACCCGAAGCACATTTCATCTGGGGCGTTCATATGGGGATTTGGGAAATGAATTTACTTTCCACACTTGTATTTTTACGAACAGCTCACTTGGCAGAATTGACTTCATTCGGGCCTCCATACACCAAGATCTTCTTCTGTAAACATTGCAGGGGCGTAGAAACCTGATTCTCATGCTTCTTCTAAACAGTAGGGTTTCGAGCCTCCATCCCAACCCTTTACTATCTTAACCTTCATCTCCCTCCCAATTTCTCTAGCTCGTTTCATTTGTGTCCATCCCAACTCTCTATCCACGTCAATCCAGACGTCGCAGGCCTGATCTTTCTTCCTACTAAAGTGACTATCAACAGAGTTATGCTCCTATTCTTTCCTCAGACGTCAGTTACAATGGCGGAAGATTCTCCGCCTGTTATTTCCGGTGAGTGCAATTTATAACTCTTGAGATTCACTCACTTCCAAATCATCCTTACTTTGCATCTGTCGCCTACTTGATTCTCTGCTTTCGCCTCAACTCTTTCTACTTGTACCACATCCCGCTCCACATCTTCCCTTTCATCCAACTCCCGTGGCTCTTCATTCGTTCATAGTGTCAAGGACGAATTCTCTTCCTCCTCCTCTATCCTCATATCAATCTTTCCAGAACTTTTTACTTACATTGTCTGCTACTAGCCACTACAATGGACAACGAGATCATCGACACTGCAGTCCCTGAAGCTCCAGAGGGTCATCAGTTGCTACCAGCCACTACGATGGAGAACGAGACCATCGCCGAGGTCCACGATGCCCCAGGGCATGGAATCTCCAATAAAGCTTTTGAGACCCCTGCCAACAGGGACTCTGTCGGGCTCTCTGAGACCAATGATAACATCACTGCTGACCTCGAAGTACAAAAGGACGAGGACTCTACCCATGCTCTCGAAGCGACCAAATGCCACCTCTCGGCTATTCCAGACTTTGGGACTGAAAACCAAAGTTTCCTTGAGGAAAAACCGTCCAGTTTGGATGGGATTAAAGCCTCGCAGGTCTACCCTCACAATGAAGGGCCAAACTTTGGGAATGGAAGACAAACAATTCCTGATGAATTCGAAGCCTTGGCGAACTGGACCTACAATAGTCAGCTCGGTTCGGATTTATTCGTACGTCGGAATAACTTGTCTGGAGATAACCCAGACGACGAGAACGTGAATGGCGACATCAATGTCGGTCTCCACGGCGCCAAATTGGATACTGAAAAATCGGATACGTCTATGTCCGCAGCTCTCAGTGACGAGGATCTCTATCATTCTTCCAGTGATGAACCTCTTGAAAGGTCAGTTACTTGAACACCCACCCAACTTTACAATTATAGCAAGAAACTCTAACATTTGTTTAAGCGATGATGAAAAGGAAGACAGGGATCTCCAAGCTCCTCTCTGTTGCTCAACTGTTTCCGCTGAAATCCCTCAACAGGATAACGATTCTAAGCAGGATACATCAAAGACTCGACCGCCTGTCAAGAAGGCAGCAGTGAGTGGCCAACGAGCAACTCGGAAACGATCTAGCCGTCAAGCTCGGCACAACATTCTAGAAAAGGATATCAATATTTCCGAGCGAGAGATGACCCGATCTAAGGAGCTGGGATTGCGCAAATTGAGCGGGCACAACGAGCTCACAGCTTTGTTTTACCAGCTAATCGAAAATGACAAAGTCGTCGGCTCTGTTTCAGCCGCCGGGAAAAAGCCTCGCAGTGCAATCAAGGAGGCACCGCTGCAGAGATTAGAACATTTGCTTTCAATTGGATCAGCTATCCAAGCTGTCCAGAAGAATGCACATCAACCTGGAATCCCCACCTCTGAGAGTTTGAACAAGGAGACAGCCCTCAAAGAAATCACCACTAGGGTCATTGAAGAGAACCCCAATTTTGACCCCCGGGACGTCAGAAAAGACGCGAGAAATCTGATTACGGCTTCGAGAATGTTTAAACATCCTCCAAAGATGGACGGTGTGAGCGGATGGATAATGCACGGGATGAAGAGGAACCTTTTTAACCATCAGGTAAACCAAAAAGCGCCTTATCAAGATACGCTGCTAACTTATCATTAGCTTGATGGAGCCGGGTGGATGGTAAATAACAAATTTAGGTGTTCAAAATGTTTGTATACGATCCTGACCTTCATAGTGCAATCGAGAAAAGGAAGACACCATCCCACGCGGAGGGATGCTGTGCGACATGATGGGTCTCGGAAAGACGCACACCACGCTGTCTTGCATTCTTGATGATAGTATTGGTAATCTACCCGGACAGATGGCTCCTACTCTTGTCATAATCCCAGGTAACGCCCGCGGTCACTGGTAAGTATGCACCACAATATTCAAGAACCACACGATTGTCTGACTTCACCAGGCATCGCCAAATTTCCCTAGGCTTCGATACCGGTGCGCTTGGGTCCGTCTGGGACTGGAATTTTCGCGTGGCGGGGATTTATATGAACAACATCAATGGCTTTAAACAGCACGGCATTGTGTAGGTGATAATTATGGAAGGTATCCTGGACTCTTCGACTTATATATACTTGACAGACTTGCAACATACGATGACGTGCGGAGGTCGTATCCATTATCTCGAGTGCCAAAGTCTCTGCTGGCTGATGAAGAAAAAGCCGAATGGTGGAGGAACAACTTTGAGAGCCAATTGGGACTTATGCATAAAATCAATTGGCACCGCATCGTTCTAGATGGTTAAAAACCCCTTAATTGCTTTGCTTTAAGTGAAGACCGTTTTGCTGACCATCTCCAACAGAAGCGCAAGCTATCAGAAATAAGAGCGTGACTTCAGTAGCCGTTCGGGCCCTTACCGGAGAAAGGAAATGGATATTAACGGGCACACCCTTGTATAAGTACGTGAATTATTTCCTTCTCAGATGAGTTGCTAATTATGACTAGCAGCAAGGAAGACTTACAGCCATATTTCAGTTTTCTTGGGGTTCGGGACTGCGAGCTCCAGAAAAGCTTCCACGATCAGTTCAGCAGGGTATGTATTGACAGTTTCCACATCGATGAAGTGGCTTCATTTACCCTTCTCATTTAGTCATTACTATTTCAATTTTACGGGCAAGTACTAACTGTGTATCATAAATGCAGGGGTATGAAGACATAGTGAATCTCCAGAGAGTTCTCGAGCCATTCTACCGCCGGAGGACGTTTGAAAGCACATGCTTCTGTCTTCCGATTGTTCCTATGCCTGGTGCTAAGGAAGAGCAGATAATGGTTGAGTTCTCTAATGTTGAGAAGGTCATTTACGATGAAATACTTAACAAGCAAATTGAAAAGCTAAATGGCAAGTCAAAGATCTATGTTGACGAGTGCTGGCTCCATACTGATATTTCATGCACAGCGCTCCCCGGTGGCAGTTCATCAAAATCAATGCTGTCCCCAGAGCAAAACACATGCATTCTTGAAACTATGATTCGACTGCGCCAATTCTCAAGTCATTTTCTTACTGCTTTCAAGGCGGTAAAGCCCCTAATAGGCGCTATCGAGTCAGCCTTGGAAGATGAGACAGAGGAGACAGATGACTTCTTGGACCGTGATTCGAAAGAGCTCTGGGGCTTTATTGAGCTTCTGAAAAGTGGATCATTTCCCGCAACGGCTTCTCTGGAAACTCTGCCTTGCACAAAAGTCGAACGCAAGATCTTCGAAAATCGCATCGCTCTGAAGCGTGCTAGCAGGGAGCAAGCACGTCGCTTGGCTGCCGCAGAGAGCTGGGATGAGTATGACTCGATTGTTGCTAAGGAGTGCGTTGAGTGCCTGAAAAAGCTCACACTTGACCGGCCCTTCCTCGTGACTTCATGCCATCTTTACTGCAAGGAATGCTATGAAGGTCTTCGCAGCCAGAATGGCGTCGCCGAATTGCAGAAAATAGTCTGCTTGAAGTGCAGGGCAGAAATTCCCAATGCCGTTGACTTCCACCCTTTTGGGTCACTGCTTGCAGCTACAGGGCCCCGGGCGTCAGGCCTGTGCCCCGGAAAGAAGCGAAAACGGGGTAACGCAGGCAGAAACTCCAGGAACAAGAGCCAAAGAGCTAATCGTAATTCCAACCGGGATGAGGAAAGGGATGAGTCCTCTGATTCTGAAGATTCGTCTACCGACGACTGGATTCCACTCATCGAAGAGTACCACCTCGGCGCTACCTGGCTAGGTTCAAAGATGACCAAGGTCAGGGATATCATTCGTAAGTGGCTTCTAGATGACAAAGACACCAAGATCGTTATATTCACCCACTTTCGGGCCTCTTTGCGCATTCTCGAAATGATCTGTAAGGAGGAGAAGTGGCTTTACCAAAAAGTAAGTATTCCAAAAGATACCATGATGGCATTCGTTGGGTATTGACCTTTTGCAGATTTCAGGCGAGGTAGATGCCATTGAAAGAGACAACCGGATTCAAGTTTTTCAGAATGTCTCCGCATACAAGATCCTGCTCTCAACTTCCAGCACTGGAGGAGCTTCCATTGATCTCACGGCTGCAAACAAATGCATTGTGTTAGACGGATGGTGGAACATGGCACACGATGAGCAGGTAAGTTGTACAATGAATGGCACACATCAGATCGATTTATAAACCAAACTTCCAGGCGTTCTGCCGGCTGCTTCGCATCGGACAAGACCGTGATGTGGAAGTTCTCAGGATAATTGCTACCGGTACGCTCGATGGTCAAGATTCCATCGACAAACAAATGCACGACATGCAGAAATTCAAGATGACTGAAATTTTCGAAGTCATGGGCGCGGCTGCATTTCAGAACACGGGTGCGGCCAAGAGCTTTCTTCAGAATATGGGGCACATCATCCATGACAGAATGGGCCGTATTAAACTCGTCCGACGCGATCGCAGATTGCACCGGAGAGCTAAGAGACGGACAATGGACAATTTGAATGAAGGAGATGCAGAAGACTGATACAGAATTGCTTCCAAGTTTTTTTTACCCCCTTTGCTATTTGCTATGGTTTTCCGCGCATTGCTTTTGTGGTGCGTTTTCACTATCTGTTTATTTTGGCTATATGAAGCCATTCCGTGCGTTCTCCAAACCCAAAAGATTGAAGAGAAAAGTGCGAGAAAAACAGCTGTTAATTTTTATACTCTTTTATAGCCTGCAACTGATTTTCTTTATGTTTTCGCAAAAGAAATAGCGTTAGGATTAAATCAACTATAACTAACTAACTCTCTCTATTTTGTTTCCACGATCCATTCTTCTTCTAGTTGATAGGTTAACTGCCCTGATAACCTTATTTCTCATAACAGTCAAAAAAGACCCGGCCGAGGCAGATTCTCCACTCTTTATCATATCTACGTCTTAGGGTTGTGTGCCCACCACGCTATCTCACCTACGTTTTAGTTCTGGTCTGCGCAAGTGAGCTGGTCACCATCTAAAAACTTTCAGAATCTAGGCTGACCCTCGGGATACTGTCGTGAAAAAAAAAACATAGTGTCGAACGCGGGCGGCGTTTTGTATTCCAGTAGACCTAAAGTATTCTTTCACTAAATAATCTAGAACGCTTGCCAAATACCATTCGCCAGATAGGCCCTCGGAACAACACGGCAGCCTTAATATTTCCTCGGACAGACCTGATCACCAAATGCGTCGCTACCACAAATGGCGCCGTCTCCAGCACCCTGACCCACACACTTTGGGAGAGATTAGTTTTCAAATGGATGTATGGCAACGGAGCCGTGATGCTTACGCTAGTACCAGATTGACAAGCACTGGAACCGTCTATTAGCAGAGATCAACGCAATGGAAACTCATGGTCTTACTAGTTGAATCCGGCAATCTTGCAAGAGGTACCGTTACAGGTCTATTGTGTTAATGCATTAGCAGAGATTCTTCATCATCGCCGTTGGAGCAGATCGTTAACATACACCGCAATATTTCCATCCATTCGGGCAAGACCATTCAGAAACGTCCCCGTTGGTTTCAGCAGGTGCAGCCATTGCCACAGAGGTGCTGGCAACTAGGGCAAACACAAATCCGATGAAGCGCATGGTAAATGTTGTATTTGTTTGTTTGAATGTTGGTGCTTGATGATTGAGAAACTAAGGTTGATGAGAATGCTCAAGGAAGAAGCGCTAACGCGAGGATAACCTCCCTCTTTATAGGCAAGATGAAGGCTAACAACATAAGAATGTATTCTTTTTTACGTAAAAGCTGAAAATTAGGCCCCCGAAGCTAAGAGAGAAGCTTAAAAAGATGGGGGCCATATCAGTGAGAGTGCTATTCGGACGTTCCTGGAACGCTACCAAGTACATAGACATAATGCACGCACGAAGCCTCAAACGGCCAACCAATACGAGTATAATATCTTGAAGCGACGGCATCAAATCCTTGTGTGGGAGGCTTTCAGTCTTCCTGTTTACACATCGTGACGATCCTGAAGTTACGACCCATACAACGGCCAGCTACTTGAGGGACGCCTTGAACCGCGGATCGGCCACGGAGAGCCAACCAGTTCCCAGGAGCAAACTTTAGAACACCCCAAGCACCCTACGTTCATCTACAAGAAATCAGTTCCGCTCTTGATGAGACCCACTTCCAGGCATGTAACATCCCTCTTGACCGACAACAGAGCGTCAGCCTAAAGGATTCCGTACAGGCTAGTAGTCGATGCACCAATCGGACTGTATATAGAGAGAATAGGTTGCATTGAAGCTGAAGATCAGCTAACTGAACCCTCGTAGGTTACAACCGTGTTCTACACAGTTCTTCTAGTTCATTCCGAGTACCATACATTGTCTGCAGAAAACTGGCAGACGCTGAAAGATGTTTCCTATTTTGGAAGACAATACCTGGTGGTACAATCATGACTCCCAGTGGAAAAACGTACTCCTCATAGAGATATTGACACCTGGGTACTTCTGGTACTTGGTACTTTGTACTACCTAGGCTTCCGCCTTGTACGTGTTTGGTCTATCTTCGCTTCTTTCACTCTCTCAACTCTTCAATATCTGACTTATCAAGCCCGCAGTTGCCGCCTTCTGTGGCAGCATGGTCATGCATACACTTGCTTTGCCACTAAACCCCAGGTAAAGTGGTGACAATACCACCCCTCACCCTCTTTCTCAAGCTTAGTAGATATGACGAAGGTGCGAGTGATATGGGTACCTCGCTACTAGCCCTAGAGGTAGACACCAGATGAAGTCCGCCGCTCTTGTGGCTTAACCAATCCATAAATCCAAGAACCGTAGAATGGCTCAAATGATATATTGAGAATGAGCAAAAGGATTTCTGACAAGGCCTTTCGCAAGATTTGTTGAAAGAGGTGGAGAAAACCCAAGGCAAAAATCTTTAAAAGTCAAGGGCCCTGGAAGTTTCATTGCTGACATATTGTATATGCATTGTTATGCAGGCGTGGTACTAGGTGGTATCGCACCCATTGAAACCCATGATGCATGCAATAAATAGGGCTAAACTGCCCTTTAGGGTTGACTCCTTCCTGTTCAGGAAACTCTTTAGTAAGAGAAACAATCCTCGTCACAAGACGTGTCTCATGTTTCTCACCAGTCGAATCTACACCAGTGTAGTGCAACAGCACGAGTATGCCTGGAACCAAGTTAAGCCTCGAGGCCTTTGCTACACGGAGCTGCTTTTCCGACCGTTCAACGGCTCCAATCACTGGGCGACCATCTCCCCTTTCGGGCCCAACCCCAGTTGTTCCCCCTCAGCAACATAATGGGTGTCGACAAACTTACTGGGGTATGTGACCTGATCAGGATTTTCGAATCTGATATTAACGATGCCGATTGTCCCGAGGACTGGCAGTCGTAAGTGGGCCGGGCCCCGTCTGTCCATGTTCTCGTGCTTCTGCGGAAGGTTGACACTTTTAGGGAAACGACTTCCATCGGCTCCTCCATTTATAGGGGTATGGTGGGAAATGGCCAGCGGCAAGTTTGACCCGTGTCGTTTTCTCGTAATTGCGTGGCTATTTGTAAATGCATCTTGCAGATACCAGTAGATACCAGTCACTGCGTAGTGCAGCCCATTGGTATGTGATACCATGCACACTCGAAATAAAGCCACGCCACTAAAATATCTTAGCGACGGTTCGCGGAGTCGATCTTTTTCCGTCGCCGGCATCATGGATGCCACCCAATTGCGTATTAGAAGTTGATGTTTGCGAGAATGGACCTGGAGAGATCCATTCGACTTGATCCACATGCGAATAATGACCGATTCCTGGCCCGATTTAGAATGGGACTGGGTCTATAAGCAATGCTACGAGTGAGACTCACAATCGGCACCTCGTGTCAGTATGAGCCAACTAATACATCCTTAGTAGCCTACACCCAGGGGGGGGGTGGATCGAACAACTGGAGGCGACGCCCCCTGTTGGTTTGAAGATGGTACATGCTAACTGAAGTTAATAGATTGCGCGTCTGGGCACGCAACCCTTTGCCGGGAGAGATCACGACGGTGCATGTTAAGGAAGAAGATATGGAGTAATGCACGGTTGTGACCAGTTTGATTAAGTTTGATTGTTGCATAGCAATGCTTTCCTCGATATCCACGGTGGCCAACCCACAGGCTTTGTTTCCTTGGACTGTACATATCATGTTGGCCATGCCTTGAATGTTATTTATTGTAGATGTGGATTTGACTGGTCGTCCTTCTCAGTTCCGGTACTAAGTAGACGATGTAGCATGCTCGTTAACAATCCGTCGAGACTGTATGCAGGCTCACACAGTGTGCGTTGTTCTCATAGCTGTCTACCACACAACTGGAAGTATCGACACAAGGAGATAAAATCATGATATCTCCATATTCGAGCCCATTGCCTGCGCACCCTTAAACAAGACCGCTACAGATCACCTAATCCTCCTCCATTTCATAGCGACGGCGGTCCTGATGCCGCTGATACTCAGTAACACGCCGTGCCTCCAGAAAGACATTAGCCTGCCCTTGGACATTTGCATCGCGCATGGGCAAGTGACGGTCATCATAGGCCCGTTGCTCAACACCCCGTGCATAGACATCTCCCAGCTCCTGTAGTTCTTGGATCTGTGTCATGAACAGGGAATCATCCAACTCCTCATCGACATCTTCATCACGCATCACCGCTCGCATATTCGGTCGAACATTCGTCACGGTGGGAGTAGGAGCTGAATGGCTGAAGATATCATGGCGGATAGTATCACGGCTGAAAATATGGCCTGCACGCCGACCTCCTGGAATATCGGCCAGTAGAGGGCCGAAGTGAGAGCCGACGGGCAGGCCAAAGACATCGCGTGGGCTCAAATCTGCTTGTGTCCAGTCAAGGTGGTTTCTCGCGGACTCTTCGCCATCCGAAGTGTCGTAGTCTGAGACGGTGGCGTAGGTGTTCTCTTTATCTTCTTCGACATCAAGAAACGACATGGGGGCGTGTCTGAGCGGAGACAGGCGACGTTGTGGATCTTCCCAGATCATAAAGTCTGGTTGCCCTGGGTTGTGGAATGCCCAAATTCCAGAACCTTTTCGTTCGGGTGTGTTTGGGAGACTCAGGAAAGGACCTGGTGCGTTGGGACTTGTAATTGGGCTGGTGGGTTCTGAAAATGACTCCTGTATTTCAATTGCGTCGTCCATCTCGGTGGTCGCTTCGCTGTCGACTGTGTACAAGATAGATCAGCCACGATTCAATAAAATGATTCACAGAATCTCGGGGTCACCCACCCTCGAAGGCCTGGACGCCGGCCATGGAAGAAGGGAGAAGGCGGAGAGAATCGGCTAGGAACCACCTGAATCGAGACAACTCTTGACCAGAATGAGATGGCAAGGCAGACTGGTGTCTAGGGGATGTTCTTTCAGAGTTTACACGCGTCGGAGAGCCCGAGTCTGGGATATGAGTCCGCGCAGCCTGTATGCATCTCCATGTTAGCAACATCTAGCTTGGAGGAAGGCTGAATAGTTCGTTTGACACATACACCATGCTCAATGTTGAGTCTTGTGGAGTAGTCATTATCTGTCATGTTGACTTCGGTGCTGGGTGAGCCTGGGAGAGACTCGTTGGTCCCACGCTTTTAGTGTCGTTGTATCTTCGCTGGTGTGTGCTCAAAGGAGAAGATAGCAAATGATAGCACTTTGCTGGTAGATTACCCGAACAGCTCAAAAACAGATACTGTGAGTCTTCCCCTTGGGATTTCTTTTACTTGTATCCAGATCGATGCCGCCTTTTGGAATCTCCGTCTGGCTATCATAGATCTATGTTGGCACATGCAGCAACCCCTTGCTCACTTTATACTAGCATAGAAGAATTGAGAATTGGCTTTCTTAATGTCTCTTTCATTCAAGTCAGAGTATGAGCCATGGGATTGAGCTAGAATTGGAGCAACGCCTTGTCCGCCAGCGGCCTCGCCATAGTAGTCCGTATAGTTACTGTACCCAAATTTGCAGTTTCAATGAACGCCCATTTAACGAATGTGTATTGTGAAAGACGTCAATATCTAGCTGTAGCCATGTCCAGAGCTGCTCCGCTCTACAAATGTTAATGTAATCTGGCTCTCTATCTTCATGTAGAAAATATTGCATACGCCCAAAGATATTCGTGACACCTCAGGCCGCATCTGCATCTATTATGTCATGCGTTTCACCACTACATTATGTAATATCTAGTAGACCGTAATTACATATTAGCTCGTTTCTCTTAGTGTTTATAGGGAGATATTCGCCCGCAATACGTTGAAGATCATGCTTGATAAGCGGCTACCACCACTTAAAAAAGAGGTAGTATACCTAGAAAATAAGTAAATACATATTCAGCCTGCTAAAAGTAGCTTATGCTACTTTTTCCTAGTGGCTACTATTAACACCCGTACCTGTCATGAATCACTTCAAGCTTGTACTCGTTGACAAGTCCCTAACTGCTGTACTTTCATAAAATCTACAAGAAAAGAACATGTGTCAACCAAGTAATAGATAGATTGAAGCAGCCCAGGTATCTAACAAGGAAGCGAGAATCTACCGGATAGCAAACATAGACCCTTCCATCATAGATACATGGGCAATCTAACTACCACTAGTTCAATCAACCATATCCCCGAAGGGCCACCGGAATACTTGGATACCGGCCCTGAAAAACACAGCAAAGGAGAATCAACTCGAGAATCAAAGACCAGAAAGTAAAGCCCCTTAGTATGTAGCAATAAACACAGGGCAAGCCGGTGCTAGAAAAGCAAAGGTTAAGGCCGGAGTAGGAAGGCAGGGCGATGGGCATCGGCAAATACAGCGTGAAAGGAACTCAGGAAAAGAAGAAGAAAATAAATAAGAAACAGGTGCTTTGATCTCGAGAAGATGCAACGTTGCCGTGTAACCAGGCCGGACTCAAGACTGAGACGGGCCTTGCGCCACATGCTTGCTTCACATTTTTGCACGGATAAATCACAAATCACTATGCGCAGGAAAATGTAAGGCGGTGGAATGAGGCCTCAAGAGCTCTTGCCTGCATGAGAACCTAGTCTACCTGAATTGAGGTGGGCCCACCATGCCTCCGCGGCTATCGCCTCCATGAGACTGGCCGAACATCTCCAGTAGGTGTCGAGAAGAAGTGGGAGGGCCTTGCGGACCCGGGTTACCAGGTCCAAATGGTATTTGGCCACCAGGACCAAGTCCCATCATGTCTGGGTTGGGGGGCATGGGGGGGAAGCCTGGAGGAGGGGGGGCGCCCATGAATCCGGGGGGAGGGATCATGCCAGGAGGAGGGCCACGAGGGAAGGCCTGTCGGTCGTTGAGTGGAGGGGGTTTCCAGGCATGGGCATCATGCCTGGTGGGAATCCTGGGTTCATGCCACGACCAGGAGTCGGGATTCCAGGCGGGTGGCCCATTGGGCTCGGTCCATTGCCTTGCTGGGGCGGAGGCTGGCCGGTCCATCCAGGAGGAGGCAAATGTTCAAGGCCGGGGGGTCTCTGGAGTGGCATAGGAGGCTGATTAGGACCTTGAGGGTGGCGAGAACCACCAGGAGTGATATGTCCCTGGCCTCCTTGGGGAAAGGGAACATCATCGAAGTATCCCATGGGAGGCCCATTGGGGGCCCGCCGGCGAAGCTGCTCGCTGTCAGGACGCTGCATATTGGCGATGGCCGGATCGTCCAAAAAGTTAGGGGTCTTTTGAGGAATGCCGAGCCCAGGAGGAGGGCCGGGAGGAGGACGAGGCATCATTTCCGGTATCAGGCCAGGGGGAGGACCCACGGTATTCGGAGACTGCTGGGCTGGGCTGCCCAAGGGGCCTGATCCAACACGAACTTGCTGCATGAGACGGAGCAAATGCTCTCTCTCGCCGGGTTGGGGTTCTTTGCCGCCTGTAAGCTGAACAAGGGGATTTTCATGCACAGGACTTGCATAATCCTGCCGAGGATAGAGATCCCTGGCCGGAGACGAAATATTCCGAGACTGCTCGGCATGCACCATCGAATGGGGTCGTGGCCGATGGGACGAATCAACCTGGTTAGGGGTGCCACTGGTAGATCGACTGCCGCCAGCACTGCCGCCAGCGCCCAGCATCGCGATGATCCGCTGGAAGCCTTCCTGGTCAGGGTTGGAGGAGGGGGCTCCAGCGAAGGCCATGGGAAGGGCAGGAGACTCAGGAGCCTTCGAAGGACTCTCCGGTGGCGGGCTGAAGAGTCCGGCAAAGCGAGACGATTTACCAGGCTTGCCAACAAAGACTTGGTTCTTCGGGGCCGATTCGACGGGAATGGGAATTCCGATCTCTTGTTGAGCATGCGGCTTCTCTCCTCCCAGCATGCCGAAGAAACGGTCCATAGAGTTATCCATCATAAACGGAGCACCGGCGTGGCCGCTCGGTTCATTGCTGAAGACTTCCCCATCGGTGTAGTGAGCCTCTGGCTTCTGCGCAGCCATGTGTGATTCGGCCGGCACATCTCTCTTCTCCTCCTGTGCCGAGGCTTGGGCAGCACCAGAGCCTGCCTTCATGCGCTCTTTCCAGCGTTGGAAATCTTCTTGCGTGTGTGCTCGTCGAGATTCATCTCGGTCGTTACTATCCAGCCATTCGGGCTCATGGTCAAATTTGGCACCACGGTTCCAGTCGCGGTCTGCGCCATGTCGGTCACGCTGGCGCCATTCTCGGTTACGTAGTGGTTTATCATCATCGGCATCGGCGCTCTCTGGCGCGGGAATGCTGTTCTCGTTATTGCGGAACCAGCTCCCTTCAAATTTGGAGCGGGCCGGCTGGCCGTCCTTCTTGGGAGGGAAGCGGCCATCCTTGTCTCGGTTTCGCTCGTCGGTGGGATCGCGAGGGGGTTTGCGTGCTTTCCCATCGGTCGAATTCTCCGTTCCGTCGGGGCTTGCGATCTGGGTCTTCGGGGCCAAATGTGCGGCGGGGTCGTCCAGCATTCCAATCCTCCTTATCTCCACCACGGCGACCGTTCAGACCTGCCAGTTTTCCATCGCTCTCTGCATTTTCTCGGTCCTTGAAGAAGCGGTCCTTGAAGTTGAATCGATCGTTCCTGTCATCTGGGTTGCCTGTTCGTACTGGCCGATCTGTCATATCAAGCGATCCCTTGCTACCCATTCGAGATGAAGCAAAGACGTTCTTGGGTGAGGTAAGGAGGATATCCTCTATCAGTTCAGCATCAGATTAGCGTATACTCAAGAGAAGGGTGGTAAAAGTAGTCGGTGAACTAGCGGGGAATAGGAAGTACCTGAAATGGAGCCCCGTGAGATATGGCGAGGTTCGAAAAAGCTAGGTCTTCTGGCTGGAGTTGTTTCAGATGGGTTATTGGGGTCACGAGTAGTCTGCTTGCGCTGCTGGGTAGTCGGGTCGAGTTGAGGCCTAAGAGAGACACCTGGATCAGTCTTGCGGTGGGCGTGGGGGGCGGCCAGCTAATCGAGAAGGAGGAACATACATCCATTCCTCAATGGGGGGTAGGCCAGGAGGTTTTGCGACGAGAGGAGATGAGCGCAGCCATAACAGCTCATCAATCTCGTACCGTCGCGCCATGACGGCCTCAAGGGAGTGTGCGATTTGGGTCCAAGACTTATGATCCTCTCATTGGTTCACGGGGGTTGTAAAAGGGCGAAAGCGGACAGAGATAGTCAGAATAATTGTGGAAGGCGATGAGAACAGTAAAAGGTGAAAGGTCGTGAAGTTCGTGTGGGGGGAGCGGTCGGAAAAAGATGTCGCTAGGTGAGGAGAAGCAGTAAGCCACCTTGTGGCGAGGTTCAAGGCGGAGTCCAAGGTCGGTGAGCGATCCACCAGATGCCGCGTCACAAAGAATGACCGCCCTTGAGAGTAATAGTCTAGTAGTTAGGTTAAAGAGTAAAGTGACGTCTAGAGTGAGTTCCTAGGTTTACATCCTTAAAAGGGGAACCTTGGAAATTTGGGGTCCCGTGGTGTTAAGTCACCTTGCATGGAATTCTTGGAGTCCTGGGACCTGTGATATTGTTTAAAACTTGCCTAGCAGGTGCACGTGTGTACTCAATAAATATAGAAATCAAATTCACAATGTGCATAAAGCGGCAAGTGCCAGTTGCTAATATCATTAGACTCAGGAAATCTTGAAAGTAGTTTCCCATAGGATATACATACTACGATTATCTTCCCGCATGTTGAGGGAAAGAAGGTCACAATCGAGGTTCCGAATCTGCGCCCATAAGAAAACGATTATTTTCAAACTCTCAAGAACAAAATATGGTACAAAAGTCTATTTCACGCCTGTGCGATCGTCTCAATCGTCGACTCAAGGGTCCCGTTGCTCCAGGCATCAACTCGCTCGCGGTCTGACGTCTGATAGAGGGTCCGCGCCAAAGCCGAAAGCAAGGCAACCTCTTTGTTGTCAGCTTCAGCGATTTGAAGCTGAATCCAACTGATGACAGCCGCACGGGTGATCAGAGTGGTGCTGCCACCCACCTGAGCTGCTCGGTAGATAACATGCAGGATCTTACGCCGGGCCGCCGAACCAAGGCTGGGGGACTGATAAAGGGAGAGAATGCGCTCGAAGACATTGGCGCGACGGTAAACTTCCATATCAGCCTTGCTGCGAAGACTCTTCACGAAGAGTCCCAGAAGCCAGTCGATCTCGTCGAAGTACCCATCATCCAGCTCGGGCTCGTGCAGGAAGATCTTGTCGATCCAGTACGAGGGGATCTTCTCCAATTCCCAGACTGGGGCTTTTTGCAAGAACTTGTTGACCTTGCCATAAACCTTGTGCAGGGGGTTGATCAGGACTGAAAGACAGTTGGAAGCGCATTCACCAACGATCCACGGAATGGGCTGGTCAAGACCAATGCCGTTGACCGTTTCCAGCAGTTCTCCAATGAGGGTATACACGCAGCGCCATTCGGCATACTTGGACTCCTTCAACTTTGCCAGGAATCGCGCAAGGTTAGAAAATGCCTGTCTTCGGACTTCCTCGTGCTCGGAACACAAGCAGAGCATCAACTCAGCGATGTGGCCTTGCTCCACTGCTTCTTCTTCATCCAATCGCTCCCACTTGTGCAATGCATTGTGGGTTGTGCCTTCGGTGGGCAGGAATCCGAAAATCTCATCTAGGTCCACTTCCTCGGTCTTGCCGGATGAAGCGGGCTGGACCGGGTCAGAATCAAGGTCCATTTTGTCCTCGTCGTCAGCATCTTCTGTCTCCTTGAGACATTTCTTGAACTGAGATCGCACTTTCTTGGTCTCGGTGGCCTCGACCAAAGCATCTCGTGCAGCCTTCAACGCGCTGGTGCTCTCACCACTCTGCTTCAATTGCGCGAAGAGCTTAGCAATCCATGATCCAACGGTAAGTTCATTGACTTCATCTCCGGTCTTGACGATGAAAGGCCACTGCTCGACGATTGCGGGGACAAGTGGGCTCAGCCTGTTAGCAGCATCTTCGGATAGAGGCTCAAGAAGGTCCACATAATGGACAGGTTTCTTAGCAACTCGAGACACACAGTTGTCGAAGAAAACCAGCTGCTTATGGAGAGTTTCAGTTTCGGAGTCCTCAAGGCTTGATAACAACGAGTTGAATGACTGTGGCGAGTTTCGAAGAACAAAGTTCTCTGCAAGGACAGTTCTCAAGAGGATAGAGATGCGGCGCGAAGATTCTTTGTCTGAGGTATCCACAAGGACCTTGAGGATCGATGTAAAAGGAGAATATTGCATAGTAGCTGAGAAGATGTCAGTTTGAGAATATCATAGATTACGAGATTTTAAAGCGCCTACCTGGTTTCTGCCACCAACGCATGGAGGCAGACTGCTGTGCAATCTGCAGGACACTTTGCAATTGACTAAGAAGAAGCTCTGAATCATCCGAGCTGACTTCGGGCTCCTCCAATCGCTTGAGCACGTCTACCAGAACCAACGAGACATCGAAGTTCTCCTCCAACGCAATGTCGGGCATCACTTCGTAGTAGCAGGTCAACAACTCCGCGACGGCATCTTGCTGCTGCAGTTCTTCCTTGGCCGTTCGTCGGAAAAGAACGATAACATCCTTCACGGCAGGGCACCGGCGGGAGAACTCAGCAAGCAGCTTGGAGGAAGCCTGGTTCCAAAACAACTGGGCTTGTCCATGTTCAGCGCGGAAGATCTTCAGAACGGAACGCAATTTGGTGAATGCAAGGGTCAAGATTCGAACTGCGAACAGAGTGATAATCTCCGCATTCTGATTCAAACACCGAGTCAGGACCTTCTGACTCATAGGACGAGGGAGTATATTTTCAATGACAATGGAAACCGGTGGGGGCAGGATGGGCTCTCTTTCTCTCCAGCCACAATTTGTAGGGACAGGCAACTGCACAGTGGAGAAAAGGAGGGCGGACTCAGCCAGCCACGAGGGAGTTGGCTTAGGGTCCGCAGTAAACATAGTCTTCTTGGAGAAGAAGTCGGCGATCAGCTCAGGTGCTGCCTTGAAAATTGTCACCAGCAGCTCAATTTGCAGACTATCCACGTCGGGGCGAAGACATTGGATAAGATACGAAAGAGAATTGTTCCGAACGGGAACGTGCTCCTGGTATTTATCGACATAAATGGGTGAATCAAGACCCAACTCAATGCAGTCGTCATTCTCAACGGGCAGGCTCTCGGGATCGGTTCCGACCGGATACCATCCTGTCTCAGGAAGAAGAACACCAAGGCCCGCAGTCTTGCAGATATTCATCAAAAGTTTGTGAATCTCATTCGCGATCAAGATGTTCTCCGGGTTGGGCTCCTCGGATTCGCGATCGTAGCCGTAGAGGGTCACCAGCTTCTCTAAATTGAAGCGGTTGAAAAACTTGCTCTTGGACTTGCGCTGCAGCGAGGCATCTTGTACGATGTCCCTCTCGATAGACTTGATGATTTCCAGGGCAATTTCCCGAGTGTCCTTCCGAATATGGTCGAGGAATGCTCGGGTGAGCTTGTGCTGCTCAATGATGTCGCTCTTCTCGAGCTCGTGTTGAACCCTCAAATTCGCAAGTAGATATCTCTGGGCATTGCGACGCAGAGTTGACTTGCTGGTCTGGTCCTCTGAAGTCTCAAGTTGCGCCTTGTTGGGTGTCAAAAAGACCTCGAGGCGCTTGAAAGTGATATAGCGGCGGTTGTAGAGTTGCCGCGCTACCGCACCTCCATCATAAGTAACGATCTCCGTAAGAAGACGGAGACAAGGCGAGATGAGATGTTCCTTAGACTTGGTAGCGGTAAGACCCCGGTTGAAGAGTCTCAGTTGATCTTTCTGCAGCAAATGCTTGCACAGCGCTAGACCGAATTCGCGGAATTCAAGCTCGCGGGAAACGGTCTTAAGGAAAATGGCAAGGACGGAGGGTACATTGGTCAGCAGGGAGTCATGGTTACCGCTGTCGCCCAAGCCCCAGGTTTGGATTATATCTGGGAAGCAGACGGAATCTTCCTCCCTCTCCTTGCCGGGAGAGATTTGCTTATCGCAATAGCCCTTGAGGACCTGAAGCTTCTGGGCTTTTTCATTCGCCTTTTCAGGGTTGTGAATAGAATTCAGGAACTCCTTGAATTTGATAAGTCCTTTTGCAAGACCGTTAGCTTTAGTGGTCGAAGGCTGTTGAGGGAAAAACTTACCTTGCTTAGACGCCGCGGGATTCTGCTGGAAAACGAGCAGGTTGCGCAGCTGGGAGGGGTTTTTGATTGTTGGCTCATTGCTCTCCTGAGAATCCTCATCGAGCTTTCTTCGCTTCGCACGAAAAGGATGCTCTGTAACGTGCGCCATCTGGATGGTTGCAACAATGTTATTTTTTTTTCGAGGTCTTCGATGCACGGGTCCGATGTCTTCGAGATTTCGCACCCTCTGATTGGTCATCACCGACCCATCACCCACTTTGAACTAAAACGGTTCAGCGATTAACTTATTCTTTCCTCGAAATGTTCTGAGTTGCTGAAAGTAAACTGTGAAGTGCCTAGGTAATTTTAAAGAGACAGAAACTACACGCTTGGCTTCTACGCTGTACATTTTGGGATCATCATACAATGCAAGGAATGGCTATTTCCATTCAAACGCCAGTCCATTTTGATTCGTCAAGCTTGAGAAAAGTACACGGTGAATATACGATAGAACATGCAACAAAACATTGGTATCCTTGAAAGTAACAGATCAACCCCAAGTTCCTCCGCCACCACCTCTGCCTTGGCGGCGCTGGGCCGAAAGACGCCAATCGTCCTCGCCAGCAAACCGATTGTGAAGAGGTTGGATGCGCTCAGCCTTCTTGCGCTTCGACAGACGATCCGTAGGTGCCACCTTGAAGAAAGTCGGTGCTGCCTCCACGAGCCACTTCGGCTCGATCGAAGTGGTGCAGTGCATATACTCCTTCGTGGTGAGCACCAAGGTGTGGTAGATAACATGTTCGGATGGCTTTCCGAATAGTGCGGAGCTCGGGTGCATGTACACAGGTGTGCCTTCCACCAGCGTCTTGTATCCTTCTTGGGGATCCTTGCGAGCGGCGTTCCGGAAGAAACCTGTACAGAGTGCTTGTCGCACCTTGGTAGTGTTTCGTCCGCAAGAGATGATCTTGTGGCGGTAGCGGTCCATGATGCCCATGAGCTGATTGCGCACATCCTTGGCCCGAGCGATGGCTCGGACTTGGATGAAGTTTTCGAAGCACCAAGTGTTGTTGAATTTGGAATTCTTCCAGCCATTGTAGACATTCAACAAGGTAAGATGATCACCGCATGGATCGTGGAACTTGGCCTTCTTCTGGTCGGCCTGTTGCTGCTTTTCCTTGGGTCGGTAGAATACAGATTGGATTGAGAGCATGGCGACGATACTGAGCATCTCATCAGAGCAGCCCATATCGACGGAAGCAATAAGCACCTTCGCAAGAGCGGGCTCCATGGGGAAGTCGGCCATCTTGCGGCCCAGACGAGTCAGTAGACCTTCGTCATCCAAAGCTGACAAGGCGTACAACTCCTCAAGAGCTGTCAACATGGTGTTGGTGGGTGGCGGATCCATGAAGTCGAAGTGAAGAAGATCATTGATGCCCATTGCCTTGAGCATGAGAATAGTATGCGACAGGTTCTGACGCTGAATTTCAGGAATGGTGGTGGGGAGCATCTCGGATTGATACGCGGCCTCCGTGTACAGTCGGAAACACTTTCCAGGACCTGTTCTGCCTGCACGGCCAGCTCGCTGCTTGGCCTGTGCCTGGGAAATAGGTGTCACCACGAGCGAATCCATACCAAGCTTCGGGTCGTAGGCATTCTGCTTCACAAAGCCCGGGTCAATGACATAGTAGATGTTGTCGATGGTAATTGAAGTCTCAGCAATGTTAGTCGCGATGACAACCTTGCGGCCACCGGGCGGCGCAGGTTCGAAAATTCGACTTTGTACCTCACTGGGAAGTGCAGAGTAGACAGGAAGGATGACCAGCTCGGGGACCGTAGAGCCCAATGCTTTCATCCGCTCGAATAAAATTTCACAGGAGGTGTCAATTTCTTCTTGGCCAGTAAGGAAGAGAAGGATGTCACCAGCCGGTTCAGTCAAGTGAATCTGCATAACTGTGATAAGAGCAGCATCCAGATAGTCAGACTCAGGCTCCTTCGAATACATCATCTCGACAGGGAATGTTCGTCCAGGAATCGAGAAGATAGGACAGCCGTGGAAGTATTCAGAGAACTTCTCGGCGTCCAGAGTGGCCGATGTAATAATCAAGCGAAGATCGGACCGGCGCTTGATGGTCTTCTTCAACAGGCCGAACAAGATATCTGTGGCAATTGTTCGCTCGTGAGCTTCGTCAAGCATGATCACGGAGTACTTCTTGAGATCTGGGTCCAGCAGAATTTCTCGCTGAAGCATTCCATCGGTCATGTACTTGATCTTGGTCTCTGGACTTGTGCAGTCTTCGAAACGGATTGTGTATCCAACCTCTGCTCCCAGTCTGCAGCCTACTTCCTCGGACACACGCTTGGCCACAGACATGGCAGCGACACGACGAGGTTGAGTGCAACCGATGATACCATTGTTTCCGTATCCAGCCTCAGCCAAGAACTGCGTCAGCTGCGTGGTCTTTCCTGAACCAGTATCTCCAACCACAATCATCAGCTGGTTATCCTTTACGGCATCCAGCAGTTGTTTGCGGAACTTGTACACTGGCAGACTCTCACGCTGCTGTTTGATGCTCATGTCGGTTCGCTTGCCAAAGGACTGGTTCTTGCCCATGGTGACCCTCTTCCACTCCGGTACTGCATCATCCTGCTTGGGTTGCTGAGTGCTGCGCAGATCCGCAGCAAACTTGCGATCCTCTGGTGCCACCATGGGATCCTGCCATTGTGCATTGAGGTCGACCTCGTTGGCTCGTTCAGCAGCTTTGTCTTGTGCCTCTCCCTGTTTCAATTCGCGTCTCTCCTTGGCAAGATTGGTACCCGACATGGCGGCACGGTTCATGGAGCCATCAGGGGCCTTGACGACACGGATAGGTGAGAGTTCGAGCGACTGCTTTGTCTGACCAGCCAGGAAAGGAGGCTCTTCGTCCTTGACTTCAATATCGACGTCTTCCTCTTCTTCAAACGTTCCCTCGCCGGTGAGGGTGGCATGGTACTCGTCATCAAGATCAGGGTAGTCTGCGGCGGATGCAACACCAGAAGCAATGAGCTGTCTGATCTCCCATCGTTCAGGCGAGGTCATACGCTTGCGATTCCTCATCGGCCGTCCGTTAGATTCTTCAATGACGGGTACATCTGAACTGAGATCGCCGTATCGGTCGTTTTCTGACGACCCGTCAAGGCGTTGCATGTTCGCGCCTGAAGCCAAACGCTTCTGGGGAACAATATCCATTCCTGTTACCTGGTCGACCTCCTTCATTGACAGTCCAATGCGGGTACCTTCCATGCTCACAACCTTGACCTTGACTGGCTGGCCACGAGACACAAGGTCACCGGGGTGGTTCACCCGCACGCCTTCTTGCATCGCAGAAACGTGGACAAGGCCGTCGACCTTCCCTTGAACTCCCTGTAGATTCACAAAGGCACCGAAGTCCTTCACGCCTGTAACACGTCCCTCATAAATTTTGTAAAGAATTGGATGATCGTCCAGTTCAACGGGTGGCGGTCGTCGGAAGTATTCCTCGTCGTCATCACGTTCACGATCGCGACGTCTCCGGCGATCACTGTGTCCGTTGCGGCCATCTTCTCGCTTGCTAGGTCTGTCGATGGATCGTCCGAATTCGTCCACAATGTCGTCGTTCTTGCTGCGGCGATGGGGACTCCGGGACCTCGATCGATATTTGTCTTTGTGTCGTCGTCCGCGGTCGTAGTCATCGTACTTGGGGCTGCGACTTCGCTTCCTGCTGCTGCGCTCATCTCTAACGGCGGATGGATTTTCTTCTTTTGGCTTCCCAGCAAGTCCCTCCAGCATTGCAAATGTGTCGTCCATGGCGCCTTCTTGCGCGTCGGCTTCTTTAGCGGCCTGGCGATCAAGGTAGTCGTTCTCTTCCCAGCGCTTCTCCCTATCTGGGACAGCCAGACCCTTAAAAACCCGCGACTTCTTCTCTAAAACATCCAGCTCGTCCATCAAACCATCGCCTCCGGCACCCGAATCGCCATTTTCCGCTTTCTTTGACTTGTACTTTGGGTGCATCGTAAGGACAAGGCGATCGATACTCTCCATCAAGCTTTGCGGGAACTCGGCGCCCATGTCATCAAGGCCCTTCTTGAATTCAGGGAAGTGTCCATTGCATTTGAGGTGTTGGTCGATCACAAATTCGGCCAGAGTCTTGTCGGAAATGCCCAGGTGGTTCTGGAGCTCGCTCGTCACTCGCGATACGAGCGAAAGCAGCTCCAGAGACTCCAGGTCATCCATCCTGGCGACAGATCGGAAGAGCGACGATCGAAGGGAACGAAAGGCGCGAGTAAAGCGATGTGAGCGAGGGCGCAAACACCGAACGAGACCGACCTTCGCGAAGCAAAGTGAAGGCGGAAAATCAGTCCGGCCGAAATCGCCACCGATAAGAGATAAGACAACTATAAACGATTAAATATAGACATTTCGTGCTGGAGCCGTTAGAGAATGGTTTAATGTTATACAAATAATATACAAGTCTTTTATTACATCGTTCACATTATACAGAAGAGGTCTCCGCGTTGCCTGGGAGCTTCGGTCGGGGATGAGAGCTCTCTGAAGAGCTGTCTTCATCCAAATCAGCCTCGAGGTCGGTATTTGGGCTGTCTGAGGACTCTGCTTCAATCATACCAATCTCAGAAAGGGGAGTCGGTAGACCTGACGAGCCTTCCTCTGCTTGGTCTTCCTCCACTTCCTCTTCTCTTCCTTCAGGCTCGCCATCATTTTCAAAGTCAACTTTTCCTTGCTCAAGGAGCTGCTTCTGCAGCGCAATCTGGCGGCGCAGAGACGCGTCCTTCCGTAGTTTCTTGTTGGCTGAGAACTCAGTCAATGCTCGAATCATTCGTTCCTCGACGAGCTCCTTGACATGCACAGCAAGAGTCCGGTCCGTGAAGACGCCGCCGAAGCGGAAACCCAGCCATGAGTAGAGAATGATAGCTTTGTGCAGGTTCTCCAATTCGTGCAGGTATTCCTTTTGTCCGGATACTGGTTCTTGTAAGACCTCCAGCCTGAGAGCAAGAATATCCAAAAACCGTCCGCGTGAGTTCTCGGCCACGCAGTCTGCGAATTCAGAGATAGCGTCGTACCCAGCGGTAGTTCTTGTGTCCATTGGGGCGGCCATTAGCGTCAACTGTGACTGAAGCCGTAACCCAGTCACATTGTCAATGATTTCGGCATTAGCGAGCTGATCCTTCGCATCACACATGAAGAAAAGAGGGTTGATTTCGGCAATTTCTCTGACGCGCCTGAGCAGATACTCGAATGGGGTAGATCTCGGGAAGTATGTGGCAAACTTCTTGTAGGTAGCATCCGTGGGAACGATCCCAGCAGCACGGAGTGGTGGGGGTTCTGTACCCATGGCCCTGACAATATAGGGTAGATCGACTTCTTCAAGGGATGTGACTAGGCCTACGTTGGCTCCATCTTCTGAATCATTCGTGGCACTTGCTGGGCGATACCGGCCTGCACGTCCACCAATCTGCTTGATCTCTGGGACCGACAATCTCTGCAGACCACCAGGAAGACGTTTGATCAAAGTTTCGAAGATGACACGCTTACAGCTCCTGCTAAGTGTCAGTTGAGTTTCAGAGCGGAGAGATATGATATACTTACAAGTTCAACCCCATACCAATCGCATCACTTGCGACGAGGAAGTCATAGTCATTGTCAGGGTTGTTGAACAGATTAGCCTGTTGGGTTCGAATTTCAGCCGGCAGGCCGCCGTAAACAATAGCTGCTCGTCTTCCAGTCAATCTTTCGATGTCGGCCTTCAAGGCGTGAATTCCGACGCGGGAGAATGACACCAGGCAATCACCCTTCTGGAGGTTGTTTAAATTGCCCTTCAAACTCTGGGGCATGACCTGCAAAGGATTCAGGCGGTCGTAGCGGTGAATTTCCAAATTATCTCCCGTGAGAGCGCAGAGCTCCCGAATCAACGGCACAGCACGGGTTTCACCGCATAGATGCAACTCTTTGACACGAGCTCCAAGAACAGCTCGCGTCCATGCCCATCCTCGTTGTGGATTTGAAATCATCTGAATCTCGTCGATGACTCCCACATCAAAGTCTTGCCCAAGGCTGACCATTTCCACTGTATTACTCATGACGCGTGGCACCTGGCCATCCTCAGGGACTTTGACTTCATCACCGGTCACCAGGCTGCATGGAATACCACTTGTCTTAAACCGATGATACACTTCCTGTGCAAGTAGTCTCAACGGCCCTGCGTAGAATCCCGATTTGCTGGCTTCCAGTCGCTTCAGAGCGTGGTATGTCTTTCCAGAGTTCGTTGGGCCGACATGAAGATGCACTGTTCGTTGAATAGAGCGTGCGGCGGGATACCATTCAGCCGGATAACGGAGGTCGGCCACCTTCTTCTGTGCTTCGAGGTTCGGAGTTGAGTAATCCCTCGTGGTTCGATCGGCGTAGTTGAGATATTCCAGTTCATTTCGTATACCCTGTGCCCCAGCAGAAATCATAGCCCTTTGTAACGACCTCTTCGTCTGCAGCAACGGGCCCGCATCCGACTTTGCTTCATCCATTCGCAAGGCATTCAACACCCGGCGTTCGATTTGCTTCCATCCTTCTGACATCTGCCCTGTTTTCAGGAGTTTGTTGCGCACATCAACCAATGCTTCTTCCACACTCCGATCGAACTCTGCAAGACGTTGTCTTTGCCTGCTGGACATCAAGGAGTCATTGCGATTCGGGGTAGCACCAGGCTTGGCTTGCGGTCCTTTGGCCTTTTTGTCTCGTTTTGTTCGCCGGAGGACAGGGGATGTTGTAAAATGCCGTTTGTGGGGTGCAAGTATCGGGCTATGTCGTCTTTTGGAGCACAGAAGGGTTGTGACGGAGCAATGCTGCTCAGGCCGAATTGGAGTGCATGATCGCAATGAGCAGAAAAGCGAGCGACTGCTTCTACCCCATGACTGCATTCCGCCCTAGACCCTAGACCAGTAAAGGAATGAAACAAAGGCCTAAAAGGTGTAAAGACGTTGGAAATGCAAAAAAGAAAGGTCGTTTCAGGGTGGTTTCAAGAAAAAAGTTGCTTATCGGGTTGAAATGAGTTCCCTGGCGCGCCACCGGGAGATCCACTTCTGCATCCTGTCGAAGCTCCAATGGTGGGGAACCGCTTTCTCCTTCATATACCTCCTACGGGCCACCTATCTGAACTCCCTCTCTGCTTCTTCTTCACCTTCTTCCTCCACTTCCTCTGCGCATTGAGTCCTTCTCCTTCTTGATCCTCTGCTTCCGCCTTGATCCTTCGGCCTTGTGGCCCGCCACCATGGGCTCCTCAATAATCAACATCCAACGCGACAGTACGTGATGTCACGGTGCTAAGGTTCCTCTGGAGGTGGGTTGGCTGACATTGTACTTCTTCTCGCAGTCATACTCAACACAATCCGGAATGCGGGCGGTAATGAGGTGGGTTGCGCCCCGGTTCTCCTCAGTGGCGGGCACTGACGATAGCTTCCCCCGTACAGTGGAAAGTCTTGGTGGTGGACGAACAGAGCAGGAAATTAATTAATTCCGCTGTGAAAGAAGAAGAGATTCTCAACTTGAATGTCTCCAGTGGGTTCCCTCCAGGTCCGGGACTCTGGACCGCTCGCTAACCAGCGCTGTCACCCCGCAGGTGTCGAACAAATTGAGCAGCGACGGATGTCCAATCCGGATATGGACGCACTATACATCCTGACACCAGAGACATGGATCGTCGACTGCCTAATGGCCGATTTCGAGGTCGGAAGGTACAGGAAAGCAATCTTGGTTTGGACCTCTTGTCAGTGGGCAAAAATTGGGCATGGGCGAAGCGCTTTGGCTAACCGGTATCAGTCCTCGACCAGCAGCAACGTGCGCGGCTTGATAGATCTCAAATGGCGCGTGACCGCATTGCAGATTATCGGATTATGAATATCAATTTCTATCCCAGAGAGTCACACGTGGTTACTTTCCGTGATCCATGGAGCTTCCCAGTGCTCTTCCATCCAGGCTGCAACCATTTGATCAAGAACCACCTCCAGGATCTCGCCCAGAAGGTATAATATTCTCTCTATGCGTGACTTAGGTGGAATGCGGAGCTTACTATCGTCCAGGTTGTCTCACTCTGTGCCTCTTTGGGCGAATATCCCGTCATCCGGTATTACCGGCCGCGAACCCCAACGCACGAAGCCGGTGTACTTTCCTCTCATCTGGCACGTTTTATCCAATCGGAGCTAGATCAGTTCGCACAATTCCAACGAGACTTCCCGCCTCCGTCTAACCGGCCTCGGGGAGTATTGCTTGTGGTGGACCGCTCTATGGATATCTTCGCCCCTCTTCTCCATGAATTTACATATCAGGCCATGGTGCATGATCTTTTACCAATCAAAGAGGGAGACAAGGTCACCTACAAGACTAAGGTCAACGAGGGTAAACCGAATGAAGACTACAAGGATATGGAGCTTGGCGAGCACGACAAGATCTGGGTGGACTACCGACACATGCACATGAAAGACGTGCTTGGTAAATTGGGCGATGATTTTGCCAAGTTCAGACAAGCGAACTCCCAGTTTGCTGATGAGTAAGAGAACATGTTCTTCATTATGCCCCGATATAGCTAACATCGCTACTTGCAGCAACGACAAAACCAACGTTAATACGATCAAGGACATGCTGGCAGGTCTAACTGAGTTTACGGAGGGCAAAGATGCTTACACACTGCATTTGAACATGGCAGAAGAATGTATGAAATTCTTCCAAACCCGCAAGCTGTTGGAAGTAAGCTCCATTGAGCAATCCTTTGCCACTGGCCTGGACGAGAACTACAAGAAAGCCAAGAATCTGGCTGCGCAGCTTGTCCAGTTGCTTGACGACGAATCCGTTGTCCCTCAAGACCGGCTCCGGCTGATTCTCCTCTATATCCTGTACCGTGGAGGTTTACTAGGTGGCGACATTCGCAAGCTGATGTCCCACGCAGAACTCCCTGGACCAGACGGGAACGTTATTGCTAACCTTGGCCTTCTCGGTGCGCGGGTAGAGAAACCGCTCAAGGATGAGAAGCCCCCAGTGCAACCGCTTTTCAATAAGAAAGCTCTAGTTCCCGAGACTGAAGAACTTAGCCTTTCTCGCTACGACATTGGTGTCAAGCAGATGCTAGAGGAACAAATCCGAGGGACTTTGGACCCGACAGTCTTTCCCTTCACCAGACCTCACACCGAAACCGATGGCGGGATGGCTGCCCAAGAGATGATCACGCAGCAAGCATCCCTGCGCAGCGCCAAACCAACCTGGGCACGCACTCGATCCGCCGACCAGCCAAGGCAGCGCCTGATCGTCTTCATGGCCGGAGGTGCCACCTACTCCGAAGCGCGCACCTGCTATGAACTCTCCCAGGCCTACGGCCGTGACATCTTCCTGGCAACAACACACATGATGACCTCAGGACTCTTCATGCGCCAAGTCGGTGACCTCAGCATTGATAAGCGCCGCCTGGACATCCCCGCTGAGCGACCCAAGCCATCCGCTCCAGCACACCTGTTTGAGCGCGAGGCACCGCCTGCTCCCCAAGCTCAGCCACAGAAAAAGGCCATATCTACGGCGCATTCGAACGCACCGGCGCCCCCGGAGGCCCTAATGGCTGGTATGAGCCTAGGATCAAACGGATCAAGCCCGGCATCAGCGCCGTTGGGAGGGAAATTGCTTAAGAAAGACAAGGAGAAGAAAGATAAGGACAAGAAGGATAAGGACAAAAAGGACAAGGAAAAGAAGTACCGATTTTTCAAGTAGGTGGATGATACACAGCCACCTACTCCATTTCCTTGTCTACTGTGCCATGTATTCATTCAGCGCCGTTGTGATACCATCTTTTCATTATGTTGATATTGGTCTCTGGTCCGGGCATTTCTTATATGGCTGGACTTTTATGTTGGAGGGAAGCTCATAGTACAGAGGACTTGCGAATCACGTACTGCACAGAAAACAAATCCATCTCTTGCTCTTATTCCATCTCTATTAGAGTTCTCAACTTTCTGGGTATCTCGGAAAAGCAAAAACACGCTAATTGCTAGGTCTAAATCATAATCAAGCATTTTCGCCGAGATACTTCAGTACCTCGTCATTCTGAAAGAACATATTCCTCAGCTTGTCACCTCGCTTCCTCGCCTCGTCGGCACCTTTCCGCGCTTGCTTGGCGTTTAGCTTCTGTATTTTCTTCGGTGGTGGCAACGGTGCTGGTAATCGATCTCCGTCTTTGTCTAATCCGGAGCCTAGGCCGGCTTTGTCGTTTTTGATACGGCCTTTGAGTGGTTCTCGGATACCCTCTCTGCCTGATGCGCCGAGACCAAGCCGGCTGTCGGGGTTCCAGCCGTAGGTGGAAAGATAGCGCAAGCCTGTGCGGGTGCGGTCTAGGTGCGATGGGGGGTGGGAGTGATTAAGGCAGACTTGATGGGCCAAGGAGGCTTCGTGAGGACGTATATTTGAGTCGATGCCCGGTTCGGAGGAGAGTGGGAGGTGGCATATCTCGCAGTGATCGTTTGGAGGTGGAGCGACTGCTTCTGCTACTGGAGGCGCAGAGTGTGTTGTGCGAGCAGGAGGCGTCTGTTCCTTCGAAGCACTTCTTGATTCACTTCTTGACGTACTCGAATCATCCTCTTTTAAATTCTCCGCGACGTCCCCGGCGGTCTTCTTGAGAACAATAGAGAGGTAGGTATCGGCGATGTTCGTAGCAGGAGTAGAAGCGGGTCTCGTCGTGCTCAACTCGTGCTCCGACGAGCGTACAAACGGCACACGTTTACGCTTAATACCCGCGCCAAAGACCCGCTGGTCTTCTAACGGAAGGAAATAGTCCTCGTCGTCCGACATCGTTGCCAAGTAGAAGAGCACAGAGCGGAAAGAGAGCAAGTGTGGCAATCTTATCGATAACGGATAACGGATAACGCGCGGCGCCCTTTCGAACAGCTCGACTTCTTTTCCTCACCCCAACTAACCCAACGCCAAAATGCCCATCCCAATTATCGTCAAGGGCATCGCAGATGGCCTTGATACCATTCCATGGATCTGGTCGGTCTTTCGCTATGCGCCATGGGTCCTCCTCATCGGCGTGCTGAAATACTACTTCGGCGGAGCCCGCAATATCTCCGAACGGTTAATGCATTCGAAAGTAGTAATGGTGACGGTCCGTTTACCCTCCCCCAGCTCCAAATTCACCCATCTAATACCTCCCAGGGCGGCACATCAGGAATTGGCGCAAGCGTAGTCCAAGAACTCGCCCTCCGCGGGGCCCAAGTCATCCTCCTAACCAGACAACCACCCTCCGACCTTTTCCTAGTCGAATACATTGAGGACCTCCGCCGCACGACTAAAAACAATCTCATTTACGCCGAACAAGTCGACCTCACATCCCTCCACTCCGTCCGCACCTTCGCCACAAAATGGATCGACAATGCCCCTCCCCGCCGCCTCGACGCCGTCATCCTCTGCGGCGGCATCGCCCTCCCATCCAGCGCTAGAACTCTCACTCCCGACGGTATCGATGCCGAATGGCAAGTTAATTACCTCTCCAACTTTCACCTCCTGAGTATCCTCAGCCCGGCGCTCCGCGTACAGCCCGCCCATCGTGACGTACGGATTATCTTCACCACATCGTCCGGATACATCGGAGCGAAATTCGATCTTGATACAGTGCGCGGCTTGAATTCGAAAACGAAGAACGACTCAGCGCAGAGGAAGAATGTTTACGCTATGAGTAAATTCGCGCTTATGACGTTTGCTCAGTCTTTCCAGCGCCATCTGAGCGCTTATAAAAGACCCGATGGACTGCCGAACTGCGCGCGCGTTATTGTCGTCGACCCTGGGACTTGTCGGACACCTGGAACACGGCGCTGGCTTACGGGTGGTTCATTGTGGGGTCTTTTGGTGTACCTCATTACCTGGCCGTTCTGGTGGCTTGTTCTGAAGTCGCCACAGCAGGGCGCGCAAAGTATTCTGTACGCGGCTATGGAGGAAACCTATGGGCGTGGACAGGGTGGGTGGATGATTAAGGAGTGTCGGCAGGTGGACTATGCGAGGAAGGATGTGGCGGATGAAGATGTTGGGAAGAGGCTTTGGGAATTTAGTGAGAAGCAGATTGAGGAGGCGGAGAAGGCTGGGGCTGTGAAGAGGGGGTTGGAGAAGAAGGAGAAGGAGGCTGAGGAGGAGAAGAAGGAGAGGAAAGAGAAGAGTTCGGGTAAGGCGCCGAGTGCTGGGTCAAGGAGGAGTAAGAAGAATAAGGCGTGAAGTTGGTATATGGGTCTGGGTCTGGGGTTGAGGTTGAGGTTGACTTATAGATTGGTGGTTCTCATATGCATTCAGCTGGTAGCAATTTTATAGATTATTCATCTCTTTTTCATCGGGTACCCGGGATAGCTACCAAGTAAGGTAGTCAGTCTGTTTACTTCAATATCGTGGAACTGCGTCCGAAGTCAAAATTCAGTAGAAAGGAAATTCGTTTCAATGTATTCTACTAATAAATCATCTATGTCCACAATTCCTAAAGCCTTTTTAATCTCAGCCAAGAATCAAACAAATTACTTCTTCAGCTTAGCCAACAGCTCCGCCGGGGGTTGCTGGCGGTAGCCCTGGGGGTTGTTCTTAGTCCACAGCCAGAGGTCCTCGCAGGCCTGCTCGAGGGTACGGGTAGGAGTCCAGCCAAGCTCTTTGGTAGCACGGTTCGCGTTGGCAGTCAGGTTGAGGACGTCACCGGCACGGCGGGGAGCGACCTCGTAGGGGAGGTCACGGCCGACAGCGGCGCTGAAGGCGCGGATCATCTCATAGACAGTAGAGCCCTTGCCGGTACCCAGGTTCCAGGCACGGACACCGGGGTTGTTGGCGCGGAGGTAGTTGAGGGCCTTCAGGTGGCCGTCAGCGAGATCGAGGATGTGGATGTAGTCACGGATGGCGGTGCCGTCGTGGGAGGCGTAGTCTGTGGGGTGTTAGCTGGGAATGTTTTGTCTACTTTGGGGAAGGGGGTCACATACCGTCACCGAAGACCATCAGCTTCTCGCGCTTGCCAGTGGCGACCTGGGCGAGCAGGGGGAGCAAGTTGTAGGGGACGCCCTGGGGGTCCTCACCCATGATGCCGGAGGGGTGAGCACCAGCGGGGTTGAAGTAGCGAAGCAGAGCACCGTTCCACTTCTTAGCCTCGGCCTCGTTGCCGGCCTTGATGGCGTTGTTGCGCTGGGCGTTGATGACGTCGGTGATGGCGGTCTCAACGGCGAACTTGGTGTTACCGTAGGGGTTGGTGGGGCCCAGAGGGCACTCCTCGGGGATGGGGATCATGTTGGGGAAACGGGTGGCATCGCCGTAGACAGTGGCGGAGCTGGAGAAGACAATGTTGGTGACGTTGTGGCGGACCATCGAGCGCAGAAGGTTGATGGTGCCGTAGACGTTGACCATGTAGTAGTCCAGAGGCTTCTCGCCGGACTCGCCGACAGCCTAATCAAGACCCTGTCAGCACCTTTCATCAATGGTAAGAGAAAGCAACAGTCGTACCTTGAGAGCAGCGAAGTGGATCACGCTGTCAATGTCGGGGTGAGCTTCGAACACCTTGTCGAAGTCGGCCTCGTTGGTAACATCGAGCTGAACGAACTCAGCCTTCTTGCCGCAGATGGCCTCGATGCGGTTCAGAGCCTCGGCGGAGGAGTTGTACAGGTTATCAGCAACGACGACCTTGTAGCCCGCCTCCAGCAGAGCGAGGGTGGTGAACGAGCCAATGTAGCCCGTGCCACTGCGGGGAGGTTAGTGGGGTTCACCAGAGTAGGCTTGGACGACTTACCCAGCAACAAGAACAGAACCAGCAGACATGATTGCGATAATTCAAAGAAGATAATAAAAAAATGAATTGGAGGAGGGGATAGAACGGGAGGAGGGGCAGGCACTTTAAGGGGAAATTCCAGGTGGGGGAGACCGGCCGCTCTCGTCAGTCCCTCTTCCCCGTTCCTATTCTCCCATTACGCGGCATCGCCCGTTGCGTCTGACGCCTATATGCTCTCAGAAGGGTGGCCATCCAATCCCATTTGGTCTCTTGTCTCTTGGATACATTCGAATTCCCTCTCGCCTGTCTAGTCCATTCGATTGACTCCCTAGCTGCTCGACATGAATTGCCATGACCGGTTAATTTTCTCGTGATGTAGATCGTTCCTGGCGGTGAACACGGCACGAAAACGACCAGGGTACACACTGAACTGGGAAAGATAAGCGCGGCATAAGTGTCCGGCGCAGATGGCCCCATGGAGATGCATTAGGACGATTCCCCACGACACACTGCAGGCCATCACTCGAAGCGTCTCCAACGGTAACCTCGTTTCATTTAGGCTGCGGGTCTAGAGCCCACTCCGCGCCGAATTAGATGCACGGCCGGGACCATCGCCCCGGTTCAGGGTCCAGTGGTCCAATCTCCGGCTTCCACCTAGCCCGTTCCCGATGCGGTGATGTGTGTGGCTTCCGTTATATTGGGACTATGAGAACACCTGGGCACTTCCCTCCTGATCAGCAGAGGACCACCACAGTCTAGCCCTATCCTCTCCGGGTGAAAAGTAAACAGAAAATGAGGAAATAAATTGGTATGGGGAGGAAATAATGAACATATGCTCCAAGGGCGGATTACATTGTGTGCCCTGTAAAGACTTTTGGCTCCAGCCAGATTCTTCCCAGGGGCTACGTTGGAGGATGTGCAACGCAGTTCCGGGGAAGGGCACGCGAGCTTGCGTTTCTGCATGCTGCGCGCTGCATTCGATATCGATGCAATTATTGCTCAGATTAAGAGCCCCGGTCGAGAACCCGACCAGCTCGGGTTCATTCGCAAAGGGGCATTCGTGAGCCGAATCAATGTGCTGACGAGCACGGAATATCAGACATCAAAAAAAAAAAAAAAAACCATAGTCGTTTCCGCTCGTTTAACCAAGAAGCTCCACGTCCAATCCGATGGCCCGCATAAATAGGTTGACGTTGCCCAATCGCTGGCTGGCCATGTCTGCAGGGAGGCTCTTGCTGTAACCCACGGTTTCCATGACGCGGTCCCTAAAAGTAGTTAGCAAAAGTGATTCTTGTCAACAAACAGGGGGATAACACTTACTTGACAGCAATGACCAGGCGCTGCTGCTGCTCGGGGCTGGCACCGATACCCACGGCGGCAAGGAATTGCCAGACGTACATGTCGTCGCCCGAGTTGATCGAGCCGGGGAAGATATCGGCTAGGACGGGCTCCAGGGTGTCGAAGAGCACGTTGAACTTCTCAACCCACTGCTGCCAGTCACGCTCGGGTGCCTGGCCAGCCTCCTTGACCAGCTCCGCACGACTCAGGAGCATGGTCAGGATGCCTAGTCCGACCTTGGTGCGAGCCACGCTCTGCACGTGGGTCTGCGCAATGACCAGGCCCAGGAGACCGATGATAATGTTGAATGGTGCCTCATTGACATACTGGAGCAAGCTCGGCATGACGGCCAGCGAGAACAGGTCAATGGTTTCGCGCACAGCCATGGAGGGCTGGGCCTCACCGGGCATGGACTGTGCAAGGCGCACCACGTCCAAGCTGTCCAGGTGCACGACGATCATGGTAAGGATAGTTACGCGCTGTTCCTGGTCGATGTGGCGGAAGATGCGCGGGATGGCCTTTTTGCCCTTGGCGTGGGACAGGAAGGCGATGAAGGGGTGGGGGGTGGTGGAGTTGGGTACAATGGGCTCCATAACCTTCAGCGCTTTCCAGAGCTTCTGGTTGAGTCCGTGGAGCTCCTGACGCCATTCCATATGCTTCTGGATCGCTTCTGCATCACCCTCTTCCGGTGGCGGCGGCATCGTGCGCTCCATATCCTCCATAGACATCAGGGCGCTATAAACACGCTCAATATTGGTGAGAATGGATTTGCGGTCGCTCAAGCTAAGCTCCGATTGCACCTTCTTGGGACGAGGTCCTTCCGAGCTATCGGGACGCTTGATGTTAAGCATAGGCTTCGGCGCCTTGGCGTTGCTGAAGGAGATCTTGCCCAAACTTCCCTCAATGATTAATTGCTTGTTCTTGGGCTTGGCCTTGGCAGCCTCAACAGCGCGCTGGACTTGCTGCTGCATCCGCTGCATGTGATTGTCCGCGCCCTGCAAAGGGTTTCGGTGTCGGTTTCCACCGAGACGGTTTCCGGTCTGGAGCAGATAGGTCTGGGCAAAGTGGCCAAGAGGCTGGTGGGGGTGCTGGCGGGGCGCTCCACGAATCTGGCTGTAGACCTGATAGTAGAAGTCCTCGGCCAACACAGCCTCGGGATCGGCGTCTGCCACGTTACCGGCCGCGGCCACCAATTGCTGCAATTGGATTCGCGTGATAAAGTTCTTGTCCTGGGGCGTCATCAAGCCGTTGCCTCTGGAAAGGAGGGCAATCTTGTGGTTGCGCTTCGCCCGCTTCGCGTCCTCAACTAGGTAAGCATTGCGCTGCTCCTCAGTCAGGTGCAGAAGCTGCTGCGGGTTAGTAATAACCGGCAGGCCATTGTTCGGTGCGCGGCTGCTCGGGGGCGGCAGCTGTTGCTCCATATGCTGCGGCCGCTGACCCTGGGGCAGACCGGCATGACGAGAGGGCTGGGGAGGCATGTTCTGGGGAGGGAGGTTATTTTGCAAGAATGGGGCACCGGGAGGAATAGCAGGTCCAGGTCCGCCATAGAGCTCTGGCATCCCTGGGGGCGGAGGTGGCATACCCCCTTTCTCAAGCTGCGCCTGCAACTCCGGGGGCAGCTGGTGGAAGCCATCAGAAAGCGTCGGGAATTGTTGAGGGTGACGTTGATACGGATCGGCCATCATCTGCTGCATCTGCTGTATCTGCTGCATCTGCTGCGGAGGCAGTCTTCCACCAGGCTGACCGCGGCGCATCTGTGCCTCAAGTGCCTCGACTTCCTCCAGGCTCATTATCTTGCGGCTCGGTGCCGGGGCCGGGGCGGGGGCGGGGCTCGGTTCGACCTTCTGCGCCCAAACGCTCGATTTCGCTTGCAGATCAGGGATATATCCAGGTTCAGAGTACTTCTCGTAGCCCGTGCGCCTAGAGGTCGACTCGGTGGGATCCGTTGCCGGCGGGGGAGCTCTCTGGGCGGGTGCTGGAGCGGACTGAGGGTTCTGCAAGCTATAGCGAACCTGCTCTTCTCCAATGGCATCGGCAACACCAGCAGTTCTTCCAAAGAAATCAAAATCTCTACCGACGGGCGCAGCCTCTCCAATGCCGCCGCCGCCGCCGCCGCCGCCGAAGGTATCGTCGTTGAACTCGTCTTGATCGTCATCGAGCTGGTCGCCAAGGCCGTCGTAGGTATCTTCGAAGTCAACACTAGATATCATATATCAGCACCTTGTTCATGTCAGGTTCCATCATAGTGAAAAGAGCTTACGCATCACCATCCACAAACTTATCAGCCAAAGCGACTTGCGCGAAGGGATCCGAGTTCTCGAAGAAGCCCTTGGCCCCAGGGCCGCGACCGCGATCCCTAGGGAGGGAGGTATCGAATCCAAAGAAAGACATGCCTCTTTGGTCGAATGGAGGAAGAGGGAGGAACGGGGGCGTCGAGTGGAAGGATGGTGGGGGGGGATGAGTAGAGAGTCGGATGGACCGAACGAAGTTCTGGAGTGCGGCTGCCTGAGGCATCATTGCCAAGTGTCGATCCGATGCGACTCTTTTGGGATATTTGATATGTTGACTCCACGAGGGGATATCTGAAACAAATGCAATATCATTTTCACTTAGTTGTCTTTTTTCTATACTTCTGGTACTTTCTGGCTATGTTTTTTGGGGGGCGTTGGGGGCTTATTCACCTACACTAATTACCACATCTCAATTCGCCGAGGGCGTTAAACGACACTTGTAATCTCCCTTGGGGTTCGCTCGCTTGACATGGAAGAGGGTAGACCCTTTGCATCATCGCTCCAATCATAGAATCTAAGAGGCTAATCTTGGAAAACGACCCGAGAGCATTGCCAAGTTCCCCTGAGAATTCCGAATTGTCTGGAACCGGTGAAACCACGCGGCTGAAAGCGGTTGTCGCCATTGACTTGCGCGGCCTTCCTTTCTTCTCCCCTCCTCCACTTCCCCATCTCTGTGTTTTTTTTTTCTCTACGCGAATGTCTTGCTCCCTATAACGTGGATTGGCCTGAATACCGCGGGCTTGATTTCACTGTGACATTCGTTAGCCCCATAGGCAACAGCTTTCTCCACTCGCCACAATGTCCTCCGTGCGGTATACCCGCTATCTGGCGGTCGCCCTCGTGGTAAGGCTGAACTTATGGGGATTCTTGTCGAGTCCCTGTCGATCACATCACTAACATCCTTCAGTGTCTGACCTTTTTCTACTTCATCTCCCGCTCCGACCTGCAGATCCCCACCTCCGCCTCACTCCCCAAGTCTCGTCCCTCATACGAAGACTTCAGAGCGCAAAAGCTACAATCCGCTGGAAACGCTACGAATGAGCGGGTAAACGCCACCTTTGTCACCCTCGCTCGCAATAGTGATATCTGGGATATCGCAAAGTCAATCCGCACGGTGGAAGACCGATTCAACCGGAACTACAACTATGACTGGGTGTTCTTGAACGACAACGACTTCGATGATGACTTTAAGAAGCTCACTACATCGCTGGTGTCCGGAACTACACACTATGGCCGAATCCCCAAGGACCACTGGTCCTACCCGGAATGGATTGATCAGGACAAAGCCAAGGAAGCGCGTGAAGAGATGGATCGCAAGAAGATTATTTACGGAGGCTCTGAGAGCTACCGCCACATGTGCCGCTATGAGTCTGGTTTCTTCTTCCGTCACCCGCTGATGATGAACTATGAGTACTACTGGCGCGTCGAGCCCAGCATTGAACTCTTCTGCGATATTAGCACCGACCCTTTCCGCTTCATGAAGGAGAATGGCAAGAAATACAGCTTCGTCATCAGTCTGTACGAGTACTACGAGACCATTCCCACGCTGTGGGATAGCGTCAAGAAGTTCATGAATAACCATCCCGAGCACATCCCCAAAGAAAACGCTATGGACTTCATCAGCGAGGATGGCGGCGAGACCTATAACAAGTGCCACTTCGTACGTATTCTCTCTGGTTTTCCAAATGTTCAAAGAACTAATTTTCTCCCAGTGGTCCAACTTCGAAATTGGCAGCCTGGAATGGTTGCGCTCCAAGGAGTACATTGACTACTTCTCTTCCTTGGATCAGGATGGCGGTTTCTTCTACGAGCGTTGGGGCGATGCACCCGTGCACTCCATTGCCGCTGCCATTATGCTGAAGAAGGAGCAAATTCACTTCTTCAACGAGATTGCTTATTATCATGTACCATTCACGCACTGCCCGATCGAAGAGCAGACAAGACTGGACCTTCGCTGTCACTGTAAGCCCGAAGAGAACTTTGATTGGAAGGGCTATTCTTGTGAGTTCCCAAACGACCTGAACCTCCTTACGCATTTGCTAATCCCAACAAAGGCACCAACCGGTGGTTCAAGGTAAACAAAATGGAAAAGCCCGAAGGCTGGGACAAGAACGATTGACTGATTGCGCTCGGACAATTTGGCATCATTTTGCTTATTTTCAGCGCAATCATCTTGCTCGTGAGCCAAAGTGTTCGAGCCTATCTATTCACTCGGATACACTTCGTCATTAACTACCTGTACGATTCTGTGAACCGTCTTCGCAGTCGACACAGGTACCGCTCAGTGAGCAAAAAAGTGAATCCTTGATTCCATATCTGGGCTCCGAAAAGTCCCTTGGAAGTGTCGAGGTCGCAGAAACACACATAATCTCTTTTCTACTTGATATCCCGGTTTATTCCCCATACGCGGCGACTTGACTTGCGATATCTGCCATGTTTTACTATCTTGATTCTCCAGCGTTCCTATTCGTTCCCCACTGAGAAATGTTGGTTGCATGGTTTATTGGAGTACAAGAGGACTAGACGAGCAGCGGTCTTGCTATATTCTATCTCACCCAGCGCGATGATTGTTTTGGTCATTAGTTTTCCAGAAGAGGAAAAAAAATATTCAAAAACAAGTCTAATCCCAATTTCAGACGATTTCCAAGAGAGACTGTAGCTAAGTAGAAAAAAGACATTCCGTGAAGATATTACCGACTCTTGACAAGCAGCGCTTAGATCCTACTTGCAACAAAATGTCTTCAATGCTCTCTCTCTTTCTGGTACTTCTACCGTTTTTCAACCTTGAAACAATCTAATCTAGGTATGAATACAAAGCCTAGGTTATAGAATGGACGGGAGCGAGAAACTTGGAAGTCAGAGGTCCTGCTGTTAATCATAGCCTGTAGGGAAGAGCAGGCTCAATAATAGCCTTGACTAGATCATTTAGGGAGTCAATTTCACAGGTCCTCATAATCTAGGTAGTTGTAATGGTACATGCAATTCCAATAAATAACAATATCGCCCATATTGCACAAATACAGTGTAAGAAAAGAAAAAAAGATAAGGTATGACGTTCAGCCCATAGCCTCAAGGCGAGCTCAACAGTGCCAGCCTCAAAACAGCCACTCACTCTCAACTCAAATCAAGTGGATTAGGTTTAGTTGCCCTTGGGCTTCTTGGTTCCGTACTTCGACCGAGAGGAAACACGGCTTCCAACACCACCCTAGAAACAATTAGCAAGTCTGCTCAACCCCACGAACCAACAAAGATAAACATACCAAATCCATAGCACCACGAACCAAGTGATACTTAACACCAGGACAATCCTGGGCTCTGCCACCACGCACCTGAACCACACTATGCTGCTGGATATTGTGGCCCTCGCCGGGGATAATTGTAGTAACGACCTTGCCCGTACTCAGACGCACACGAGCAATCTTGCGCTCGCCGGAGTTAGGCTTCTTAGGCTTGGTGATACCGGTCTTGAGACACACGCCCTTCAGCGACGGGTGGTCCTTCAAAGCCGGAGACCGGCCTCGACGCGCACGCTGGCCCTTGCGACAGCCGCGGCGCACTTGGTTGTAGGTTGCGCGGATGATCGGGGAGCTGGAGAATTGGCGGGTCACGCCGGAGAAGGTGAAGGCGGTTTGCGTGCGGAAGACGGGCTTAAAGGTGAAGCGTGGACTCGGGGTTTGGCAGGTTAGAGTGGAGGTTGTCAGGGTGCGGAAGGGGGTCGATGTGAGTGCTGGACGGTGTACTAGGGTCCGCAAGGCCCGAAGGGCCAGAGGTGTCATTAATTGGTGCATTGTGGTGTTGTTCTTGGGGGTGAGTGATCTCCGAGATGTGATGGAGAAATGCGGATTGGAATTGATGGTGTCATGTGACCTGCGTTGTTGGTGACTGTGGGCGGCCGGAGGAGCTGGACGCGCTGCTCTCTCTGCCTGACGCTGTCCTCCGCATTTCAGTCATCATCCTCGTTCATTCTTGTATCTTCTTCTCTTCTGCAGCTACTCTGTTTCTGACAATCACTCAAATTCTGCAATTTTGAATTTAAGAGTCCGTCTTAAACCCATCATAATGGTATGTGATCAAGCTATGGATCTTGACCTCACCCTCCGTCAAGCCATCTCCGAGCCAGCCAGACTCGCATCCCCCCAATTTCATCTTATGCTAGAGCATGGCTTTAGTTTATCATGCCACTATCACTCAACCTTTGGTCCAAACAAATAACTAACAACCCCAGTCTCTCCGCATCGCACCCCCATCTGGTAACCCCAGCTCAACCACCAACACCACCACCCGCCAGACACAGCTCTCAAAGGGCGCCCCCTCAGCACCCGGTCTTCCCGACACTCTCCGTAACAAGATCACTCTCCCTGCCACCGCCACCGCCTCATCCACCAACACCCCAGCCCTCAACGACATCCCCTCCTCGACACACCCTCTGGAGGCCCGCCTGCTCGCCTGGCGCGCAACCCAAGATGCATTGAAGATGGAGTCCCTGCGTCGGGCATACGGCATCGCCGAGCCTGTCCGCCGCGGCATGGAGCTGAAGATTGTCCGTGATAGCACGTTCCGTCCGGCCGTACTGGGCGGCATGAAGGGTGGCAATATTCACGAGGATATTCTTACGCTTGGAGGTCGGGATTCGGAAGTTAGCTGGGAGGATATCTTCCCTGGTACGTTCCATCTTTTTTTCGTGTTACTTGGTTTAATTTGAGCCTGAACTGACTTTATTTCTTTGCAGGCGACGAGTTCCGGGAACCGCCTACCTTCCATGACGAGATGGAGAAGAGGCTGAAGATGGACTTCTAATTGATGAACCTCCTACGTTTGAATTGCTCTTTCCTTTTCCTTGGTCGACATGTGCAACTAGTCTCCTTCCCCCAATTCCTCGATTCTTCACGTCCGATCTCACGTCAACGATAGAGATAGACTACTGAGTCTGCTGCATCGGTCTTCTGTTTGCACTTGTTCATGGCAGAGGCCATGATGTAGCTAGTCTAATCTATTCTTCCCATCCTTTATCAACTGATTAAATTCCTTTTATGCATTACAGCAGAAAGATAGCGCCGTGTATAAGAGTACAAGCTTGGACAGCTCAGGACTGCAGTCAGAATCAAGTATTCAATTGTATACCAGAAGACTCCAATAAAGTATAAAAGTAGAAAGCATGTACACTACGAAACAAACCGATAACCAAACAAGCAGAAAAACAGGCGAAATTTGTAGATACACAAGTCCCAGGCAAGCCATACAGAGAATGGACATTGAAGGTAAAGGAAGAACCAAATTAAAAAGGATCGGATGGGTATATAGATATAGGAAGGTAGAGGCGGGTGGAGACCGAGATGAGGAAACAAGCAGAGATGCAAGCACGATAAGAAGCATGGTTTAAGGCTGTTGGGCAAGGCGAGGTGAATCAGATACCATGTACAAACGCGGAATTGGCGGAGAGAGTCTGAGGTAACCTTCGGAGGGGATGGGGGACGAGGAGACCGAGCATGTTGGCGAAGACAGGTAATAAAATGTCGTGATATCAAGGTCGGGAAAAGAATTGAAACGTCCAAACGCCGCTGCCGGAGCGCATATTCATCAAGAGCCAGATGAGGTTGCGCGGGGGTGAGGAAATCTTGCATCCAGGCAGGCTTGCTCGAGTAGCCGCAATGTTAGGTGGTGGAGGGTCGGGAGTAAATGGTAGGGTGGATGGATGAAGGGGTGATGTCAAGGCTCAAGGTCAGGTTTGCAAAGCGTAGGGTACAGCCTGAAGTCTTGTCGCGGGTGCTCGGATGCTTGAAAGAAGCCGTTTATAGAATGACGCAGCGACAGCCAGGGCTGCGGTCGCTGGCTTCCCGTCCTTGGCTGTACTGAGACTTGGATCCCTTGGCATCCTCCTCGTCTACCACTTCCTGCGGTTTCACGGTCATATGTACAACATTGGGGGCATCATGGTTGAATTTTGAGTCTATTTCGCCTGGTTAGTACAGGTGGCGATAAAGCGCTTCAGATCGTGCAATACATACCAGCCAGAGGCGACTTGTCATCGAGCAGCTTTCCGAAAGAGATCAAACGAATTGAGCTTGGCGACGATGGACGAGTTTCCCAGTCTAACGAATGACGAATAGTTAGATATCAACCCGCAGATTACTTCACTATGTTGCAACGGTGTAGGGAATAGCTTACCAGCTCGCCACTCTCGCCAGATCAATTCCTTCAATGTATAAACGCTCATGGCGAACGGATCGTAATTCTCGACATTGACCGAGCGCTTTCGCAAGTATTTCCCATCGATGGTAAACGGATGCCGCGCGCCCGTTGTCAAGAGCAAGGTAATAGCCAGCGAAGGCCCGGCGTCCTCGACCTCCTTTCCCTCAAGGTCCGACTGCTCCTCCGAGAGCTCGGCGCCCATCTTAGGTTCTTCGGTATCCATTGAAGGCGGGTCGGTATTCTGGGTCTGCGCGACAACTAGATTGGAATCTGTCGGAGGAGTAACGGTGGAGCTAGTCGTTGCTGTCACGGGGGCGGTGCTTTCGCCACCGGTTGCGGGGTGGTTCGCCGTATCGGCTGCCTGGGCGTTGTCTGACGGGATACTGTCAGATACAGGGCCCGATTTAGCCGGAACATTCGAAGGCTCACTGGGTGTTTGTTGCGCGGTCTGCGGAGAACTCGTGGCTCCCAGCTCGTGGTCTTTGGGCTCGAGCACCCCGGACTCCGCGTTGTCGGTGGAAGACATGACTATTGATGCCCCTCTGGCAGGTGGCAATTGGATGAAGCCCCTGAAATGGGATCCGGAGACGCTTTCCACGGAGATGGACGGTTCAGGTGAGGAAGGTGTCGAGAGAGGAGTCGGTCGATCGGCTCAGGTGTGAGGAGTCAACTACCCGGGGGGCGCGCGATAGTCTTTTCGCTAGCGCGCCGAGAAAAGATGAACTGCAGGCAAATTGAGAACAAACGAAAGATACGAGAAGTCCGGACGAGGGGGAGCGCGAGAGTTGGAAAATGAAAGGAAAAGATGGTGAGGAGAGATCGGCAGGTTTAAGTCCAGTCACAACGTGAAATTGACAAAGTGACGACCTGACAAACAGGCTGAGGGAAAATCCCGCCTTGCCACAAACCTCATTTTATAGTCATCTACACTCGCTTTATTAGATCTCGGCTCTATCTGTTTTCTCGTTTAATTAATGACAGGGGAGATAAGGAAGATCCGGGGAAACGGACAACTACAATTCCCACCCAGCTTGTTTGGCATTCCACTCTGCTCATACCAGAAACACGGTTCAAGCATGTCATGTCCCAAACCTTGGACCGATGAGCATCATCATACAGGTGTCCTTGTACTTCCTGTTTTGTCCCAAGCCACCTTAGACCCATGGGAACCGAGCCCATGCCCCTTCATTGACTCCCGAGCCTAAACAAGAACGACGGACAACTCTCGGTCGCACAGTGAGGGGGTTCAGGTGCCTCACGAGATGAATGACCTCAGTTGGCCTAGAACCGGGCTGCATATGCAGGGGCGTTGGGTGCTGATGGCAAATTGCAGAAGTCCAGGTGGGGGAATGCATAACAAAGCTGTATTCTCCTCAATCGTCTGCATGCCCGAGCCATGGACGATCTTGATAACCTTTAGAAATGACCGTTGATCTATAGTTGATTCTATCTGCCTCGGCACACCCGATGCCCAAAGTCCCTGGCAGCAGGGATAGAAGCAGAGAACAATTTGCTACGAACTTGCGATAACGGATCAAAGGACACCGTGCGTGGGATCAAACCACGAGACTAAAGGATCCATATGATCAAGTCAATCATCTGCACGATGTTGCTTTTTTCAAGATATGTCTATTACTTGACATACAGGGGGTATCCAGAGGATTGATGCTCGGTAGCGACGGCAAATAAAAATAGATCCGGCACATGTTCACGACGATTCCGAGTCTCGGCTTCTGAGACAGGTAAGATATCGGGTCCGTGAATGTTTCTCAGGACTCGGTTAGGCGTAATTCGGGGGGGTTGTCAGACGGCCCGGAGGCGCATGGAAGGCCGGGTCCAGATTGCAACAGGTCGAGACACACCGACTTTCAAGCCTTACGGGAAGATTGCTTTGTTGTTCTTAGCCAGGTAGAGTTTCACCTGATCTAGATCCAGGCGGCGTATTGTTCAAGAATCTCGTTCTTCACTCCTTCTGATCCGTGACGGACACCCAGGAGTCGTACATTGCCGATCTTTCCCCCGAAGTCATCCTCCACGGCACTCTTGTAGTTGGTGAACCGCTCATTCAGTCTAGTGATGACGGTGGGATCGTCCCGAATCAGTAGCACGATGGCATCGTAGCCACCGGCACCAGGCACGACTCCGCCAATGACGCCCTCGATCTCAGAGAGGTTATCCAGCAGCTCAGTCTGCACGATGGGCTCGATAGGCACACCCGTCCGGCGGGTCATGGTGCGAATGAGGTGGCGTGTACGACCGATGAGAGTGCGGACATCCGAGAATTCACCATCGGTGTTGGCATCTGGGTGCTGCGCCAGACGCTTAAGCTCCTGTCGCAGTCGCTCGTTGTTGTTCTGCAGGCTGGCCCAGAGCATATCAGCCTCCTTCTGGTTCTCGCTTCTCCACTGGAGGACCTTCTTGACCATGGAGGGAGTCTGCGAGCCACATTCAACGTCGCACAGGACCATTTGCATTCCACGCGGGAGCTGCATGCCAAAATCAACACATTCAGTATCCCAGGGATGCTCTTGGTCGGCATCTTCAACCACGGCGAACAACCGTTCCTCAAACCCCGGTGTTCCAACATCGCCGACGGATTGGAGGATAGCGGGTGAGAATCGCTTATACAGGCATGAGCCATAAACGGCGGCCGCCACATCAAAACCAGAGCCAACCTTGCCCTGGGCTGCGCAGTGGGCAGCCTGAGCCAAATTGTGGAGCTTATCACGGCCAGCACCAAGGTCGTCCGCTTGCATGGTACGGTGGATAACCAAAGAGGAGACAAGAGCAGTCACTAAAGCGGCGGACGAACCCAGACCAGTCTTGTGGGCTTCGAATAGAGGAACACCGAAATCCACGAAACGCCCACGCGCTTGGGATGCAGAGCCTCTTGAGGTTGCGGTCTCCGAATAGTAGTCATTATCGGCCAAAATGGTGACTGAAAGCGAACCAAAGTCCTTCGAGTCAGCAACGTAGCTAATGTAAGTTAATGCGTAGCTCAGAGATGTCTCAACGAAAGGATTTCGCGGGCTGCATTGCTACAAATTAGTATCAATCCATGTTGAACGGCGATAAGAGAAGCGCACCCGTCATTCTTCTGAACCACCTTGACGCCACCGCCATTCTCACAACGCTGGATTCCGTATTCCCATACTGCATCGACGAATTGTGGCGAACGCACAACAACTGTATGTTCGGTCTCTTTCTCCTCGCCCTCGGGACGAGTGGGCTGGACCTCAGCACTCAATGCAGGTTTGGCGTCACTTGAGCCAGAAGGTCCACGGCGGTGACCCCTCCTCAGTTGCTGAACGACAACATGGATGCGCGCATCGAGGGCGAAAACGGTACCCGTATAGTTGCGATCGAGTACAAGGTAGCCACCGGTCAAGAGGACCTTGCCGGGGGCGGACAGTGCCGTCACGGAGGATGGTTGGGGGGACATGGACATTGGTGGGTAGGAAAGGCGGGGAGGGAGTGGGATTGAGATTGAGATGAAGAGAGATTTATCAGGCCCCGCGGGGTCGAGTCGGAAGGCGCGATAGCTCGGTAGGACGTGAGGAAAGAGAGCGGAATCAAGTAGGCGTGCGCATGCAGCGTTGGAGGGGTTTGAGGGAGCGGGAAAAGGGCAGTGGGGGAAAGCGTGTATCCAATTCTCCTAATGGGGGATAGCGTGTCGGGCCCATCGTTACACCGCGTGCCCTGGAGCACCTTTTCTGCAAGTGATGGTCTGGCTTTATCGGGATCGAACCTAACTCGAATTTGATATGCTCTCACTTTATTGTTGAAGGTGTGATGCCTATGCCTAAGGGAGCCTGCGTTACCTCGCCAGGGTTGAGATCCGTGGCAACGACCCGATCAATGTTCCATAAATGTTATACTCTTAAGATGAACATGGACCTTTAGCCAAACCCCGCCAGGAAATATTCATATCAACATAACTAACATACCCACAGGACTAACATTGAAAATACCCCTTCGTACCTGGAATGTACCAATTGATGAGTTTTGTTCACCAAAACATGCCGTGCAGCCCTCCAACTGGAGTACGAAGAAGAAACCAGCATGGATTGAAAGCAACAGCCGCTCAACTGAGACAAATCGCTAGTCCTGGAGAGAGTGTATTGATAGGATAGTGTGGAAGCTTTAATTTTAAAAAATAGTAGTCAACCTGAATACCTACAATAGATAGGGCCAAGACAGGCGAATAAGATATCGACCTGGCCAGAGCTCGAGGACAATTTTGCAATAACACCCTGGAACCAGATCGGGTAGTCTCACAAGAATGTATTGCCTACGGGGTACAGACTAAACCATGGATATCCAAGCACTGGTCTAGAATTCTGAACAGGATCAATCCGGTCATATCAAAAGTCATGACTTCAAGGTTTCTTGGAGCCAATACGAAAGCGAAGAACCTTAAAAAAATAATTTGCTGATAGTCAAGTTCTGGCTCATATAGGTAGAATTGGCGGCAGCATTCATCATATGGTTGTGTAGTGTAATGGTCATCACTGCGGATTCTGATTCCGCCGATCCCGGTTCGATCCCGGGCACGACCTTTCAAGCGTTTCTTTTTGACCATCATGTCCTATAACTAGGACAGTCAATTTTTGGAACTAGGTAGCCGAATATGGCATGTGTTCGTTTACAAATCAAGCTTATTCGCGGTGCGAAAATCAGGGTCAAATAAGGTTTGGGTGCCGCCGCAAGCATACAGATCTAGCAGATACGACCATGGAAGGAAGTTTCAGGTGTTCATCATGTGTTCGTAACGGCTGAACTGATTATTTTATTAGAATGATCAATGAAAAAAAAAGCCATATGCGATTCCGACATTGATCTTCAAAAAGGAAAAGCAAAACTCCAAACTCCGGCAAGGAACAAGATCGTGGAAACCCGAAAAAGCCGAACTCCCAAAGCCTCTAAGGTTCTGATTATTGTACAGGGTATTTATGTGATTTGACCGATACTGTCGGTATGATGTTGGAAACGGGCGCAGGATGGGCGGAATCGACGATGAGTCTCCGTGTCAATCCGACCATGCCAAGTCACCCTAGCTCACACCTTCAACGTGACGGGAAGGAAAAAGCTTCTGGCAGATTATGCCTTGGGCTTCTGCGCAATGATGCTGTAGCTTGTTGTGGCTAGGCGCATGTTATCCATCTCGACGAAAGCCTGGCCGTCGAGGCACAGACGGTTGATCAGGGTCTTGAAGTGGCGGGGCAAGACGTGCAGCTTGACGAGGGCGAGGATGACCTGGCGCAGGGTACGGAAGTAAAGGTCGACAGTGTCGATTAGCGGGGCCTGCAAGCCGTCGATGCTGGCGTTCTCAGAGAGCACGATTTCGAAGCCGCAGTCGGTAAGCGCTTTCTCCAGACTCTGCTGGGTGGGGGTGCCGACGGCACCAATCAACGGCTTAACGCGACGCATAAGCTCGGCGTGTTTAGGGTCCGTGGGCTCGTAGGCAGGCAGGCTGATCCAATCCAGTAGAGAGATCTTAGCGCCGGGCTTGACGACTCGGAACAC